AGACGAAGCGTCGCACGTACTGAGCGTAGTACTTGATCCGCGTCCATTCGAGTCTGCGGGGCCGTATTATCCGCTGCAAATGCGGCCAGTCAGTCGATATACGGAAAGACGAGATCAGTACAAGGGACGTACGAAGATGTGTCCACCGCCCTCGAGGGGTACCTCCTCCCATGCGCAGGATGGTAAAAGCCGCAAGAGCGGTACAAGGCTACGTTGATCTCGCCAGAGTGCGGCTGCGGACGCTTTGTGCAGCGTCTTGCATGTCCGCACGAGTGAGACCAGCGTGCGCTTGCCGCTCGGGGACAAGCAGAGCCATTCCACTATGAACTGGAATATCTCGCTGATGGCAAGGCAGCGGTGGCTTGCGGGTATTGATAATGCGTTCATTGTCGCTTGTCAGCCTGGAAAAGAGAGCGCAATGATGATTAGCATTCAGTGAGTCTCCAGTAGCGCGCTGACGTACTTTGTGTGTTGTGTTTGATGCTCCGGCTGTGAATGTGTTTGTGTGTCGGTGCGTGTGGCTTTCATTAGCCACGCAGGCATTTATATGCACTCGGCATTCGTACGCATGGACTACTACCTGAGTGGCGCATCCGCAGCAGGGCAGCTTTGACAGCCAAGCGGTGAGAGTCAACGCGCCGTAGGCCCATGTTGCGACGCATAGTGCGATGAAATTGGTTCATCAGAGGTATTCTTATATGGCCCTACGCTTGAAGCTTCGTTAGCCACCGCGGTCAATGCATCCCCGAGCAGAGAAAGAGACTCACCAACAACCTGCGCCGGGTCCAAGGAGACTGAGACCTCCAAGCGTTCAGTCGCATGGCCCGCGTTCAAGGGGAGCAGTGCAGGCGTACCTGCATCGCCGCATGGCGCCGCTCGCGGCCGTTTCACGGACTTTGCCAGTACCATTTCGTCGGTCGTTGCGGGGGCACGCTATGTATGACTTGACGGTCAATGCGACATCACAAGTTCAGTAAACGGTCAAGCCGCAAGGCCCGGGCGCTCCGCACCATGTTGTGGGTCGGGTCGAGTAACAGTTCATCGTCGCCTATTAGCTGACTCACAAGTGACAAAAGACGACATAGCAAAGGTGCAGCAAAGCGTTCGGGCAAGCTCGACTCGGCTCCGATGACGCTCTCTCGGACATCCTAGTAGTAAGCGCCAAGCGGTGCTCTCACTCAATTTGGATCGGAGAAGGATCGGAGACGCCCATTCAAACGACGTTCATGGCCATTTCAGCTGTTATGAAAATGATGTATGTAGAAACAACAGAGAGATATTTATGACGTGAATGTTGAGGTGACGCGAGTATATACGCCAGGGTCAGCATACTTGCTTGCAATGTAAGTTCGCGGGATATATAAACGTTGTAATGCTAAGATATGAATGAGCGTGATAGGGTGGTAAGTGCTTCATCTCAAGAGGTGTAGCGTAATGCAATACACAAGTATCAATGTAAGTGTCCAGGACTGAGAAGATCTAAGATAGTCTATTCCACCCGAAGTGCCTCGTCAGCATCGGACTCCCAATGCCACTCCAGCAGCTCCTGCACTTCCTCCCACTTGTCCTCGAATATTCCCCACTCGCTCTCGTATGGGAGTTGCTCATCCGCGTCCCGATAATGCACTTCGCGTAGCTCCGGAAACAAACGCAGCAAGAAGTACGCCACTTGATCGGGGTTCTCAATCGGCGCGTAAGCCACGGTCAACTCACGCAATATGCACCACGCCGATGATTTGGGCAGCAGCTGCGCGAGCATAGCTTCATCCGGCACCTCGTCCGCGCTCACGGGTAGCGTCAAGTGGTCCAACCACCGGCAGTTGACCACGAGCGGAATGAGGCCTTCGAGGGTGAGTAATGGTTTATCGACCACAGGGAGCGGCAGGTCGATGCTGACGAGCTGAAGGCTGGAGAGATCTCGCCATGCGTTCGCGATGTCCCGCACTGCGTTTGCGCTCACGATCAACGAGGAACATTGGATGTCGAGGGAGGAGATATTGGGGTGGGCGTAGAGAGGCTGGAGCACCTCCCCGACGTCCAGTGTATGAGAGCCAGGGTTGCCGGCAAATGTATGGCCCAGCGCCAGTCTTACGGTCGTCAGGTTGGGGCACGCGACGAGTTCGAGGTGGCGTTTGGTTGTGGCAGAGTCGGGCTGGATGGAAGATGTTATCAGCAGGCAATCCAGGTCTTCGCTCTGTATGGCGCCGAAGAACGCTGCCGTGCTCTTGTCCATTTGGTCCACGTGAAGCGATATGCTGCGGAGCGCATTGAACCATTGCCCATCGCGCGGGCGGGACGCCGTGGACACGGCGAGCATATCCATCTCCTCCGGCAAGACATGAAGGGTCGCCAGTTCGACTTTAGGGAGCGCCGCCAAAGCCTCTATGCAGCTAGCGGATGTGGCGACCGAATTACCACTATAGCACTCAAGCTTCGGCAGGCCGCGGAGGAGCTGTGCAAGGGCGTCGCTTATGCTACTATCGAGCTTCTGCGGGGTCGAATCCTCTTCGTCGTCCTCGTTGTCGTCATCGTCGTCGTCGTCAATCGTCTCCACCGAGAGTTGGAGAAACTCAACTTGCTCGCACGTTTCGCCTACATGCTTGAAGACTTGGCACATGATGGCAGGCTGGTTGAAGTTTGCTGACGCGAGCTCTAGGTGGATGAGAGTCGGGGCGAGGAAGAGGTGTATGAATGGAAGGTAGATTTTTCCAGGCTCATACAGCGAGAGCGCGCGGAGTCGGGGGAGAAGTGGTTGGCCCCCAGGGCGGTGATCGGAGAGCACACGCCAAGTGTCAAGCGCGATCTTCGATGTTTCCGGATGCCCAATACTCCTCACGTGTAGGGCGTAGTGGTCAAACCGCGTCCATTCGATCTCACTAGGGTCAATGATGTGCTGTAGGGAGTAACACATGAGCACGGTACACTACGGCCAAGATGAGAGACGTACAAAGATGCTGTCGCCGTGCTCGTCGAGGATCTCCGACCATGAGTCAGAAGGAAGCAGCCGCAGAAGTGGCTTGAAGCTGTTTTGGTACCTCCAGAGCGTAGGTAGTACTGCTTCGTGCAGCATCTTGCACGTCCTCGCGAGTGCCGCCACAGCCGCCAGAGGCGCCTTAGCGTCTGGGTCCCGGAGTGAGTTGATAATGACCTGAAGGGTCTCGCCAATGCGCAGACAGCGGTGCGCTGCAGTGACTGTGGAGTAGTTCATCGTCGTCTATGAAAGGGGGTTAGCAGTGATTCTATGGATTTCAGTGCATCAACATACTACTTTGTATCGTCTTGCGAAAGGTTTGGTGCGCTGGCGAGGAGGTGAGAGACTCGGATAGTGTCAGCTCAGTGGTCAGGTCGGCGGTTATATGGGCTCTGCACGGATGTGCTTGGACCGCCGCCCAGTGCACATAGTCAATGCAGCTCGCAGACAGCTTTGACCCCCCCAATCAGACAACCAAGCGGTGTGGCTCCTGGCCAGCGCACGGGCCGACTCAGTGCTCCGCTGTCAAAGAACTTTATGCGTCAGGGGTGAAACGCACCTGCGAACGTTCGCATGGTAAGTAACACTTTAGTGGAGGCTAGTTATAGGAGTCAGCGCGGTGGCCAATCAACGCTGAGAAGTTGAGAGGACCTACAAAGTAGCTGTGGCGTGGCTAACTTGACGGCTGGCGCGGTCCAAGCGTCGAGGCTCCGAGTCGCTTACTCACCTACCACTGCAGTATATGGTGATGATATCACATACAGCGTACAGTTCTTTCGAGTGCCTCCGTGTTACCTTTACATTCGATTGGAATGAGGCTGCGTTTCGCCTCCATGACTCAGAGAAAAATTAGACTTGCACGGTTGCCGCGTTGTTAAAACGTTCCATTGGTGCATCACACTGACAGCGGACAATTATCAGACAGACCCTATACTTCGTTGCGAGGGCTTTGAATATAATTGATGAGTATACGGAGTTCGGCGGTGTCAAATGAGGGTTAAGTTGAGGGAGGGTGAAAGTGAACGAGTCACTCCGTCAAGGTGCCGAACGGTGGCGCGATCGGAGACGCCCAGCATCGTCGCGTGGCTGTGACCAGTGGATTGTTGAACACGAGGCGAGTTTACGAGCCCAGCTAGGCTATGACCACACGAACAATCCTGCCTCCTATAGTACAACCATGCAATATTGCCAGGTACCGGTTACCTTTGATTTTGCTGATTTGCGCTATCAATTCCGTCAAACACGCGAATGGCATGCGAAGATCTAGAGATGAAGGCACTCAGACGCATAAATCGCCATAGAATAGAATTGATATATATCAATACAAGTCACAGAATTCGAGAGCAGGCATGAGTGAACTATTTAAGCCTAATAGGAGTAAAATTACAAGTGGTCGCAAAGTTCTAGGGAGTCGAGAACAAGTCAGTTGACCGTAACACTTCGAGTCTAAGGGGAAGGTCGGGAGACATGTGTGGTAAGTAAACATTTCGAAGTAAAGTTCTCGAGGATCTGCGTTCGAAGAACGGGACGACCGGCACGCACCGTGACCTCTATCACTTCCACATAACACGATTCAAGAGCGGCTCATCGACTACGAACGGCCCCAGAGGCATATCGCGCCTGTCTGTGGGCGTCCAGGACTCGGACCCCTCCCTGGGCGGAGGCTCGACGAGCTTCCGCACCTCCTCCCACTCGCGCTGGTAGGTATACGGCTCCTCGCAGTACGGCCTGACTCCATTCACCCCAGTATGCCACAAAAGCCTCAGCGCCGGGAACACGTGCAGCAGGAAGTCCGCAACCCGCTGCGCATCCACGATCGGCCCGTAGTTCACCGCGAGAAACTCGAGCGCGCTCTGCGACGAGCCAGGCAGCAGCTGCGCGAGCGCCGCCGCGTCGGGCACCTCCACCGCGTGGAGCTCGATGTCCAGCCCGCGCAGCCGTGGGCACGCAAGCACGAACGGCACCAAGTCGGCCACCACGATGCGCGGGTCGTCGGGGCGGCGCTCTTCCCACATGTCAACGCAAGCGAGCGAGAGGATCTCGAGCCGCGGCCATGCCTGCGCGATGTCGCGGAGTGTGTCCGAGCCAGCGAAGAGCACGAACCTGCGGACGATGACGGTGCGGATGCCAGGGAGGGCGTAGAGCGGCCGGAGTGCTTCTCCGACAATCAGCCGGTCACGCCTCTCGTCCTTGTCCTTGTAACACTCGCAGACGAGTTCGAGGGTGGTGAACGAGTCGCGGTACGGCGCGCGCGCGATGGCGGCGCAGTGTTTCTGGACCATGCCGGTGTCGGGCTGCTCCTCGAAGTCGATCATCAGCTTCTGCAGGCCGGGGCTCTGTATGGCGCCAAGGAAAGTCTCCGTGTCCTTGTCTAGCCGGTCAAGGGAGAGGGACAGCGACGTGAGCGAGGCGAACCACAGACCAGCATACGGGTCGCGGACTCGGAGGCGAGCGGCCGCGGCCACCGTTTTGATCTCGGCCCGTTTGATGTCAATGTGTACCGTCGCGAGCCTGGGGAGCGCGGCGAGTGCTTCTGTGCGAGCGGCGGACATGTTGAGAAGGCCGTGGTACACCTGGAGATCCGGCAACGCGCGGAAGAGTGACATAAGGGCGCTAGCCTCTGCGTCCGTGGGGGCTGCCAGGCGCTTGCTGAAGACGAAGCCCCCCCTCAAAACACTACCGTCATCGCGGCACAAATCAAGGGAAAGGTATCGGAGGTTCTTGTGGTTGGCAACCACTTCGTTCATGAGCGATACAACGTCAGGCTCATAGATAGTGTGCGCTTTAATCTTGAGGCGCTCGAGAGTTGGCGTAAGGAAGAAACGGACCAAGGTGAAGTAGGGATAGCTGTCGTGGAAAACGAGGGTGCGGAGTTGCGGCAGGAGCGGGTTGGCAGGCGGATGATGATCGAGCAGCTCATGCAGGGGGTAGGCATACATGTCCGATGGGTGGTCCCAGTTGAGACGCCGCACATAGCGGGCGTAGTAGTTGAACCGCGTCCAACGGTCGACAGGCTCGTCGCAATCAACTAGTCTCTGTGAGGGTCTCTGATCAGTCGACGTGCGGAATGGAGTGACCGGTACGGGAACTCACAAGGAAGGGAAAGCGACCAGACTCGTCACGGACTTTGTTCCATGAATTGGACGGAAGCAGCTTCAAGAGCGGTCTGAGGCTGTCGAGAGAGTGCCATAGTGCGGGTGTGGATGCCTGGTTCAGCGCTTTGCACGTCGCCGCAAGCGACGCGAGAGTGCGCTCCCTCTGGGGCAGCGGGAGCCAGTCGAGGATGAGTTCAAAAATTTCGCAAAGCAGGAAGCAGCGATGCTCCACGAAAGTCGAGGGGTCCATTGCAGCGGGTCGTCGAGTTTGTCAAGGTGTTAATGCAACTGGTGAAGGATACAAAGGAAGCCCCGGCCTTATATGTTTTTCGGATGCGCACCACGCGTGGACCCACCGAAAATGTCCTGTGGCCCATACAATGCGCGGGGCGGGCGGTGTTGACGCCACCATTTTGGACAGGGCGCGCACCAAGTCCCGCCGCGCGAGGCACTGTGCGGCTGAACTTGAAGATTTCAAATAATTCGAGCGGTCAGCTTGGACCCAGCGCATCTACGAGTGCGAAACCAGGGGCGAGTCGTCATCGCAGTGGCCGGATCCACTACTGCTGGTGGCATGTCAATGAGTATGGGGTGAGTGAGCGCTGCATCGCAGGCAATGCATCGCAGTAGCAGGGCCCATATCTCAAGTAGGCTCTTCAATGCCGGAGGATTGAGTGTATCTGAGGAATGGGGGTTAAGTGAGACAGTAAAACTCAGAGTCGGAGAGACTAGTAGAGCGACTCATGTGACTTTCAACAAAAACTTACGGCCTGGACCGTGTACCGGTACGTACTATACCTCAGCCTTGCTACACAGGCTGCACATGTACGCATCGGGTGAGGTGTTGGAAAGCATGTCCTGAAGTGGTAAGCGGAGTAAAGCGAGCGTAAGAGTGAACGCGGTGGTCCGCCGGGCCCTATGATAGAGGCGCCAGTAGGAGACGCCCACCCTACCGCATACGGTCGCGGGCTCAGGACGATGACGTCACGCGTCGGGCGAGGTTAGGGCTGCGGCGTGCTCTTGCGGACGACTGCTTCGCTCGAACGACTGCTGCCTCACTCACTGACTGCTACCTCACTCACTCACTCACTCACTCACTCACTCACTCACCCACTCAGAGCTCGACGTGCTCCTGTCGATCGCCCTCCTCTGCGTCGACGCCGCTTCCCGGTGCCCCTCCGCAATCGCTCGGTCGCTTTCACGCCTGTCCTCTGCTGCAGTCCGCGCCGAGTCTGCCGTCCTCCCTTGCTTGTGTCTGTAGCCCGTCCTCGCTTGTCCCTCGCGTCCTCCCTTCTGGTGCGCTCTCTACGCTCCCATTGCCTCTCTTTCGGCCGGCCCAACATTGTCTGGCCGTCCTCTACGCTCTAACAGTGCGATATCGACGAAAAACGCACCTTTATTGCCGGCAGAAGATGCAAAACTTCGCACCTCGACTTCAAACTCTCAGCGAATGCTCGTCGGTCGTGCTACATGCCACATTCAACAGAGCGAAGCCGCCGCTTCCGTACTGCGCCCGGAATTCGACCTACACCGGCGCAATCGACGCCCACTAACGTCCCACAGACTTCATGATGCAACTCGTACGTAACGGATCCACGGGGAATCGTGCATAACACTTCAATCTCGAATCTGACGAGCCGCCATACCAGTGCGACACGATCTGCGCTCGCAAAGTCCGGACAAGCGCCACGCACACACCCTCTGCGGACGCCTCGCGGCGCTCGCGCCCATCGATTTCCGCCACAAGTACAGCACACGCCCGTCGGACGAGCGCGTATCGCGACACCTCCACACGCACGAAGACGCTGCACACGTCCTGCGCCCGGAATCTTGCTCGCTCGACTGCGACCTCCCACGAACTTCCGCCCGTGCCCCAGCGACGTTTTGCGCTCCGGCGCGCGCGATTCCGGGACAGATCGAAGCATGACTATATGCTCTTCGTCTGGGTGCGTTCGTAGGTCGAGCCCTTGCGAATTGCGCTGACAGTGTCGGTTTCTCAGCGCCCACGGACATAGAAACGCGAATCGCGCTCGCTACATGCGTCGTATCGGTCCCCATCTCTGTGTGTACGCTCGCCGTACCTGCATCGACCACCCACCAAAATTCTAGAGCGGCGCAACAACATCAGCGGCGGCTACGGCACTTTGTCCTCACCATCAAGCCTCAAGACACAGTGTACCCCCCTCGCATCGATATCACCCCCGGACGACTCCAAAACGAACCGAAAGGCATACACGGCCCTCGGTGCACCGACACACCGCGTTTCCGCACGATCCGAGCAGACAGCCGATTTCGTCAAACTCGACCGGTTTCATAGGCCACAGCACACACTCTGGCTTCCCCCCGCCGTCCCGCGCCCGTCCCGCGCCCTACAGCCCTAAAACTCGGTATGCACACTCCCACAGACGCTCTCCACCCGCCCTACCGTTCACCCCAGCCGCCCCTCGCCCCGTCCCCCCCAGGTGCGCCCGAGCACCCCGGCTCGGCACAATGTCCCCGCCGCCGTGCTCCGACGCCACGCCGTGAGCCTCCCCAAACGCGAGCGTGGGCTCTACTCACCAGGATGCACGTGCACGCCGACGCGCAGCGCGATCCGCGCACAAAAAAATCGCGTCTTCGCGGCCGATTTCATGCGCATGCGCCCGACGCCCGTTGCGCTGCGCCTGCCCCGCGCGCGTCCCGCGCCCGAACGCCGCGCCACGTCGCAGGGACGGTCGTGGGCACCGCCTGCGCCGGCCCCGGGAGTTGTAGAGCCGATCGCCTGCTTTGCGTCTTGACGGCCGCGCGGGGATTTCGCCCGTTTTGGGCGGACACGACACGCGGCGCGCTCGCCCCCAAGAGGCCGCGCCGTTTCACCAGGCCATTCGCAAGCCTCGCAGGACACTCCTCAATGCGTGCTGAGAGCGCAGCCAGGCGCGGGCGCGTCTCGGGGTGCCCTGCGGCTGGCCAGTGCAGCCCGCGGCCAGTAGGTGCAGTGTGTGCCCGTCCCCGGCGGAACAGGTGCACGCCACACCTCCTGGCATTGGGCTGCACGGCGGCGGCGTCTGCGCGACGGGCGAGGGAGGCATGTGCGGCGCGTGCTTCGCTCGTGGTTCTGGCAGCGGACAGCGGAGCCTCTACCGAGTGCGCGTCGCGCCGAGTCGTCGCTGGAGACGGCGTGCTGGACACACGTGCCCGGGGCGCGTCGGTGCGGTCCAGGAGCCGGGGCGAGGGCGGGAGACGGCGGCCCCGCCGCTATGCGCACGCCATAGCACGGCGCACACCGCCTCCCACTCCGCGAAGGGAGTCTCGCGGCGCCGCCGCCCGCACTCCCCGCCGAGACGCTATGTATGTACGTATAGGGATCTACCTACGTCGCCGCCCTCCTCACCTTCTCCTCCCCTCCCCGCCGCCGGCTTCCGGGGGCCCTGCCTACGATGCCCGCCGCCCGTACTGTACCCCGATGGCGCGTTAGTGCTGGAGATGGGAACGTCAGGGGCCTCGCGTGCGGACGCGCTGGATCGCGTGAACGTACCTTCGACGCTGGAGAAGTCGACGCGACGGCCCTGTGGCCGTGGAGAGCGCGGGTGTGCACTGCTGGAACGCCAAGTGAGTGAGTTCATCACCGTGTCGCGGGGCGTGGGCGGAATCGCACTCACCGTGATCGCACAGGACACGCCGGCGCGCGACGCGGGCGGAGTCGCCCAGGCTGCATGTACCGTATCGTAGCGCGCTGCGCCTGCTGCACTAATCTACGTGTATTCACAGGGACCTACGCTATGACCTCTCATCCCGCGCGGGGCCCTTCACATACCGCTGCGCCGTGTCCGCCCGAACTCCCGCGTCGTTGTCGCAGGCGATGTACTGAGGCTATACGGGACGAGGCATAATGGTGAGTTTGACCGTCGATCATACGTGCGCGAAGTATTTGCTCACCTTGTGGGTCTCCAGCAGCGCGCCTAACACGACGAACAGATGTCGAGGCCGTAGGCACTGCGCCGAGGACTGCTTCCCCGTGCGCGGGTATCTGTATAGGTAAAGTGTATGGCGTACCCTTGGATGTGATACCAGACTGACTCACCATACATTACAGCGCCGAAGACGTCGCCTCGCGGGCACCGGTGAATACGAGCACGCAGACTTTGTCTGTGCACGCCCAGCGCCCACCGGGGGACCTGGAGAAGGCAGGTCAGGCGCGTTCTCGTATTCGGGGGTATGCGCTGACCTACCAGGATTCACGAAAGGGCAGACAGCTGTTTGAAGTCCTAGAGATACACACGAGGCGGTTAAGACCTGCTCGACGAGGGCACACACTTACCAGGACCGCCGCCGAACACACAAAGCCCCGAGCAACGCCATACACCGGAAAAGCGCACCCAATGCGGCATGCTGCGTGTACCGTGGCTGACCCCTTCCAGGACGTCAGCATGTGTGCAAACTGCGAGAGGGACACATACCGGATCGCGTACCGCCCACTGCTGAGCCTGAAGCGCAGCGCGATGCTCCCGCGCACGCCTTCATGCCACCCGTACCGCGCGCCCACCCGCCTCGCATAGCTGGAACGGGAAGGTCAGTGTTCAAACATGGACATCCTGGAGAGGCTGACATACCGCTGCGCGCAGCATGATGTTCTGTGGGGCGCACGGCGCCGCAGGTCTCGGAGCGCTGGAGCAGGCGACGACGAAGGAAGGAGAGGGGCCCGGCGACATTGCTGCGAGCGAGTGTAGAAGGGAGGGGAGAGGGTGAGTACGCCCGCGTCGTAACCGAGCTCGTATCTATCCTCGGCGTGCTTTAGGGCCGTCCTCCGCTCCCGTCGTACCATGGCCCGTGCGGCGACCATGCACTCGAGCCCAGCCCTCCCCCGTCGCGCGGAGACGGCTGACTGCTGACTGCCGGGACAGGGCAACGATCTTACGAGAGGCTCGGGACGACCCACCGAGCCTTCCGGGCGGCGCACCTACCAGGATACGACACGCTCAGCCGAGGGATACGGGGCGAGCGGGAGAGGATAGGCACGGACGGACCGCGGGAGGGCGATGTATAGTTACGCGGTGCGGTGCGTTTCACCGTCGCGTCGCGATCCACAGATCCAGGACACGCAGCACGCTCGCTTCGGACGGCCGGCGCTCGGTACGCGAGGAGCCACGGACCGCCCCCGTTTCGAGAGTCCAAGAGCAACGTCGCATCGGGCTTGATACGGCATCGGAGGTCGCAGTTTGTGGAGGTCGGCAAGGGCAGGAGTAACAACAGCGGGGGCCTATCTCCACGCCCGCCCCCACTGTCTATGCAAACATCTCTGTCCCCCCATATCCCTTCCTCGTCGTCTCTCAGCATGTATCAAATCCAGTACCATATGTAAACAATTGTGAAATATATTTTGTGCGGCCTCGTACTGCGTGTGTGCGACACTCACGAGCAAAGTCGCGTTGACACCCCTTGTGCAGTGTCCGCCCATGACGGCACGATGATGCACACCGTCATATCGCAGGCGCGGCCACGACGACAGGAGTGTGCAGCGCAGCATTCACGGACATGCCACTATGTACCTGCTCGCACTGATCCCGCCATACGAGCTTCTCATCAAGTCTTGTCCCTCGCACCATCCCTCGGGCCTGTAGTATATGTATATGTGGCACGCGCATGCGGGATACTAGTCACGCCCGCCAACGACCAGGATGGTTTTGCTCATGCAAGCAGTGATATAAGTACATGCCTGCCGCATGGGAGCCGCACTCTGTGTCGCGTCTTTCCACTCGCGGCGACGCGCCCCCTCATTCATGATACTTGCCTCGCCTCCCTGCCGCCATCGAAGTACGACAACGTCGCCCTCGCGATATCATACTGGGAGCGACAAACAAAGTTAGTAATGATTTCGCGCGATTGGGCGACACCAGTGTCCACTGTCAAATGACCAAACTCACTGTGTGCACCGTGGGTCCAGTCGTTCTGGACATTGGGGTCTCCTAGCGGATGGCGTCTTCGCCTCAGGAGAATCCGTTTGAGGTGCGGTATCGAGTGAACAAAATCTGCAAACTTGTAGAGTGAGCCTACCATTCAGACAACAGAGTCTCGACATACCTCATTGATGAATGTCCAGAACAATGCATGGGAGCCGTCCATGGCTATCAACATAGCCGTCTTGTACGCCGATACATCGGACACTATGGAGGGGTCGAGAGAAAGGGTGCACGGGTGGCTGAGGTGTTCCGTCGACTTCATGCACAAGTAGTCTGGTAGCCTTGCCACTGTGTACTTGTGCACTGAATATAGAGCGTATATACGGGCACGCTGCGGGCATATCGTTGAAAATGACACGCTGGGGCGCACAACGACCGTCACGGTGCATGTACCTTCTCAGAGAGGCAGGACAAGATCTATCCAGATCGGAAGGCGGGGGGGGGGGCCTGCTACGCAGTCGGGATGCCTCCAACATCACGGCGAGCGATTATGCAGGCAATCTGACGTACTTACCAAGCTACGAGAACATGCTCGGCAACAGTCACGGTGTTCAGATTGCTACAGCCGCTCGAAGCCCGCGTGAAGGTGGATCTAGACCGCCCGAGGGCGTCTTTCGGCAGGTATCTTCGGCCAAGGTACTCTTCGTTACGATCCCTTCGTGCAGGGCCAGTAAAGCGGAATCGAGGCTGTCGGCGTTGAGGCACGAGCAGGCACGCGGCGGTTGCCTGGCGAGTTTAGCACCGGAGTGAGAATACCAGGAAGCCCGAGATCCCCGCAGCACCACACACTCCATCGAGATCTGAATTTGGCGGCACAACCAGTAAATGTTTCAAAACGAGTGCGATAGCACAGGCTGGTGGTGTTGCCCTAGTGGTGGTGAAAGCGAAAGTAGACTCGACGCGAAGCGCCGAATGCATGTGCGGGTCAAACCTTCTTACCGTAAAAGGCAGGTATGCAGAGAGAGATGCCGGGCTCGCTCTCGCGCTCGCGCCTTGGCTTCTGCAACCGCGACGAGTCGGCCGAATGCGAGCGCGGTGTTCAGTACACATGTGCGACATGCGCGCAAGTGACGTAGGGGTGCCGGATCTTGACGCAGGGTCAAGCGAGAGCACCGGCAGCTTCGGGACCACTCAGATCTGGACACAACCGATCAGCGCAAACCTTCGGTTCTCCGGCCGCTCTGGTTTTGCACGGAATATATCACATAGTATCTTGGCCCGTAAATAATGTACATGCTCAACCTAGTATATGGGAGACTAGAAATGAAGAGGTCAGGATTGATAGTGTGTGGAGCAGGTGCTGCACACAGTATTATCCCCAGTCCCCTCCAGTTCTGGACACTGAGGTGGGAGAAGACGGGAGTATGACCAAGCCCTGGACAATTGGACAGCTGTGTTAGGCGATTATTCAAATTCTGAATGGGAACAGAAGGGCATTATTCTAGAGCATCAGCGGGCAGAAATTATGTCAGAAGGAGCCCTGAATGTTGTCTATCCTGAGGCATGTCCGATCACACCACGGCCACAAAGAAATGTTTCAATTGGTTGGGTGTATCAACGGAGACTAAATACAGTACACGCGAGGGGCGGCGGCCCCGGGTGGCCACTATCGTAAACTCAGAAGATGGAAGATTTCGCTACAGGCGCTGCAGGCAGGCAGCAACCGCTTGCCATGATCCTGACCCGATGCACCCGCATGCGGCACAGCAGCGGTGTCGTGCATCCGTCCCATGCCAACCGCATATGATCCGGGCCAGTCGCGACTCGCATTCTCATGGCAGATACGTTCCCGCACCGTTTCTCTGCGTCTGCCCCACCCCTCCTTCATCCCGCCCATCGCCAACATCTCCATGACCCTCCTGCTCTGAGCCTCCGTTCGCTTACCGTCTTCATCCTGCTCGAGTGCCCACTAACACCGCCTATTCATGCTCCACAGCATCTCAAGCTATCTGCCACACGGTTGCTCTGGTTGCCGGATACAAGGAAAGGTACGTGTGCACGTGCATGCTCCTATGGCATGGCTGACACAAACCGACTTGCGCACGCAGACACGCTCGTCCCAAGAGACATGCCTCGTGATGGTCTCCCGGGACAGGGTGGTCGGCGCGGGGCTCGTGCTCCCTCCGTGCAGAGGCAGAACACGAGGGAGTGGGAGGAACGACGGCGGCGTACCTTCGCTGGCGATGCCCGTGTAGGCTAGATCAAGTGGATTGTCCTCTTGGACGGACATGGGCTGGCCTTGCGTGACATCGCAGCCGTGAGCCAGCGCATCTACAACGGAAGAGGTGAGTACCTTGCCCTATCTGCATTGTACCATGCACTGAACACTTATCTGCCTCGTTACAACATCTGAAGTGTGGCAAGCTGGTGGCTTCCAAAGCCGGAGGCGAGCCCGCACTGATGCTCACACGAGTCTCCTCAGGAAGATGATAATGGCACGATGTGTGCACGATGAGTGCAACCGAAGGACGTGACGACCGAGGACAAGCCCATCCAGCTCGCGCCCTCCCCAGTCGCCTGCACAGTCTCTCACGCGCATCTGCGGCCATGCTGTCTCTCGCAGCTGGCCGCGCGTGCATTTGCATTTGCATTCACCATCTTTCAGCCACTTTCACACCGCTCGTCTGCCCTTGTCTCTCGCCTAAGTACTTCTATCTTGTTCTCTTCAAAAGCATTCACTTGGACATGCAACGATGAAAACGACATCGTCTGGCTGTAACAGGGCACCTCGCGCCTGCAATTCCGGGAGCAGCATATGCAAGACACTCACACTCGGGCCAGAAGACACGCTGCATCTCGTGAGCTCCTGTGAACGAACACGGTGGGTCCTTGTAGCAATCTGACAACTCGACTCCTGGCAAGACTTACCGGCAGCTCGGTGGACCGCAGGCACGCACGCGCTCGGCGCCGGCATCGCACTCCGGACCCCGGTACGGAACGATGCACCAAGCACGGAAGGCTTGGTACGTACTCACGCCCCGTCTTTGCTACTTCTGCGCACACTCCTACTGACTCCTTTGACGTCGTAGGTGTCGCCTTCGAGTCTGGGAAAGCAAGAGGGAGAATGTGAGAGCGGTTGGTGGCAGGGAAGGTGGCAGCGTGGCGGCACGCGGCTCACAGAACGGTAAACAGTGTCCACTTAGGCGCCTCGCTTCTGATTCTCATTCCAACTTGCATTCGGGGCCACCTCGCGATGTCTCCACCTCCTCCCTTTTCCTTTCGCCTTCCTGGATAGCTCGGAGCAGCCAGCCAGCCCAAAAAACGACGACCATCTTGTCACAGCGGGTATGTACCGTATTTGTCCGTCGCACTTCTCACAAACTGATGGGGCCGATAGCACGGTCCACATAGACATCAAACTTACCAGAGCATGGCCGTGCATGTCCACCAGCACGAGGATGAGCAGGCGGTGGGATATGGCAGCGTATTTGCGACGGATAAGTAGCAAGTCGCAAGTGAGACTCGCCTCATTCTCGCGAGCAGCCTCGGTTTAGGCGCCGGCGCACTGCGAACACATCGTGGCCGGCGAGACACGCTGTAGCCCTCACTCGTCTTCTTTCGCGAAAACAAGCATCTGCTCACTCGGTACAAAATCCCGCGGTGCACGCGCGCCCTCACATTTTGCCCCGTGTCCCGGGCACATCAAGCGGAGGTCGCATGAGGTCGAGACTCGCTCGGTCCTGTTTGCAAACTAGACGAGCACGAGTACACATCCGCCACGGCTTTGTCTTGAGCGATTACACTTACCTTTCGAGCTAGCACACAGGGACATCTGCTATGCTCACGGGTGTGCATAAGATCGGCACCATGTGTGCAGCACGCGACCGGCGGGGCCGGAGTGCACTCAGAGACGTCTCGCGCCCCGAGCGCACTTCATTGCGGCCACGCGAGGTCGAAACAGGTTGCCGCAGCTACTTCCGAGCAGACATACGTGAAGTACGTACCTGATCTGTTCTCTCCGAGGTCTGTTGCTCATTTTCTGGCCTTGTAGACACCGGTTCTGGCCTTCGAGTCGCGTTCTGCTGCATACAGAGGTGGAACGGCGAGCATGCACGATGGGGGGGAGATGGCGGGATGGAAGAAACCCGCAAGGCGAGACTCGGACTTGGACGTTTGACAGATCGGCGGAATAGGCGCCCATAGCGCGCGAGTGATTCTTACCTCCCGCGCCGGCGCTGTAAGCACGCGCATGGGCTCGCGTCTTTGACACGCGTTGATTAGGACATCACCGAGGTGGTATGTACCGTTTCTTTCACTCGCAGGTACAGGCTTTTGACTAATGACTCTGCCCGGCTCGCAGAGCAGACCTGGGAAAGCGTGCAGACACAGCGGGGAGCACATAGGGCAACTCTGCGAGTGGGATAAGACATCTGTCAATGGCACGCCGCGCCGGCCTTTGCAGTTTCGAGTTGCGTCGGAATAGGCGCCCGCGTCCATGCGAGTGCGCGGAGTGTCTCGCGCTCTTCCGGACGCATCGAGGGCCATTGACGGTCCCGCGAAGGGAGTCCTGGTGGCTTCTCGTTCCCACCGTGGCCGACCGAGAAGAGGACACTTGGCGCGAACGCGCAAATTGTCTCCCGGACTCGCAGGTAAGCAACTCATCGATCCGAGAACTTGCGGGACGCTTACCTTGTCTGCGCAGCGCCCGAAGCGAATATGTCGATGCCGGGCTTCGCGTCTCGGAGCTCTGGCATGGCGGGAGACTTGCGACAGGCGGACGAGCTGCACACGGAGCACTGCGCGCGAGAATTCCGCGTTTACAGCTCGTTTCACGGCAGCGCTGCACACACCGGATGGCTCCGATGCACTCAAAAGTGCGACCGCTCATGTCCTCACTCTGGCAGGCGGCGAAGGGCGACTTTCCCGCGACTGCGATGCCGGTTCTCCCGCAACCACAATGCGAAGGCCCGTCATCTGGGCGCGCAAACAAACGGCCGCGCGCGCGTCGCACGGAGATCGATCCGAGTCACGGTATGCACTGGCACCATTCCCTCTTCCACGGCTCCCAGCATAATTTCATGCTAGCAAATGGCGGATACGACGGGTGGTAAGCGCGATGTTACTGGAGCAGGAGCGGGTGAGCGAGGCGGGACGGCGACCGGGGCAGAGAGGACAGCGGCGAGACTTGGCAGCTTCGAGCTACGCCCGTTTAGGCGCCCGCGTCCAACGGAGTGCACGAAGTGCTCTCGACGGCTGTCCTGCACTCGTCCTTTGCGCGAATTGCGCGACAGGGCTGTCCATAGTACCAGTAGTCTATAACACAAGTTACTGTGCGTTCTGTCCAGCCCAGAGTGCGAAATCCGGGCCCTCTCCTCCCGTCGAGTTCTCCCCACCTCTGCAGCACCTACTATGCCCCAGAGTATAGCCCCCGAATCGACGCGCCTACTGTGTGCCCGAATCGACGCACCTACTGTGTGCCCGAATCGACCCAGAGTCCGTAGTTATTCTCCTGGCCGTACATCCTCCCCTCCCCATCCAGCCGAGATCCGCAATGCAGATAGCCATCGCAGTACCCCCCGCGCCCGCGCGGTAACGGCGAGCCTGTTGCGAAGCTCGGCGGCGGCAGGCTGCTCCTCGAAGTCGATCATCAGCTTCTGCAGGCCGGGGCTCTGTATGGCGCCGAGGAAAGTCTCCGTGTCCACGTCCAGCCGGTCAAGGGAGAGGGACAGCGACGTGAGCGAGGCGAACCACAGACCAGCATACGGGTCGCGGACTCGGAGGCGAGCGGCCGCGGCCACCGTTTTGACCTCGGCCCGTGTGATGTCAATGTGTACCGTCGCGAGCCTGGGGAGCGCGGCGAGTGCTTCTGTGCGAGCGGCGGACATGTTGAGAAGGCCGTGGTACACCTGGAGATCCGGCAACGCGCGGAAGAGCGACATAAGGGCGCTAGCCTCTGCGTCCGTGGGGGCTGCCAGGCGCCTGCTGAAGACGAAGCCCCCCCTCAAAACACTACCGTCATCGCGGCGCAAATCAAGGGAAAGGTATCGGAGGTTCTTGTGGTTGGCAACCACTTCGTTCATGAGCGATACGACGTCAGGCTCATAGATAGCGTGCGCTTTAATCTTGAGGCGCTCGAGAGTTGGTGTAAGGAAGAAACGGACCAAGGTGAAGTAGGGATAGCTGTCGTGGAAAACGAGGGTGCGGAGTTGCGGCAGGAGCGGGTTGGCAGGGAGATGATGATCAAGCAGCTCATGCAGGGGGTAGGCATACATGTCCGATGGGTGGTCCCAGTTGAGACGCCGCACATAGCGGGCGTAGTATTTGAACCGCGTCCAGTCGACAGGCTCGACGCAATCAACTAGTCTCTGTGAGGGTCTCTGATCAGTCGACGTGCGGAATGGAGTGACCGGTACGGGAACTCACAAGGAAGGGAAAGCGACCAGGCTCTCACGGACTTTGTTCCATGAATTGGACGGAAGCAGCTTCAAGAGCGGTCTGAGGCTGTCGAGAGAGTGCCACAGTGCGGGTGTGGATGCCTGGTTCAGCGCTTTGCACGTCGCCGCAAGCGACGCGAGAGTGCGCTCCCTCTGGGACAGCGGGAGCCAGTCGAGGATGAGTTCGAAAGTTTCGCAAAGCAGGAAGCAGCGATGCTCCACGAAAGTCGAGGGGTCCATTGCAGCGGGTCGTCGAGTTTGTCAAGGTGTTAATGCAAATGGTGAAGGATACAAAGGAAGCCCCGGCCTTATATATTTTTTGGATGCGCACCACGCGTGAACCCACCGAAAATGTCCTGTGGCCCATACAATGCGCGGGGCGGGCGGTGTTGACGCCACCATTTTGGACAGGGCGCGCACCAAGTCCCGCCGCGCGAGGCACTGTGCGGCTGGACTTGAAGATTTCAAATAATTCGAGCGGTCAGCTTGGACCCAGCGCATCTACGAGTGCGAAACCAGGGGCGAGTCGTCATCGCAGTGGCCGGATCCACTACTGCTGGTGGCATGTCAATGAGTATGGGGTGAGTGGGCGCTGCACCGCAGGCAAAACATCGCAGTAGCAGGGCCCATATCTCAAGTAGGCTCTTCAATCCCGGAGGATTGAGTGTATCTGAAGAATGGGGGTTAAGTGAGACAGTAAAACTCAGACTAGTAGAGCTATGGCGACTCATGTGACTTTCAACAAGAACTTACGGCCTGCACCGTGTACCGGTACGTACTATACCTCAGCCTTGCTACACAGGCTGCACATGTACGCACCGGATGAGGTGTTGGAAAGCATGTCCTGAAGTGGTAAGCGGAGTAAAGCGAGCGTAAGAGTGAACACTACGGTGGCAGTTATGGCTCAGGCTGGCACACAAAGACTGTCGCTCCGGACAAAAGTGATCGGCACGATCTTCATTAGATTATAAAGAGGGGCACATATGGATATACTAGCTGAGCTTCCAATATTTAAGGTCCTGTCCGTTAAAAATGTCTAAAAATCGTCACCGACTCAGTCAACAATGATGCTAGTGTGGAAATGTCGAGTAAGTATGTACTAGAATAAAATGAATACGATGCGATAGTTCAGTGAGCAAACACTACACTTCAAGGTTCTCGAGGAGCTACTGTGGTCGAACGATGGGGCGACCGGCACATGCCCTCTGCCCTACATATCAAGTATCGCGTCGAAGGAGAAAAAGTAACGCGGACGGACGACAAATGGCCGAACCTCTGCACACTGCATATCCCGTACGTCGTGCCGATCCAAGGGCTCATCGGGCAGGGCCGTCGCCCTGCCCGCGAGGAGATCGTCCACCATCGCCCACTTGTCCTGGTAGTCATGCTGTATCCTCATCCAGTCATAGTCGGGACGTATCCTCACCCAAACGATCTCAAAGCCCGCGATGAAGTCTGCGGAAGATGAGTGTCTCAAGTCCCGTAGCTCGGGGAACAAGCGTGCCAAAAAGGCCGCCGCCTGGTGCGCATCCACGTCTGGGGCGTTGTGCACGGCCAGGATCTGCAGCGCGTGGCGCGATGGGGTGGGCAGCAGCTGGGCGATCGCCGCCGCGTCCGGAACCGTAGCGTCGTGGATCTCCAGAGCCAGTGCGCGCAGACGCGGGCACTGGAGCGCGAAGGGCACGAGGTCGGCGAGAGTGACGCGCGGTACACCGCTCATCGGCTGTGGCAGGGGGATACAGCACAGTGCGAGGACCTCGAGCTTTGGCCAGGCGTGTGCGATATCGCGGAGCGTGTCTGGGCCAGCGGAGATTATGAAGCCGCGGAATATAAGGGTGCGGATGCCGGGGAGGGCGTAAAGGGGGTAGATGGCGTCGCCAACGTCGAACCCCATGCCCCCATGGTCATATACTGGAGTGTCCAGTTGTAGGGTCGTTAGCGAGTAGCGGTACGGCGCGCGCGCGATAACGGCGAGGCTGTCGTGAAGTTCGGCGGCGGTGGGCTGCTTTTCGGCGTAGAGCACTAGTACCTGGAGGGCGGGGCTCTGTATGGCGCCAAGGAACACGTTCGCGTGTTCATCCAACTCGTCTACAGCGAGAAACAACGTCTTCAGTGCAGGGAAGAACGGGACATCCTGCGGGACGGGGAGGCGAGCAGTCACTGCTTCGATGGCGCCAAAGTCGAAGGACAAGTGCAGCGTCGTGAGCTGGGGGAGCATGGCCAATGCTTCGACACGGGGTGCAGTCATGTTCCATATGGCTTTGTACGTCTGGAGCTCCGGCAAGTCGCGGAGGAGCGGCAGGAGAGACACGTTGAGCCAGTCTGGGGAGATACATGCGGACTTGAGCACGTCCGGGATGCGACACATGGGGCCGTCGCGCGTCTTGAAATGAAGCACGAGGCACTTGAGACCCCGGCACACCGCACGCACATCCTCCATGAGCGATATCACGTCGCTCTCCGGGATATCGAATGAATCGAACCTTAGACATTTGAGGGTCGGCGTGAGGAGGTACCGGACGAGACAGGAGTGCTCCTCGAGGGATCCAACCCAGTTGAGGGTGCGGAGCTGCGGGAGGGGCGGCTGGGCGGGAGGGTGGAGGGCGAAAAGGACAGCCAGAGAATCGGCTGAGAAGTCGGCCGGGGAGGACCGGTGGAGGTCATGTACATGGCGTGCGTAGTGATCGAACCGCGTCCAGTCGAGATTGCTTTGTTGGGCGACGATCTGTAATGGATGCCCCCAGTCGGTCAATGCGTGTTTTGCAGCGGCCGATATCAGGGACTTACGAGTATAATTCTATCCTGCTCATCACGGCCTTCTGTTACTGCACCGGGCGGAAGCAGCCGCAAGAGCGGCGAGAGGCTGTAGAGAGTCTGCCAGAGCAGGGGTATGGCTGCCTCGTTCAGCATCTTGCACGTCCTCGCGAGCGATGCCAGAGTACGAAACCTGAACGAGAAGAGCGAGCCCATGATCAATGTGAGGATCTCGTCGACCGCGAGCGCGCGGTGCACTACGGAAGTTGAGGGATCCATCGTCGGCGAGCCTGTCAGAGGAGTTCTTGATCAGTAATGATTTTCGCAGCTCGAGCATATGGACGTACTTTTTTGGAGCGGGGGCGGAGTGGCGGTTGAGCAGGCCTGAAGTGGGGAGACCAGAGCCTTATATGCTCCGTGCCCGCAAACAGCGCGTGGACCCCCCGCGAGAGCCCAGTGGCCCATGCCATTCACGGGCAGTGTTGGGCCACCCGGATCGTCCTGCCGCGCACAACCTTACCTGACGCACTTGGTGCATCCAATCTTGAAAACAGGAACCCAAAATCCTGCGGACAGTCAGCTTGGACCCGGCACGTCTATGAGTTCGAAATCGAGGGCAACGTGTTGCCGCAGTGGCCCGCCAGCACCAATATTGGGATGAGCGCAAACTTAGCGAGCACCGCAGCGAGCACAAAGCATCGCGCAAGCACGTCCCATATCTCACGTATGCTCCTAAAGCTTGGAGACTTGAGTGCCCATGTAACTGCGGAGTGAGCGAATACGCGAGCGAGAGAGAAAGCAAGAATAAACGATGCGTACCTCTCGCCAAGGCTTAGGGCGAGAGACGCCCGGGTCCAGTGGCTGGGCGCCAAACGGTGCAGCCTGCTTGTTCAGATACGACAACGATATCCAACGTCACAAGTAAGTACTTCCTCCTGTGCTTCATAGCAGGCCTAGGCCTGAAAGTCATGCGCAAGCTTACGTCCACATGCATACGTTGAGGGTGAGCGCGATAGCATCGACGCCTTAGCACCGTGACGTTTAGTTGCTGACATTGCACGCCCTCAGGGGCATTTTAGCGTCTCGCTTCTCACTAGTCAACTACTCACAGCTGCTATTATGGATACAAGAGAATTTTCAGCTCTGCCAAGATTAGGTGCAACAATACAATCGTACTAATGCCGTCAATAGGTCGTGGTATGCTGAGGAGTGTGTGGGTAGTAGTGCGTGAAGAACCATACGGTGTTCGTGAGCGGTGGGTATGTAGACATGGATCATCTGCGCAGAATGCTGATGAGTGGACGGTCATTGCCACAGACGTTCGACAGTACAGACCTGGTAGTGGGATTTCCCAACTCTACACCTGCACCTGCTCGACGTTCGCTTCATTCTTGCCCTTGAAGCTGGGCGCAGGTTCCGACGCGGCAACTGGAGCCGAAACCGGAGCAGCCGATACGTGACGCGCACGCCGCGCGGCAGCGAAAGACAACGCGGTCGAGATCGCGCCGAAGAGGAACGCAATCCACGGCAGGATGACGGCAAGCCTGACTAGAACCCGCCGGTGGGTCAGAACCACGTCATTTCGGAGAAGGGCCGAACAAGCGGCGCGAACACGCACGGTAGTCGATCTCGCGGTACACGGACGTCACGCCGAGCTGCGCCTCGACCGTCTTGATCACGGCGGGCTGCAGCTGGAGGGTCCCGATGAACGCGGTCACCTTCGCCTCCCTGTTCGCGACAAAGTCCGTCATCGCGACCAACGCGGCGAACAGCCAGAGCGTGAGGAACGCGAACAGCCCGCCCTGGAGCGGCAGCGTGCGCGTCGAGAGCGCCGCGCCGCTCTTCGCGGGGCGCGTGAAGAGCAGGAGGACGAGGGAGGCGAGGGAGAGCGCCGCCAGCGCGGCGCAGACGGCGGTCACGACGCAGCCGACCTTGAAGACGTCGCCGGTGTCGATGGTGACGACCGCGCCGAGCGGCGCCTGGTTCTTGACGAGGTCCTTTTGGTCGTTTGACTTCACGAGCGCGTTAATGCCCGTCGCGAAGCCGATCACGCCGAACGCGAAGGTGAGGAAGAGGGCCGCGAGGCGCGCGGTCCGGAGGGGGGTGGTCGCTGCGAGCATGGCGGGGAGTGTGCGGGGCTAGCTAGGCGGCGGCAGCAACGGCGACGGGGCGGATGAGGGCAGAGAGCGCGTCCGGGACTCGCGCAGGACCACGCGGGGATTATAAACGGATCGGCGCACATGGGAGGGATTGGCGTTCGAGAAACGCGCTCGGCAGCTGACAGTCCGCCGCTCCTCCCAGACATATCCTGCCTGCCTATTGCGGCATGCTGCTGCCCGCATCCGGATAAGCCTCTTGCCCCGCGTCACTCTGCCCCGATCGCAGCGACGCCACCGCTCTCCTCCAAACCTCCCCATGACCGCCCTCGCCGCGAAACACCACGGAGCCCCTCTCTCGTCTTTGTCTGAGACGCGCAGTCCCCCGCACGCACTACCTTCGTTCGCCCGCGCCTGCCTCAGCGCCAGGAAAAAAATGCAATGTTGTCGCACGACCGCGTGCTACTACGCCAAACCCGTTGGGGGAAGTGCACAAGAACGCGCCCTCCTTTCGGGGAACGCTGATCCTCAGAATCCGCATGACCAACCAGGTCCAACCTTGATCCCGCGCCCACGCTTAGCCGTCTTTGCCCCTCTCTCAGCTGCCCCTTGCCTGTGATTTCTCGTGTATTCCGCAGCACGAAACAGCACGAAACACGCAAGTCGTCTGAACACGACCCAACCGTCGTAGCGTCCGCGACAGACCGACACTGTTTAGAGTGCTGAGCGGGCAGCACCGCCACCGCGCCCATTGGGGTTGCAAAGACATGAGCCGAAGGGGATCGATCGTGGTCCGACGAGTCTCGAACTCGTCGCCGGCGAATAAGAGTGGGAGAGTCGGTCATATAACGGCGGGGCCTCGATCTGCCGGTGACTGCGACGGACATTGCGAAAGGTGCGGACGTGCGCGGACATGGACTGTCGGGCCTCGATCTGCCGGTGAAGGTAGTGTTACGGGAGCGCTGGAAGGTTTGGACGGAGAAGCACCGCGCCAAAACGGCGATCAAGGAACGCTGGGAAGAACTGGCGGGCAGAACGCGTTCTCATAAAGCCTGGACTCCAGCACGATCGTCGCGTGGAACATCGTGCGGCCGCTCAATGAAATACAGATGGTACGAGCCGAAACACGATGTACGAGCCAGACGTGCGCGAGGACGGGATGCAGACGGAGCATAGTCAAACAGAAGGTAGACCAACATGTACAGACAACTGCTGCCACTGTGGCGTCGAAACCACAAGGTACTCACAAGGTCCGAACTCTGGTGGAGCGTCTAAGCCTTCCGCGCGAGGAGCAGCGCCATCGGCCACTTGATGTTCACGACATCCTCGTCCTTCGGCACCTCCTTGCCCTCCGCGCGCCCAACCTCTTCCTTCAGCCTCCTCCAGAACCGCACCGCAATATCCCCATCTGCGCGCTCGAGGTCCGCCGGGTGCGCCTCGTGGAATGTGTGCAGCGGGCTCCATGTGCGGAGGAACCCCAGCAGCTCCGTCCACGTCAGGGCCTTGCGCAGGACCACCGGGCGCGCCCCCGCCAGGTCCGGGTAGTGCGGGGCGGTGAAATATATGCGCTCGAATTCGCTGTTGAACTGGCTGGGTAGGGCCTCGCGCGGGTCTGGCACGGCGACGAGGTGCCCGTCGAGGATGGTGCTCCCGGGGCGCTCCCAGTAGGGCCCAAGCGAGTTGACGGGGTCGCTGCCCTGCCGGTAGTCGTTGATGAGGGGTGTCGCGGAGGGAAAGCCCGAGAGGCGGAATCCCGAGTATCCCTGCAGTATTCAAGGATGTAAGGGTCAGACTGATAATGGTGCAGCGGCGTGCGAGTGCAGATGCCACTCTAAAATGCCACTCTAAAATGTTGGCATAAATAGAAACGTGGAAGGCGTACCCAGGCGGCAAAAGTTCCGTCCTTGCGCAAGGCTCGTGCGACCTCTGGCCAAACCTTGTTCCAGTTAAACCAATGGTATGCCTGGGCTATAAACTAGGATGAGTTGAATGTAAACTGGTTCGTAGCTGTCACTGAACGGACAAACGCACCCGCGACTATGAAATCGACGCTTCCTTGCTCAACAGGGAGGGCCTCAGCGGAAGCCTGCACGAACTCGACCGGTGAGGACAAGTCGAGCCCCGCGAGTCGCAACTTCACGTTCTCCCGTGCTTGTTTGATCATGCGCGCGCTCAGGTCCACGCCGATTATGCACTGGAACCGCGTGAGCTCGACCGTCGCCTGGCCGCCAGATCTTCAACGTTCAGCAGTCAGCCCATATGGCACCACGAGTAGGAAAGACAACGGGCGGCCTGATGAGGCAGGGGGGCCTGCAGACGTACCCGTGCCGCAGCCGATGTCGACGGTTGTGTCCCACCTTGCACCCTTGGCATGCTCATGAAACTTGAAGACGAAGTCATACAGCGCACGGGGATAGGTGAGGCGGCCTATACAGCAACGGGTAGTCAGTCGTGTTTGCCCTGAGGATTACGAGCGGTGGACTCACTGGTCGCGTACTTGGCCGCGTTGAATGTTGTCTTTCCGAACGTTGCCATTCTGGGCGGCGTATCACCGTGTGAGTTGAGTCGAGCGTTGGATGACTACGGTAACAATGAGGCATGGGGGTCTCACCATAATATAGTGGTAGTACTTATGGAGTGCTGCCAGGCGAAACGCTGCATGTACGCATCGCGAGAAGGCAGATTTCTATCGCTTTGCCAACATACGGCTTTCAACACAGCCCTGAGCCATTTAGATGTTGCGCTCGGCGGTCAAGATGTGAGTTGAAATCGGACATGGAGGCCGATGGCAGAGGAGGATGCGAGGCTTACGTCCGACCCCGCAGTTTCTGATTGGCTCGCTTGAGCGTCTATCTAATCTGCCCATGCAGTGCGGGCGTCTAGAACTTAACGTCGTTTCCATCAGCGAAACCGACAGACACTCGCAAGCACTCGGGAGCGCTTGGGAGCGCTCCCAAACCCCGCGATCGCTCCCGTTACGAGGACATGGTGTGGGAGGTTTCGCCCTGTTTCGGCAAACCTCCGGGAGAGCTCCCAAACCCCAGGAGCGCTCGCGGCCCTTGCAGGCGATCGCGCTGTTTGCAAGTACTCCCATGTACTCCTGCGTGCTTGCAGCAATATATGTTTTAAAAAAGAAATGATATTCCCATTCGAGCGTTCCCGAAACGTGCGGACACAACATCCATGATGAAAGCAAGCAGTATTTTATTGCGGCGTACTGATACAGAATGCAGACCGTAGAATAAATATACTACAAAGAACACTGACCTGGCCCGGGCACACGCTCGAATACCGCGCGATCGGAGATATCTGCAGTGGGATCCATGTGGGGCTTGGGGAGAGCGTGGAGATTGGGAACTAAGAGAAAGCACGGAGAAAAAGATAGTTAATACATAGAAAGCATCTCAAGGAAGTCGTAAACTTACGTAGATCACGCATAAGACATACCGCGCAGGCTATGGAGCGTAGTAAGTCGAAATTCCGCAGGTAAGAGGGAATCATGGCGCACCGAAGTTCCTGATCGTAGAGTAAAGTCGTTGCTGCTTTAAATGCCGTGCATACAGCCTGTTCGTTATATGTAAGCTGAGTTGAAAACCCAAAAAACCGGACTTAGCAAAGGAAGGTAACACTCGCATACCACTAAACTGCATATCCTATCGTGCTAGCTTCGGTTTAGCCGCATATAGCCAACTGTTGGACATGTTAGTGCGATGTTTCAAGCGAGCAGAGGAGCGGACGTACGCGAAGTCGACCAGGCGATGAACACTGGCAATGAGTGGGTCTCGCGCAGAGTTGCACTAGGAATTCGACAAAATGCGATCGGGATCGCCGAGGCAGGTTTACAGCGCGAGCGAGGGAGAGGGTAAGAGGAAGAGGGGCGATGGGGGAAGACAGCCCCGATGGAAGCCTTATGTAGGAGCCCGAATGGAAGACGGCGCGGGATTTGAATAACTGACATCTTCGTGTCCCAAAAGAGACCTCTTGCCGCTGCATTCGGACATTGCTGGTGTCCGCTCGTGGAGGTGATGTCTGAAGCCCAGTGAGAATCGACATGATCCAATTCGAACTAAAAAGATCTATCCGGAATAAGAGCGATCTAAATGCGTCCTGGTGGATCGAATGCCTGATATGGTAACTGCAGGCGCTAAATCGAGCCCGGTTTGTCAGGCGAGATCGTGGGTTTGTCACTCGAGCTCGCTTTTCGGACATTCCTTCTCTCACTTTCACTTCGTTTCACTTCGGCCCCTTCTATGACTGCCTTTTTCTAGCTTTTCTTTCCACCGGCTGCAGACACTGTAAATAGGGCTCGCTCGGACTTCGCAAACTATGATAACGAACATGTATATAGTCTCTCTGCCCGCTCGCTGTGTACCCAACAGCCCCGACTCCCCTCGTTCACTTCTACATCTTGCTATACTGTGCTATGGCCGACAACCCACACCAGGACGACGCGCTGCAACCGGGACACAGTTGGTGCAACTGCTGGAAGCATTGCGGCAGCGTATGGCGCCAAGTACCCGACTGGAAGTACCGCTGTCATGCTCGCTATCGCGACGGCGTTGCTGGATTCATGGCCGCGTACGACCTCGCGCAGGCTGGTCCCGCAGGCGGCATCCCTCAGGTAGGTTTATTTACTTGCCGGATTGCATTCGCTCAATGATTTCCGCAGGGTCCTCCGCAGGGCGCACGCGCTGGCACACCTGCGGACGTCGATGAGCCGTCCGACGATGAAGATGACGACCCCGCGCATGTGAGAGACAACAGTGACGACGACGACCCACCGAGCCCCCTCGTGTTGTCGCCGCGCCCCTCGCCCGAACCCTTGCCCCAGCCGGAGGGTCCCCGGTCGCCCGTCGAACCAGAGCTAGTCGAACCCATCGAGCCCGAGCCCGAGCAAGGGCACCTCGAGGAACCTGACGTTCCGCAGGAGGTCCACCGCCGCGAATCACGCGAGGCGCAGGCATTCATCCAGGCGCTTCGCCAGGCCGACCTCGCATCTTCCAGTCTGGACGCCGAGACGCTGGCCCGCATGACAACACCACGCCAGGCCGTCGAGTACATCTCGCCTCACGAGCGCGCCGGGCTGCGCATGTTTATTGCGCGCGGTGATTCTTCAGAGGGGAACTATACGGACAATCGCGACGCGTTCATGGAACTCCACTCGCAGTACTCGCCCGACGAGATCCCGACCTACGACCAGGTCAAGAAGCTCGTCGGCCGTGTCTCCGGTGTCCATGCAATCCTCACGGACATGTGCGTCAACTCCTGTCTGGCTTTCACCGGCCCCTTCGTCGACTACGACACCTGTCACCTGTGTGGTGAGGCTCGCTACGACGCATGGCATCTCGCGCGTGGCAAGAAGGTCCCGCGCCGCCGCTTCCACACATTCCCGCTCGGGCCACAGATTCAGGCGATGTGGGCGTCCCCTGAGAATGCGCGGTTGATGCGCCACCGCGCGACTCGCACCACCGCCATCCGGAATCAGCTGCGCGCGGACCCTAACAGCGCCAAGGTGCTCGACGACGTTTACTGGGGTACCGACTACCTCAACGAGGTCGCGCAAGGACGGATCACAGACGACGACACCGTTCTCATGTTCTCGATCGACGGCGCGCAACTCTACGCCTCGAAGCGCAGCGACACTTGGTTCTACGTATGGGTCCTGTACGACCTACCGCCGGGTGCGCGCTACAAGAAGCGCTACGTCCTCCCTGGCGGCGTCATCCCGGGTCCGCGCAAGCCGAAGAACGTCGACTCCTTTCTCTTTCCCGGTCTTTTCCATCTGGCCGCTCTGCAGCGCGACGGGCTCAAGATTTGGGATGCTGACACAGGTCGCACATTCGACTCACACCCCTACCTCCTCTTCGCAACCGCTGACGGCCCCGGCATGACCTACCTCAACGGTCTCGTCGGCCACCAGGGCGCGTATGGCTGCCGCCTCTACTGCGGCATGCGGAGCCGCTTCAAGCAGGCGGGCAACACGTATTATCCGGTAACTCAGAAACCCAACGACTACCACGTCGTCGGATCTGACCATCCTGACCACAGCCTTCGGGCGCCGCTGCCATCCTCCCGTACGACAGTGCAACGATACAATGAAGCTCTTGCCGTCGTCATCGACTCGCGCTCAGAAGCCGCGTACGTCCGCAATCGTCTCAACACTGGCATCGGTAAACCCTCCATATTCAATGGCCTCCCTCGCACTCTTCCTGTCCCTCTCTGCTTTCCCGCCGATCTCATGCATCTCGTCACCCTCAACCTCACTGATCTCTTCATCAACCTCATGCGTGGCACTCTCCACTGCGACGGCACGGACGACCGGGATTTCTGGGACTTCGCCTGCTTGCGCGACAAGGACGTGTGGCGCGAGCACGGGAAGCTAGTCGCGGACTCGACGCGCTACCTGCCGGGCTCGTTCGGACGTCCACCACGCAACCCCGCCGAGAAGATTTCCAGCGGCTACAAGGCCTGGGAGTTCTCGCTGTACAACTGGGGTTTCCTTCCTGGCTTTCTACGTCATCTGCTCCTCCCCATGTACTACATCCACTTCTGCAAACTTGTCTTCGCCATACGCATTCTTCTCCAGTACGAGATCCATGTCGACCAGCTCCGCATCGCGCGCCAGCGTCTCGTCGAGCACGCCGAAGAGTTTGAGACCCTATACTGCAAACGCCGCCCGGACCGCATGCACTTCGTACGCCCCAGTGTCCACGCGTCCATGCACATGGCGCCCGAGGCATACCGCGCCGGACCCGGGAGCCTCTACAGCCAGTGGGCGATGGAGAATTATATTGGAAATATCACACGCGAAATGAAGCAACATGTCACGCCATACGCCAACGTCTCCGAGCGCGCCCTCGCGCGATGCCAGGTTAATGCCCTCATGTCGTTGTACCCCTCCCTCGCTCCCGCCGACATCCCACCGCGCGGATCTGTCGACCTCGGCGACGGCTTCCGCCTTCTTCGTCGCCAGGAGCGGAGCCCTCACAATCTCACTCACCAGCTCGAGCAGGACGCCATCCTCGCGCTGCTGGCGGAGCACGCAGTCATCATCGACCCGCGCTGGAGACCATCTGTACAGCGTTGGGCTCGCCTCCGGCTCCCGAACGGGCAGATTGCACGCAGCGCATGGCTCGAGGTGGCCCGCGAGGAGCGCGGGCTGTTCCCGCGACGCGCGCGCATGGTCAAGGTACGCCAATGTTCCTGCACTGCGATCAGCGAGTACTAATCATGCAAATGCGGTGCGACCTCCCCAGCTCACGCAGACCCGGTTCGTCGAGGTCATGTATTATTTCCAGTACGACATCCATGACGTTGTCCACAACTTTGCTATGGTTTCCGAATTCTCCTCCCCCGACCCCACCATCGCACGCGAGACGTTCGGCGTTCTGCTCGCCTGCCTCCACCGTGGAGATCTTTCCCGCAGGATCATCGACGTCAAGGAGATAGTGTCCGCAGTCGGCATGGTGCCGTTGCCTACGACGGCCGAGGAACGCGCGCGCGACCCCACGGGGACGTTATATGCTGATCGTTATTTTGTTGTAGAAAAACCCGGTTTGGAGGTTGCAGTGCTTGGTGGTATTGAGGAGGATGACGACGACGATGATGACGACGACGACATCTAGCACACATTTTTCTTTTCTGTTCTCGTTCGCTCTGGCTATATGCACACCTTTTGGATTTGTACCGGTTGCCACCCCATTCCCATTCACGCTATCATACATGTATTCCGTATCTACTCTCAGCCTTGCGGACGTCTGCCTATCCCATACCAGTTGCCATTCTCCCATATGTCCGCCGCTCATGCGCTTCATCCGCTCCCGCGCGCTGTCGATCTGCCATCCCCCGTGGTCCGCTCGCAACCAGCGCACCACCTGCGCACTGCCCCGCACCGCCGGCCCCCAACCGCACGCCCAAGTCAGTTCGTGCATTGCTGCGGTCGCGCGCGCGCGCGTCGTCCTCGTCCCTCATCAGTTTGTGCGTGTGCGCTTGCTGCGATCGCGCGCGTGTGCGTCGTTCTCGTCCCTCGTCCCGCGCGAACCGCCGGCCCCGTTTTGAACCTGCTGTGAGTTGGCAATGCGGGCGACGCGGCCTCCGCTGCTCGCTTTACGGTCGCGGACTACGTCCAGGGCAACTTCGCGGTAAAAGGTGTTGGAGACGTCACGCTCGAGGGTGCGGTCGTGGTCGCTGGTGTTGTTGCAGTTGAAGTCGTGGTCGACTGGGCAGTCGCAGCCTCGATCCGCCTCACGCGCGAGGGCCATCTCGCGCGACTTCAGCATGCGCTCCCGCTTTTCTAGCGCATCCGCTTCGTGTCCAACCTCCGTCCGGTAGTCTCTCATAAGCGAGTCCATGTCGGCCTTCGCCTTCTCTACCACACGAGGAGCCACGCTGGCCACGAGAGGTTCGGCCAGGCCTTCCTGAAGCAGAGCTCGCAGTTGGCCCAAGAGGTCAGAGTACAGATCGGCAGTGAGAGCTTTGAGCAGCGGGTCGTGCAGAGACTCCTTGAGCAGCGTGAACAGTGGCACCTTGAGACGGTCAAAGAGGGCGTCCTTGAGCAGCTTGGTCATAGGCTCCGTAGTCCAGTGAGACACAGTCTCCACAGAGGAAGCCCCGCTGTCGATGAGCTGGGACATGTTGAGCACGGCCGGGGCTGGCATAGGACCGTGGACGTGCAGGTGGCGAGCTTCGCCACCTGCAATAGTGCGCTCCATCTGAGTGTCGTAGTCTCGGATGATGCGACTCATGTCGCGGCGCGCAATCAGTATCCCCTTGTTGTCCGCGCTGATCTGGTCCCAGGTGAGCTCACAGGCGATACGAGCAGAGAGGCGGGCGACGGCTAGCAGAGAGGTGACTAAGTCCGCTGTGTGCGCGTCGCGAGGCCTATCGCCATTTGTAGCGATTGTATGCGCGTGCGTGAGGAAGTCGACGTGGAGGAACTCGTCGTCAAGAGGCCTGCACTGGTTAGTTTATCCACCTGGGCGAAAGCGGTAGGAAACTCACATGGTCTGCATCTCCTCAACCTGTGTCTCCTTCTCCTGCGATCTTGCAGCGGATTTGTTTGTGAACATAGCGGGAGGAGTGGTCGTGGTGTGAGCGTAAGTGGCAGAGGCTTTGGACGCGTCCGCTTTGGGACGTGTCTCTTCACCCTCGTTCTCATCACGTGATTACATCGCGCACGACGCGCTTCACTCGCGCGGACCTCCAGAGACTTGTCCTCGTCTCTTTCCCTCTCCCCTCTCCTTCCCCCCCCTCCTCCCTGTAAAAACCAGATACCCCAATGGCTCTGATACCCTCACTCCCCAGTGAACTTTTTTCTCTCCCAAATGAGGCTCTTGCACACGATAGAGAGACTAACTCCCATGCCTCGCTCGGCTCTCCCATGCAATTCACAGGGCCTCATCAATTTGCAAACGACCGCGGTGGGGATATCCCGAGGTCATTTGAACAGAATGAGGCCAGTAATATAAGCCGCAATGCCTCATTCACCCATCCGGCACATACGATCTTTCATCGCGCCGAGTACGCGCCCAATACCCCATCGCCGGCATTTCATATACCAATTGCGACCCCCGTGACTCCGGGGCCCAGCACAACTGCCGACCTGCTTCAACAGCGCGACAACGCTCTACGATACGCCGCCCAAATCGAGTGAGTGCGGTTGTGACAGTCCTGCACAAATACTTACTATCTGCAGGTCGCAAATCCAGTGGGTATATGCGCACTATGTCAGACTACTTGCACTAACGCACATCCTTCGTGCATCGCAGATCGCAGGCCCCAACTATGCCCAGCACCCCGACTCCATACTGCGTGCCGCTCCCCATGCCAGGCGAGTCGATCATCACAGTGCGCGGTGCCACTGATATAGCTCACAAATGCGTCTTACAGGTGCATATGCATCTACCCCAACCCACGGACTCGGACCCCCATCATTTGCCCCAGGGCCGCCGGGCCTGGTACCCGCAATCCCACCCAAACTTCGCCGAGATTATCCAAAGGTTTGGTTCATAGACAACACGATCTCACAATCTAATCTTTCGCAGGTCCCCTATTGGTACAAGCATGAGTGGAAACGCGCGAACACGCGTGTCCAGAAGCCCGGGGTTGCCGTCCAGCGAGGTCCGACACGCGCCGCGCAGGGCATTAACGTGAGTATGGGCTACATCAGCAACCACGAGGGCGTCATCGCCACCGGATTCGAGGCCACCGGCATGCGCAAGACGTTTTACGAGTTCTGTGTTTACCTCTGGTCTGTGAAGATGGCACCAAAGACCTGGAACCGGGACGCCAACCCCTGGGTGAAGGAACGCTACCATGCGTTAATGAACGCGCGGCACCCTGTCTTACAGTACTGCGAAGCCGGCTGGTGGGCCGAGCAGATCGCATCAGATAACTACTCTCAATGGAGAAAGAAACATATACAGTACCTCGCGAACCGACAGAAGCGCAAAGCCGCCAAGTGCGAAGCGAAGAAGAAGCAGCAGCGCAAGAATAACTCGAAGAAAAATCGGAAGCGCAGGGAGAAGGAGAACTTTGATCACACCGAAGGTATGGACGAGCACCGCCCCACGCCACCGCGCCATGTTCCAGGCCCCCATCTGACATGGGCACTTCTCCGCAGAGAGCAGCAACGCAGAAGATGCTGAGTCAAGCGACGAGGATGACTGCGACGACGACGACCAGGACGTCAAGGGTGCACAAGCGGTGGGGCAGTTCTTCGACCAGGCAATGTACACCATGTCCGACGTAGCCGCGGAGGTCCCCTCTCCAGCCCATCAAAAACGTCGGGCCGAGGAAGCCTTGGAAGTCTCGACCTCAGCAGGACCGTCATCCAAAAAACCCCGACTCTCGGTCAAAACCGACGCCTCCGTCACGCGTGGTCTGTCCGTTGATGGCAACACGCCCTCCGGCGCGTCGTCCGCCACGAGCTCTCGACCGTCACCCGCTATATCCCCCACCATACCCTCGCCCTCCCTGGACGATAAGTCCGATGAGGTGAGCTACGTATCCTCCACAGTCACTCCGCTGGCCCGACTTACGCCCCTCGGTAGGAGTTATGTGTGCCGAACCCCTTGTAAGTACCTCACTTCAGCCGTCCGAGCCAGCTAACCCATGCGTTTCTACAGTGCCAACATGTGGGGCGAGAGCGACGGGCCCGCCGTGGAAGAGCCAACGACCGCCCCGGGACAATCTGCAGGCAAGGCCCCGGCTACTACTACAACCACTACGACCACAAATGCCGCCGCAAACACCACCGTGACCACCACAAAGGCCACGACCACCGCTGCCTCGGCCAGCGCTGTGCCCACCTCTGTGACGACCGCCGCGGCCACCACTGTGCCCACCTCTGTGACGACCGCCGCGGCCACCACTGTGCCCACCTCGGTGACGACCGCCGCGACGACCTCTGTGACGACCTCTGTGACGACCGCCGCGACGACCGCTGCAACCACCGCCGCGACGACCTCTGCGACAAGGGCTGAGGCTGAAACGGCCCACGTCAAGCCGGAACGGGCCCGTGCTAAAGGGAAGGCAGTCGCTGTGTGGCCGCCTCTGCCGCGCGACGACGTCAAGCTTAAACCCAAGTACGTCTGCTCGATCAGTCACCCACCCGCCTTACTCATATCTTCATACAGGGAGGCGTGTGCCATTGTCTGGGCGAAGCACAACCCAACCGGCACCAAGCAGGACTTCAATAAATGGTACGTGAAGCGTTCGCAAGCGGTGTGCAAGGTATGTGCTCTACAGTGGATCTATTAGACTGCGTACTAATATCACTACAGGCCTACACAAAGGATGGAATCGACCGGGGCATGGATTGAGGTCACCGCCGTCTCTTCGCCGCCATGCCCCAGTAACCGACGGTGTGAGGCGGAGGATGTACGGCGATGCTACGTGGGGGGCGCGCGGGCGCGCGCGAAGTGGGGGGATAGAGCGGGGACAGGTGTTGGGGAGATGCGCAGGTGAGTACGAGTACGCGCGTCGTGGTTGGACGTGTGCGCGCGCACTGGGGTCGGGCATGGGAGCAGCGCGAGCACGGGGAGGGGCGCGAGGGTGCCAGGCGAGGGCGCATGTGCGCTGTACACTGTGGGAAGGATCCACATTTTTTAGAGGTGTTGGGCACAGCTACGAAGGAACGGCTGAAAGAGGTGTTCCGGACATTTTTGGGCGGTGTCGAGAATAAATGTGCAGAACACCTCATGTGTGCATATCTCAGTGTTTTGCACACCTGCTCCCGGCGTGTACAACAGCTTCTACAACGATTTTTATAGGTGTTTCGGACGCTATTGGGCGAGGTGTTCTGAACGGTGGTCCGAGCTGTTCCCAACTGACGAAAACATTGTAAAAAACAGTGTATTGACATGTTCAAAACACTCGCGGAAAGTGTCGTGCACGCCACCGATGGATCACGCCCGAATATATTCGCGAATAAAATTTATTATGCTACATTTACATACGGACCTCGCAAGCTGTCGAGAAACGCCATCACGACGGCGCGCAGCAGCGGCTTCTCAGCGTTGTCCTCGACCTCGCTGTTCTTGCCTGGGTCGTTCCACGGGCGGACCCCATACTTGACCCCAGTCGTGTCGCGCCCGCGGTGCGTGTGCGCCTTCGCGAAGTCCACGATCGCGTCGTTCACGAGCGACGAGTTCGGGTACAAGAAACTCTCCTCGAAGCGATACACGACCATGCCGGGCGACGGCGGATACACCACATGTTTGTTCATCAAGAACTTGTTCGGGCTCAGCGGGATGTACACGTCGCGCGAGCTGGACTCGTTCGTGTTGTGCAGCGTGACGCGCCCGAGGAAGTGCCCGCGCGGGCGCGCGAGGCGCACGAGGAGCAGCGCGAGCGACGCGGCAACGGACGTGGAGATCCCGTCCTCAATCGTCGCGAACACGGCGACGAGTACAGACCCGACCCAGATGACGAGCTCGACGGGGGACATGCACCAGAAGGAGTACATGTGCCGCGGGGATGCGACGAGGTCCGTGACGGCGTGCACGATCACCACGGAGAGCGTGGCGGACGGGATCCAGAAGAACGCGGGGTGAGGCCGTAGAGCGCGACGATGACGACGACGGCGCTGAAGAGGCCGGACGCGGGCGAGCGCACGCCGGACTTGGACTGCGGGGCGGAGCGCGAGAAGGAACCTGTGGCAGGGTACGCGCCGAAGAGTGCCGATGGCGATGAGCTCCTGGTTACCTCTCTTTCAGGTTGATGATCAGTCTTGGCGTCCTCCCTATCCGCGGCGGTGCGACGGTGTTTGCTGCAAGGACCGTCGCTCGGGCGAATGCCAGCCGACAGCGTAGACATCGCGACCCACGGATCTGTATGTACGCCCTCGTCATCAACGAACAGGTCATTTCTTTACAACTTCCTACAGGTGTTCAATCACGTCTCGACTCCCTCCCCCGTCGTCGACACCACCATGCCTGCCATTCTGCAAGGACTCGAGGATATGTGAGTATCTAGCTCATTCCCATATGCAGCCGCCCTCATCCGGACTCACCGGAGCTAGAGATGAAAGCGGGGATGGACAGCGAAGCCTGATACCATCCCTCTCCCCCGTAAGTGCAGCCATGCTCTCCAAGCTCAAGAGAACGTGTAGGCATATTATTGGGTCCTCGGACGAGGATATCCCTGTCATTTCGTCGCGGGACTGGGCTGAGAACCTTGCGCAAAATCCTACTCGTCGAGTACGTCACCGGCTTTGCTCTTCCGTTCCCTCTTCGCGCTCATCACTCTTATCCGTAGGCGGTCGACTATGTGACGAGTCTCTTCCCGATCTTCAGCTGGATCACCCGCTACAGTACGTGTTACGTTCGTTCTCCCCCTTCTAATGTGGCGCTGAGTTCTCGCCCGACGCCGCCTTCGGAATCACCGGGCTCGTGTCTCTGTACGCCATCCGTTGGATTTGTGACCGCCTCTCCAAGCGCTGTCGGAACTGGTGCACTAAGTCGATGGAGATATCGAGCAGATATCAGACAACAAGCTGGCAGACAAGCAGCAAGTGGGTAAAGCGAGTAGATGGCGGTACAAAGAGAGTCTGTATCTACAGTGTGGCCGCATGCTGGCGTCCAGGGAGGACCCCGGACACCGGAGACCCCGAGTGCGGGCACAGGCGCCCACCACTCGTTCCAACACTCCCACTCGCCAAAAGACCGCAACGAGGGGAGCACACGAGCACAGAAGTGAAACAGACAAAAAACAAACCACAATGTCAAACAACCCATGCTCCCACTGACCTCCCACTGACCCTACGCCTGAATGCGCTTGCGAAGCGCGCGGTGCTCCTGGGTGGCGGAGTACGAGTCGCCAGAGTCGCTATCCGAGTCTGAGTCAATGGCTGCGCCAGCAACGTTGTCGTCCAGGCCATCGCCGCCCAAAGAGCTGAGGGAGGTGTGGAAGGCCTTCTTGCCGGCACGTCGAGCCTGCGCAATCCTGTCCCTGACCTCAGCTGGCATGTCAAACATGCAGAAGCGAGCGAGGTGACCACGTCGACCGCAGCGGTGACAGTCCCGGGCAGGGTCTCTGGGATTGAGCCAAGAGAACGACTGATCATCCGTACCAGAAGACGACTGACCGCCATGATCGGAGTCCGACTCGGAGTACGCGGGCATAGGGGAACGCTTCTTCTTCGACCTCTTGTCCTTCCCCTTCCCCTTCCCCTTCCCGCCAGCGTAGAGCACGGACGACTCACCAGCTCCAGCCTCAGCCTTCTCGTCCAACCTCTCCATGTTCTCATGCTCGACGAGGATGCTCCGGATTTCGTCGAGGGAGGGGTCAGACGTGCGGGTGGTGAGGAGGTTGCGGACGAGTCGCCACTGGGGGTGCGAGGTGTCAAGGTGCATGATGATGGAGTCCACAACGTCGACGGAGGGAGGAGCGTGTCCAAGGGCGGTCAACGACTCACTCGCCTGCACAATCGCGTGGATGTACTCGCTGACCGGCTTGGTGGTGTCATGGACAGGGTTGTAGAGTGCACGCTTGAGCTCAAAGCGGCGAGAGCGGGTGTCCTTCTCGTACACCGCCTTCAGGCTGGCCCAGATGGACGCAACCGGGGTACTCTTCTTGACGTGGGCAGCCCTGATGGCAACGTCCTTGATCGTGCGCCAGAGGAAGAGGAACGCGAGGCCCTCAACCGTGTCCCAGGCCTTGATCTCCGCTTCACGGGACAGGACGGCAGAGTTGGGAGACGGACGGACGGACTTGCCTAGCATGTGGTCCCAGACCTCGTCCACCGTGAACATCGACATCTCCACCTCCGTCGAGTAGAGCCCCCAGTTGCTGCCATCGAGCTGGCTCGTAGGGGGAAAGCTTGTGATGGCGTGGGCAAGATCAGCCTTGATCTTGGAGAGGTCGGCAGAGGAGTGCATGATGGAAAGAGCAAGGAGGGTGGACGATGATTGGGCGCTTAGGCGGCGTCCGAAAAAGGAAGGTATGGGCGCTTAATTCGGCGCGCAGCGACGTGGCACCTCAGAGGGAAGTGGAGGTGGCACAGAAGGGAGTAGCTGCTCAAGGAAATAACCTCAAGCAGTGGGGGAATGGAAAGGAGAGGATGAGCTCAGTTGGAGGACTGAGTTTGAGAATGAAGAGAGAGGAAAGCAAGCAGTGGAAAGAGAGAAAAGGAAGACAGCACCAGTTTTGAGCTTTAGGGTTAATCCAGCGGGACAGGGCTCATAACCTGTCGGAACTGGTGCACTAAGTCGATGGAGATATCGAGCAGATATCAGACAACAAGCTGGCAGACAAGCAGCAAGTGGGTAAAGCGAGTAGATGGCGGTACAAAGAGAGTCTGTATCTACAGTGTGGCCGCATGCTGGCGTCCAGGGAGGACCCCGGACACCGGAGACCCCGAGTGCGGGCACAGGCGCCCACCACTCGTTCCAACAAGCGCTACCCTACCAAAGGTCAGTTGTCTGCCGTACATGTCGCATGCGCTGATGATCTTGTTCCTGCATTCGGTAGGGTGAACGGGTACAAGATCGATCCAGAACAAGGTGGGCGAGAAGGGTGCTGCACGAAGAAACAGGCGACAGACTTACGCGCGAGTGCAGGTTGTCTGTGTTGGCGAACCTCTGGGGTGTGGCGTATGCATTCCGGATCCGAGTGGATCTTGCAGAGATTTACATCGCTGCAAGTTGAGACATGCAGAGGAGACTGTCGCATGGGTGATTCCAGAGAAGATGAGACGAGAGGGAGATCTAGCAGGTTGAGGTTGTGGAAGAGGGACAAGCGAGGAAGTGAGAAGAGGCGGTGACGTGGACGCGACACATTAGAGTTCAGCGGAGTTCAGAAATGCATACATAGTCGACGAATGTCCATCCAACGCTCGCGCTGCACGGTCGAAGCTGCATATTCATTTTTAGGTACTGGGGCGATACAGAACATTGAACGGGAGTCGCGAGGGTCGTACTACGAGAGCAGTGGGCATTTGTAAATATTAGAACGGCCAAGAGGCACCTTTTGATGTGGAAACAGGGCGGAACGGAGCGAAAGCGAACAACCTATTGAATGATTTGCAGAGGAGACGGTCTGAAACGAAGGCGAGCGAGAGAAACCAGAGGCGCAGGCTGCAAAGTAGACGAGAGGTTCAGGTGGCAAAGCGGGCAAGAGACAGGCACAGGCGACTGAGAGATGCCGGCAAGCGGAAGGTGTGCAAGCGAGAGAGCAGGAGTAGGAGGACACGAGACAAGCTCAGAGCGCAAACGATGAAGCCTGAGGACGAGCGGGCGATAGGCGAGATAAAGTTGCCGGTGCATCGACGAGATGTTCGCGAGACAGACAGGCCAAGCAGAGCTGAGTTGCGGTCGTTAACTTCGCCCTTATCTTGCCCTGGTGTGGTTGGTCTTGCGGGCCTTCTTGGGCGGGGACGGCTGAGGATAAGGGCGTGAGGATGACATTCCACTCAGAGACCACAGTGACTCACCTCCGGAAAATCTCCCTCTGTGAGCAACTGAGTTCCCATTTCGCCAGCGGCCCGCGCAGTGGAACCTCGGGTGACCCGTCCTTTGGCGGGAGCGTGCGCAGTGACCTTGCGCTTCGTCGACGGGTTATTAGCACCGGTTTTTGACGATCCGGCGATGGGCGGTGTAGAGGCTACACGTGCCGGGATGGCGGTACCAGCGGGAATAGTCAGCGGGCGAGCCTTCACACCGTCCTGCCTGTTTGCGGGGGGCTGAATGTATACAATGATGAGCGTGTTGTGGTAGCCTCAGCGTTGAGACCGTCGCACCTTACGAGCATTCATCTCACTGCGGAAGTTGTTCCGTACGACATCGTAGGCTGACGCAGTGCCTGTTGCTGACCCATCCTCCGTGTCGTATGGGAACCGAAAGTATCCATACATGGAGCTTGACAACGCAACTTGCCGCGCTTCTGCGAGCGTGATTGTGCGGTCTTCAGCGATGAGCATCAGTGCCGCCTCGGGCGCGAGAATGAGCTGTGTGAATCCTTTTGCAGAGAAAGGCCGGAAATCCCCATCTTGCAAGATGTGTCGCGGAAAGAGGCGTTCGACAGCACTCATGATAATCGCCTCGCCGACCTCGCCGTAGCTAAGATGTGTCAGAGATGTTAGTGTGAGGACATCGCACCAAGCTATCATAACGACTTACTATCCAACACGAAGACTTGTCGTTAGCTCCGCAAGGCGTGGGTGACTCGGGTTGTTGTCGAAGAGACTGGCGATGATCTTGAGGGTGAGCTGAGGGGTGTAAGCACGGGTGAGCATCTGCCACATGTATGCGCTCGAGGGTTTATCGACGATGTCCTGGAGAGTAGCTTGAAGGCGGAGGACACGTGTGGAGATCAGTTCGGGGTCTAGGGACAGGGGCCAGCCTTCCTCGCGTGCGACGTCCACTTCGGCATGATAGGAGATGCGGGCGCAGATCTCGGCGTTGAGAACCATGAGTTGAGCATTGCTCTGTCCGTAACTATCCACGAGGACCTCCAAGCGCTTCTTGAGGAGCCGAGAGAGCGTTGGGTCTGACTTCGGATCATTGGGCATGCGATGTTTACACCCCATCTGGGGGCATTGATCGGGCGAGAGTGCCGTCGCGTTCTCCTCGTCCGCGCGCTCAGCAGCGAGTTGAGCACGGATGTCGTACTCTTTGGACTCGACCGAGGGTGCGCGGTATATAGGCTGGAGCGGCTTCGGAAAGGGTGACCCTGGGGTGCCTTGGCCAGGGGATGACATCGGCTATGACAGACATGTCATTGACATCCCGTGTGGTCGTGTAAAGCAAAAGGTACAATGGACGTACCCATGGTTGGGGTCCTGCCTTTTGAATTGCGGGGCTGGGAACGCTGGCGCTGCGCTCCCGCCCATAGTCATCCGGCTGTCCCGCACGATCTTCCGGCTCAGCGTGTTGCTTAGCTCGCTACATGCGCGCATATATGAGACAGATTTACCATGGGATGCGTGTAATCACACTCACCTCATAGTACATGATGCGCAGCTTTCGAAGCTGCTCCTGAAGCGCATTTCCTGCCTTTGACTCGGGCTGCTTGAGACCGTTTACAGTAGCCTGGATGGCGTCGATCAAGTCCCGCAACTCTTGTATAGCGACCTGCTCGACCGACGGTGGTGGACTATCTTCTACAACGGGCGTTTCGGCGGGCCCATCAAGCCCGGTGCCACCGTCTTCCTGCTGATAATCGGAATCACGCCGGAGCCGGCGCATACGAGGCGGCTTTGAGTGTTCCGCATCGTCCACTGCATCTGTATCCTCGTCGCTGCTTGCATCTGTGCCAAGTATGAGCATATATCAGCAATAACGCGGGTCTCGGCCTCGTGAACATACCGGCATTGCCATTGTAGACGTCTTGCCGCTTATACGGTGGAATCTTGATGGTAGGCAGATGAGCTTTGCTCCCGGTGTCCTTTTGTGTCAGCCCTTGCATGGTGGCAATCCGTCTTGAAGCCCGAGGAGGTCCACCGGCCTGGCGGGGTGGTGCGGGTGTACTATCAGGCTCAGGGGAGCTACTCCGACTCGATAGTTCGTCGTCAGCGGCATTTGCAGACAACTTGCGATCCTTGGCGTTGACGAGGTACTGCTTGAGCATGTCGTGTACCGGCCACCCGAACTCGTAAGCCGCCAGGGCAGAGGCGAATTTAGCGACAACCTGTTGAACCAGCAACGCCAATGGGCTCCGACACGCGCATATATGCATCAAAAAACGACTTACAGAATTGACAACCACAACTATTGCTGCTGGATCTTGTCTGCCATACGGTTTGGTCGTGTCGAGTTTAGTTTGGGCAAAAGCATGGGTTTTGCGCTGCAACAGTGCATTGTTATGGCACACAACGCCTCATGAGTGGTAAGTGCTTACAAGAATTGCCTCGTATGTCTTGCGGTCCTACTCAAGCCCCATGGCATCCTGCAGCACATATCCGTTTACGTTGCGGCCTGCCTGACCCGGCGGTCGTGAGATGACAGGCAGCTTTTCTGCCACCGGTGGTGGTGGTGGTGGAGGAGGAGCGCGGGTCTTAGAGTGCTTATTCTTTGAATGACTTCTGTCAGTCTTTCCATTTTGCATCTTGCTTTGTAGGGGCATGTTGAATCAGTGTCGTGGAAAGGAGGAGATTGAGCAGCAATGTGGAAGAGGGTGAGCAGCAAGCAGCGCTTGAGTGCATGTGCGCGACCCTGAAGACTTGCCTTACTGGGAATTTGGCCTGATAAGGAAGTTGGGCGCTTGTTATATGGACTCGACGCAGTTCTGCTGCTGCTCATCATTGACCCACGTCCTCCAAGGCAACAACTGAAGCCCCAGAATTTCTAGGTAAGCGTTTAGTATGTGCTTTTTTCACATGGATTTTCACTGAGAGTTTTATAGATGCCTCGTAATCACCGACGTCGATGTCACTGCACACCACAGTGCAACACTCCTCTCTCGTACTCGCAACGTCGGCGGCATTACAAAAACGTTCAAGACGACTACGGCTCAGTATATGCATCTTCAGACACACTAAGTGATGCAGAGGATGCCACATTCCGGTCCGGTTCCTCTCGAGTGGGGTCACCGATGCTTGAAGAGGCCGACTTGCTGCTGGTCCGACCGCCCTCGCAGGGCGAGGTCCTGCCTGACCCTCTTGCAAACCCAGCAGGGCGGTCAGAAGATTCGTCATCAGAAAAGGATGAGCATATGTCTGGGGTCTCTGGATCTGAAAACGGCTATGGCTCTGGTGTATCTGGCTATGGCTCCGACTTGGGACCGACTGCCTCTCAGGATGGCTCGATCTCTCCCGAGCTAGAACACGATGGGTACCTGCGCTGGCACGACGGCGATGCGGACGGACCTCCAGAGGCTGAGATACAAGACCTTGTCGCACAGATGGTGCGGGAATCTGACGGTCAAGAAGCAGACATTGCTCGCAAGCAAGGTGCGCCCCGGTTTTGATAGCTCTGTCGATAAATACTGATGCACTGTGGCAGAACAAGCAATGCTCACACCAGCCACTCGGGATAGCTTAATTGCCTTCCGCCTACGCTTCATCGCGAACGTATCTCGTACGGCATATAACCAGTTCCGGGAGGCCTTCTCCGACCGGCTCACGCTCTCGTCGGAATGGCGTCTACTCCACGAAGTTGCAGCTCTGTCTGGTGTTCGTCCGGAATGGTACGAGCGTTGTGTAAACTCGTGCCTCGCTTTTATCGGCGACTATTCACTCTTGGACATCTGTCCCGAATGCCACGAGCCACGGTACACTCTCGCCGGTCGTGCTCGGCGGTTCTTCTGCTATATCCCATTCACCCCTCGCCTCCGTGTTTTATACCAATCTCCCGAACTCGTCCGCCTGATGCAGTACCGCGCAACATTCGACAATGCGACCGACGATGACAACATCCGCGACATCTTCAATTCGGGCCACTATCGGCGGCTACGGGAGACACGGGTTGTAGTCGACGGGGAGACACTGCCGCACACCCATTTCTCCGATCCCCGTGACATCGCCTTTGGAATCTGCACGGACGCGTATCTCCTGTTTCAACGCAAACGGGCTGGGCCATCTGCTACACCGATCTTGCTTCAGAACTACAATCTTCCGCCGCAGCTACGGACGCACCTCGAGCACCTGATCTGCATCGGCGTCATTGGAGGTCCGAAGCAACCGAAATTGTTGCATACATTCCTGATACCATTCGAAAACGAATGTGCCGCCCTTGCGCACGGTGTCGAAACACACGACTCCCTCCACCGTGAACTCTTCGTTCTGCATGCCTATTGTATCTTCTGCTTGGGCGACATCATTGCCATTATGAAACTGCTGAACTTGCGGGGTGTCAACGCGATGGTCCCCTGCCGGTCGTGCCGTATTCGCGGATATCTCATGCCAGGCGGAACAAATTACTACGTGCCTCTGATTCATCCTCATCTGCCTGGCGGTGGTACCCCGTCTGCTTGGGACCCTCGAGCTCTCCCTCCCCGTACTCACGACAACATTCTCAAGGCACTGCACCAGATCTCGCAAGCCAAGTCGAAAGGGTACCGAGAAACGCTTGGCCGCCACCACGGCATCCGCTGCAGCAAAACCGATCCGTTCCTGGGCCCTGTCATAGGTCGGCGGGTCACTTCGTCTCTCGACTTTGCTCGCTCGTTTCCCTGGGACTGGATGCACCTATTCTGTGAAAATATCATCCCGAATCTGGTCGACCTCTGGATGGGGCGCTTCAAGTCATTCCCAGACGAAGGCACGGGCTCGTACGAGATACCAAGCGCCATATGGGTCAAGATTGCGCAGGAGACTGTCGAGTCGGTGAAAGATATCCCATCCGCCTTCGTCAGTGCGATACCGGACCTCATCAAAGGACGCGAGTCATGGACAGCGGAGATATGGGCGTTCTGGTTCATGTACGTCGCCCCCATCGTCCTCCGTAATCGCTTCCAGGACGACAAGTACTACGTTCACATGTGTGATCTGATCACGATCATGGACATCACCCTACAATTCGAGATCACCCGCGCCGAGCTCGAGGACCTCCGCGACCGCATCATCACATGGGTAGAGACATATGAAGAGTTCTACTATCAATACGACGCCACACGCCTACCTGCTTGCCTGCTCGTCGTCCACGGACTACTCCATATTGTCGATGACATCGTCGAAGCGGGTCCCATTTGGTCAACGTGGACTTTCTTTATGGAGCGCTTTTGCGGGCATCTCAAGCGTGCGCTGCGGTCTCGCACGCAGCCCTGGACCCATTTGGATCGTCGTGTCGTCAACATCGCTCACTACGCCCATGTGCGTGCCAAATACGACCTTCCGGAGCTCTCCACGCCACTGCGTGCGGATAAGCTGCCAGGACCATCGGAGAGCGAGTGCGTGATCCCTGGATGTGAGTCCTCATTGACCTCTGCCCTACCTAGTGCTCGTGATACTAACCGATGCCCTTCGAGACCCACTGAGCTACCTGCGGCGGCCATGTATAGATACCTACAGTCCCGGGGACGACATCCGTAGACGTATTGCAAAATACATGGTCAGTATCATGGGCCGCGGAACGCGCGCGCAATTCGTTCAAGCGCTACCTACCATCATCCCCGCATGGGGAAAGGTTCGCATCGGGGAGGGTGGCGACGCCATCCGTGCGATGATTGGGTCGCGAGCACGCCTTGGCACCCATGAACGCAACTCGTCCTTCGTGCGGGTACGTCCACCATATGTCCATCATGAGCGCTGTACTGATTGCTGTCTAGTACGAGACTCTTGAAGTCGACGTTTACGGTCAAGAAACACAGGGTGTTTTCTATGGCGAACTTCAAGCAATACTGGAGTGCCCGCTCGACCGTACTCCGATATGGGGCGAGTATGCTGGGACCACGATGCTTCTCGCCCTTATACGGCCATGCAAGACGGACGGCTTGGATGCGACAGAGTCGGTTACGCTCTACCGGGAGGTCCTCGCAGACATCGTCGTGGACTTGCAATCAGTGCAGGCTGTAGTCGGGCGCGTGAAGTCGCGGGATCAGTGGGGAATTGTAGACCGGAGCAGAGGCTTAGCACGTACGGTGTTCGATGCTGAAGACGCCTCAGCACCGCCGGTCGTTGCGGAGGCACAAGATGCTGGCTACGATGGCGACAACGATGATGAAGACTAGGTTTACGGTAGGGTTCGGCCGGTGCGTGACTCTCTCACCGCTCTCCGAGCCATATCGCTCACGGTGGCCTCGTCTCCCCAGGCATCGGTTCCACTTGATACTCACATGCACTATTCCTTTCGTGCGATGTCCGCCTATCTCTGGTTTCCTCGTCACTACGTACATTTCCTATCCGATCCCACGGTCATATCTCGAGTTGCGAGACGATCCCTACCCTCTCCTCCTCCTGTATCTCTCCTCTTCCTCGCTCCACACCACTATCCTGGCCCCTCCCCTCGATCACACGAGTCTTTCCGCCGGCTCCGTGCCCTCTGTTGGCGATGTCTGCGCCAAGTCCAGCCGTGCCGCAGCAGCCTACGCCGCCGTGCCCTATGTGGGTCCTGTTTCTCCGCAACTGTCTCGCGTCTCATTCTCCATCTCCCTGCTCACCCCGTGCACCACAGAATCGGAAATGGCATCCGCCGAAGGCGGTTGTGAACGACATTCGGAAGTGCGATGTGTTCAGTGCCGAACCAAGTTCTGCCTCACTACCGCGCACACTAGTGCGCCGAAGCTCAACCACGGCCTTGCCCCGAAGACTCCCGCGCACACATTCTCACCGCATCCCTCGGGGCAGACTCGAAGGACTACGTGCAGCAGCCTGCATGGGACAACGGGTGTGGTGGTTGCAGACGGCGGGAAGATATACGTCGACCGGTGAACAACTCTCGCGTTCTGTCAGTCTCGATCTGTCTCTCGCGCGCACGGCATGCCCTGACCGCACCCCCTAGCCTGAGACCGCGCAAGAGACACCCGCACATGCAGGTGCCCCTCTCCTCCCTTAGAGTCTCGGGCTCACGACTGCGCGATGACGCCATAACGACGTGGACGACGTGGACGACGGCGTCTCCGTGGTATGCCCGGCAGTGGCTCTGAGTGGGGCGGGGCGGGCTCTGGGATGCGCTAACTGTTGGCCGCGAGTCTGGTTTGGGTCGCAAAGGCTCGCGTCGTCGCGCAGCGAGCGCCGAGTCACGGTCGGACCCCTCCAGCCCATCGCGGAGGCGGTTGTGCTGGAGACCAGGCGCGCGTGGGAGGAAACAGGCAACGACCGTGAGTCTGCACGCTGTTGTACTATGTGAGTTTTGCGCCCGAGTTGACAATTGTGCAGGCCAGGAAGAAAGATTCGCGCGCCGATACCGCGCCGACGTCAAATGCGTCGCTCTTACATGCATGACAGTAGCCTGCGTTCCAGACGCGCGGGCGCGCGTAGGCAAGGGAGACGAAGCTTGAGACCTGAGGAGTGAGCTAGACAGGCGGCGCGTGTGCACAATACTGATGGCGACGAGATACGGGCCTGGAGCGGCCACCCTGCTCGCGAGTACGGTGCTTTGATATAGGTAATGTAAGTAGCTGTTTGGAACACCTTTTTGTGCCGGAGCTGTGGAGAACACTGTTAAAAAATGTATATATCATAGGTGTGCGGAACAGCTGCTCAAACAGACGGTGAATAGAGGTGTTCTGAACACCGACTTATAATATACAATTATTAGAGGTGTGCGCCTTTTAGGTGTTTGGAACACCTATTCCGGAGGCAGAGGTGTTCTGAACACCTCAAACAAGCGTTGATCCTTCCCACAGTGTGTACGCGGATGGGTTCGGGAGGATTGCCGGGGGCTTTCGGGATACAATATATGTTTTGCAACGCAAACGGGATCTACATCTGTCCAAATCGAACCGTCTGTGCCAGACTCGAGAAGATACCATTGGATCTTTTTCGTTCGGAATGGATCCCCAGAAAAGGATCCCTTGTACACTTTCACGATCCCCTCGGATCCCGGGCGATCCCTGCTGGACATCCTTTTTAGATCCTTTTAGACCCGAACAGATCCGGCTGGATCTTGTCGATTCTCACTGGGTCTGAAGGGGGTGAAGTGGTACCCTCGGAAACCTGAAAAGTGCTCCTGGGCATTTGGGAGCTCATGGAAGCGCTTGGGAGCGCTCCCCAACCTCTGACGGGCGCCAAATCCTTGGGAGCGTCGTGCGGTTTCGCTGATGCACTCCTGTTGTCTACCAAACTTCTTGTTGACAACCGCTCACAATGCTTATTTTAGGTTCCTGTCCTCAAGCTCGGTCACATAAAGTGCATCAGGTACTAGTATTGTGCGAGGAAGGACCTGGTACGCGCCCTGTCCACGATAGGGACGTCAACACCGCCCATAAATTGCCGCATAGGCCAAGTACTCTGGAGCACAGGCTCTATCATGACGCCGTGGTCCTGGTCCAGAACAGGCTAGGAACATCAGACAGGTTTGCAATTCGGGATATAGAGAACGAAGCGTCATCTACATCCATTTGCTATCCGGTGAGTAACTTGACTAAGCCAGATTCCGGACCTGAACTAGCCTCGTAGCAAGGCTATTGACAGGAAACTACTGGTTCAGGTGCTTTCCCAGACATTCTCAGGACAGGAACCCGGGCCAATTGTGCTTCGTGATGCATGCATGGTGGCGCGCCGCTTGGTCGTCCGATGGGCGGGGTCAAAGCTGTCCACAAACCGTATCTGCCGTACGCGTGTCACTGGGGCGCCGACCCCGGTCCAAGCACATGAGCCTCGAGCCTATATAATGGCCGATACATCCACTGGGATGATACAGTCTCTCGCTTCACCGCAGCGCAACAAGACGACAATGAATTCCACCGATACCGCAGCGCGCCGCTGCCTTCTTATTAGCGAGATATTCCGGATCATCCTTGACTTTCTCTCGTATACAGACGCTAAGACTCTGGCGGTGCTTGCGAGGACCTGCAAGATTATGCACGAAGCAATCGTGCCTACGCTCTGGAGCTATCAAGACGGCCTCGATGCGCTCCTGCGACTTCTTCCTTCTGACTCATGGTCTGAGGTCCTTGACGAGCATCGAAACACCAGCTTCGTACGTTTTTCATCCTGGCCATATATGCTCATATATTGAAGTTCACCGACGACCCTCCACAGCGCATCACCAAACCCGACAGAATCGAATGGACGCGGTTCGACCACTATGCCGGACACGTGCGAGACTTCGTTTGGCCGAGCGACGTCAAGGAGCTCTCACCTTCTACCCTGGCTGTGCTTTCCAACCGCTGCGCCGATGGCCGACCGCTTTTCCCGCAAATCCGCTCACTCATACTCAAAGGTCCTACCGCAGCCCAGGGCTTTTCATACGCCAACCTCTTCCTCGCACCGACTCTCAGCCAACTGGTGCTGTCGGTGCACTTCGACCGGCCTGACACGATGTGTCAGGCATTCAAGCACGTAGGCGCAACATGTAAAAACCTGATGATTCTACAACTCAGGGGGGTGACAGCCGAGGACGACCTTAGCTCCGATACAGAGGGTCCGACGACGCAGAAGCTTGCAGACGACGTCAATGGCGCCCTCGCAGAGCTCCTCCGTGCTCTTCCGAAGCTCGGGATCTATTTCACAGAACGGCTTTTCACGTCCGCCAGCTGTATGGAGGCTTTAGCCACGCTTCCTAGACTCTCCCTGGTGCACTTTGATGTCCTACCGGAGGAGATGGACACAATAGCGGCGTCCGCGGCGTGCCGCCAGCGCGGTGGCCAATGGTTCAACGCGCTTGCCGAGATGCGGCTCAGCGTGGACCGACTGGATGAGAGCACAGCGGCTTTCTTCGACGCCTTGCGGGGCGAACGCATGCGGCAGCTGGAGATCCGATCTTTTATCCAACCCGACTCTCCCATGCTCAAGAAGCACTTCGAACTGGTTGCGCGACCCACCCTGACGAACCTCAAAGTGATATTCGACGACTCACCCACCGGCAACCGCGGCCCCGCAGCATTCGACGCCAGGCAGGCGCTCCAACCCCTCTATGCCATCTCCGGTCTCTCTCACCTCGAGATCCGATGCCCCGTGCTGGATGTGAGCGCACGCGCAGTCCGGGACATTGCCAACGCGTGGCCAGGAATCCAGACCCTTGCGCTCTATAGCTATGGCCTGCCACACCCCGGGGTTGATAAGCCATCACTCACCCTCGAAGACCTCGTTCCGCTCGCGGTCAACTGCCCGAGCCTGGATGAACTGGTGATCCCCCTGAACGCGGAGAAGATACCGGACGAGGCTGCGCTTAAACGGCTGCTGCCTGAGCCGTCGCAGTGTGCGTTGTGGGAGTTCACCGCAGTCCACGCGCCGATTGAAGACCCCGGCCAGGTGGCGGGCGTGTTGGCGCGTTTGTTCCCAGAGCTGCGCGCAGTGAACTATCACTACGCAGACGAGCCGCTCCCATTCGAGCCCGAGCTGGGAACGTTTGAGTGCAAATGGGAGGAGGTCGATGAGTTGCTTCAAGGCCAGCCTGTTGAGTCCGATTCTGACGAGGAAAACGAGTAGACCGATTATCTCTAAAGCTTTTCATTCCCTCATTTTGGGACACGGGAAGCATTTGCCGCCTGCCTCCAACGTTCCTTGACAACTTTGTATTGTAATGTTTATATACTATTGCCTGGTGTTTCTTCTTTACCCAAATGACGATCATATCTCTACTGCTCCAATCTTTCATCGAGTGTACATATGTACAAGCTCAGGTGCAGAGCGAAACTTGTACTCGTCTGGTTTGTTGTCCATACTTCCCAGGATCCGTGCGGAGTGAGTCCGTCTGAATTCGTCTGCGCTGCCTGTGCTATACCTTATACACCGTGTGCATTCCAGACATCAGGGTTACGGTGAGCCATATAAAAGTACATGAAGGACGAGTATCTAAGCACTGCGGAAAATGCGGGAAAAGTATGCCTGGAGCCCTTGCGCGTCGTATATGAAAGCACCCACATAGGTGTCCGGCCGGACAACAACGACCGTCAGCTTCCCTTCCTCGACGTGGTACGCGCCGAACGCGTGACCCTTGCTGTCGTGGTACCCAAGCGCCCCGCTGCGTGCCTTCGGAACTTGATGGCGGGCAAGGATGACGATCTGGTAAGTACCCTTCGGGAGAGACTGCACGGTCTCCGAGACGGCGTCAACCTGGCTAGCCGCCTCGTCCGTCTCCGGAGAGAAGATGAGAATCGTGTGCAGGGTGGGCTTGTAGATGTCATGGAGCCAGGTCGCCTTGCCCTCCGCGTCGATGAGGGCAGGTGCTCCGGGCGCACGGTCGCCGGCGTGCACGTCCTCGCCCGGGTACCCTTCGTACGCCTTCGCTTTGAGCGCATCGACGTCGTCGCCGTTTCCGCGCGCGTCGAGGACGATCGGGCTCCAGCGGTAGTTGATCTCCATCATGAAGAGCGCGTTGTTCCGCCACATGAGAAACCCGCTCTTGTCCTTCGGATCCTTGGGCGGCGCTGAGTCCTTATTGACGACGAGACGGTTGTACAGGCCGCTGGTGGTGGCGAGCATCAGGGTGACGACAGGGAGGCGCTCGGCTTCGAAGCTTGAGAGCAGCTCGGGCTTGGCGAGGCCTTTGTAGACGAGTGCGATCTTCCAGGCGAGGTTGAACTTCAAGTGGAGGCGTGTCAGCCGCATATCCTATATATAATACGTAGCAGCCGAACGCACCGAGTCTTGGATGCTGGTGTTCAACCCCTGCGCCCCAGTCGGGGAGTGGACGTGAGCGGCATCTGGGGCAGTAAATCTGAGATGACTGTGAGAGGCGTGATTGCTGCGAGGGCATACCTCCAACGAGGAACGCCCGGCCCGAAGAGAATTTGTTCACCATACGCATCTTCGGCCTGTGCCTGCGTCAGACGACGATCATGAATAGTAAGCAGGGGAGTGACTGACTTCCAGTAAGTCATCGATGTGAAGTTGCTGATCTTGAGCTCGGGGTGGCCGGTGTTGTCGTGGATGAACTTCACAAATTTGGTCTGATCCATCAGGTCGACGGGATCCCAGTTGGTCCCAACGATGCCAACATTGAATCTGCCCTCGTCATAGTACGTCGGGCGCATCGAGACGCTAGTCGGTATATCTTAGCACGCCCCGTTGAACTCAGATACGAAGCACTAGAGACACGTACGTGAACCTCTGCGGCTCTGACCATAGGTGCCAGAACTATTGACGGTGCGTTCAGAGTCCATTGGATGGGCTGGCGTCAGGTGCGCTTCGCTCACCTCAGTAGACAAGTTTTCGACGGTCACGTCGGCCCAGACCTGGCCGTCCCCGTCTTTCGTGACGCCTTCGAACGTGGCACCCATCTGCCTCCTAGTGATCCCTACATCATCGAGAGTACTTTAAGTGCTGTTGTCCGTTCGTTCACGAAGAAATGAAACACATACCCTTGCCACCGTCGGCGCCGATCACGTATGCTGCTCGGAAAGTCTCAATGCTCTCTTGATCGGTACCAGCGGCGTGCTTGAGCGTGGCCGTGACGCCGTCGGCGTCCTGCTCAAACGACACGAGCTCTGTCGCGAGTTCGACCTGCGCACCATACTTAGCGAGATTGTCCCGGAAGATGCCTTCCAGCACAAACTGCCCGATGACGGACCCCGATGCTGTTGTCTGTCAGACGTAAAACACATGAGCCGCGGTAATTCTCCAGTGCAAATTGTGCGTACGATGGGCCTGTCCGGGGTGGGTTCCACGGTTTCCAAGATCTTCCAGGTCCGGGTTACTTCGGTTCCCTCCGGGAGCTTGTACGCGCGCATGAACATCAGAGGCCTGATGACACGGCGGATGTCATCCATGAGGCCGAGGAAGTGGTACACCTCGAGCGATCGCGACTACAGTACGTGGCGTAGTGTCAGTACACGCAACGGCGAGCGGAGCCAAGCTGTCGTACATGTACTCCCCCAGCTCTGGAGGCGGTGTGAAATGCTGGGAGTTTGTCTACAATCCGGACGGGGATGCCATTCTGGACGAGGGCGAGTGCTGCAACGAGTCCAGCGGGTCCGGCACCAACCTGAATGAAACATTTGACAGTTAGAGTTAACAGGCATGAACGACAAGATAGTCAGAGGCGGTATATACGCACAATCAAGACGGGAGGGTTGGTAGCGTTTGCGGTAGACATTGTCTGACTAGGTTACGAATGAGGCTGCTTGAGAACCTTGGGGTCGATCTGGTAGTCGGGCGTGTTGTTTCCAACCTGGCCGTACACACCCCATGCTTTATACTCTCTGTGCATGTTCTCGGCAGGAGTCCTCGCTTGGATATTGGCGTACTGTGGGTAACACACCGAGATCAAAGCCGCGACGCGTGCCCGCAGCACCAATAGTAGTTCAATGAGACCTCCAAGTCCGGACCACCTTTCGCGCGCTCCCGTCGGACGCGCCTCACCTACACATGAGAAGTCCCACACGGATCAGCAGAAGATGCTTGGAGTACGTGCTGTCGTTTGATGCTCTGCGTTGGGTTTGTCAGTAGTTGACGTCGGACCCAACATGTTGGGAATGTGCACTCACCTGCTGAGACGAACTCGTATCGGCGCAGCTTTTCTGTGATACTCCGAGATGACCAGCCGACTTCACAATTCCCGACATCGCGAATTGAGCACGAGTGCCGACCTTCGTCGGCGTGTATTGAGATCTCCAGTCGCTGCCGCTGCGTTCGGTCCTTATTGACTCGAAATGCAGATGGCTGTATGACTGGTCTGGTCAATGGTGAGGATCATCTGTGCCGTGGAGACTGGACAGTCTGCGACAATCGTCAAGGAAATATTGGGTGCCATCTTGTCAGACGTGCCCATTGGAGAAGCTAATTTGAGAGACGCGCATGCGTCTATAGAGCGTACCCGGCGCTGCACTGCTGTGGGTATATTTGTGAAGCATTCGAAGTCGCAAGCAAGCGAACATTTTGTCCGCCCTACATACCCGCTGAGAGCTGTGACTACATACCCGCTCGCCCAAAATTCGCTGACCACAGCGGACTCGAGGTGCCAGACAGACGTAACACGATGAAGTCAAGTTCTGATAAATGTGTACCTATCCAATTCCGTTAACCCTGTTCAGCGCTCCCAGGCAGGGTGACGCCTGAAGTTACAACGCACCGGTGATTGTACGTCGACGACGTCGACCGGATATCGCGCGCTGCTCCAATAAAAACTAGCTAGATCGCGTGAATAGGTATTATGTAGCGTGTTATACATGTATAGGATGCCCACAGCAGCGGGTAATGCAAGCGGCAGACAAGATAGGACAGCAGCGAGAGGGGAGAGCATGATTCCGACCAAGACCGACGGGGGCCTACTGCCCGAATGCGGTCGCGAGGAACTTCTCGATCTGCTTCTTGTGGATCGCCTTGCTGCCGGTCGCGACGGAGCTCGTGGGCTCGCGGCCCGCGTAGAGCGGGTACTTGCCCTTGTGGTGCTGCGTCTCGTTCGCGGCGGTCATGATGCGCGGGCCGACGTATGTCCACGAGCCGTTGTTCAAGGGCTCCTCTTGGCACCAGAGGATGTCCGCGTTCGGGTATTTGTCGAGGTGGGGCGTGAGCTGTGGCGCGAATGTCAGGGCTTGGTCAGGAATATCACGCTTGGGGAGTACGTACGAGGTCGTAGGGGAACGGTGAGACCTGCTCAAGTCTGCTGATCACGACGTCGTTGATGCCCTTGTCCTCACGCTCCTGGAGGAGGGTGTGGTAGACTTGACCTGTACGGCAAAGTAGCATGATCAGATGACAAGAACTCGTAGGGCACCGAACGTATACATACCCGAGCAGAGAATGTGGCGACGGATCTTTTCGGGCTCGACCAGGTTCTCTGGGTGAGAATCAGGGATGTAGCGCTGGAAGTGCGAGTCGCCAGTCATCTCGGAAAGGTCTGAGCGGGCCTTAGGGTGGCGGAGGAGGGACTTCGAGAAGAATACGATCAACTGCGGGTAATCGGAAATTTAGCATTGTGAGTGGGTGTATTGCAGGAGGTACACAAACCGGTTTCCGGAAGTCGCGGTGGATCTGGCGACGGAGGACGTGGTACTGCAGATGGTAAGAATCAGTAAAGTTTCGATGGGAATCCTTCACAAGAACATACGTAGTTTGCCGGGGTCCTAAGCACATCATGTCAGCACAACTCGCATGAGACAACTTAGACAAGTGAAAACTCACGTAGGGTAGACAACCTGCATGTTGCAGTCCTGGTGCTGCCTCTCAATCTTCTCCGGGGTAGGGTACACGTGCGGGTGGTCGTCGCACAGTTGCAGGAAGCGCTCGATACGGCCGCTGGAGTGCTCCGGGCCCTGGCCGTCGAAACCATGGGGCAAGTTGACGACCAGGCCAGTGCGCTGCAGCCACTTCCGCTCGCCAGACGCGATGAACTGGTCGATGATGCACTGCGCGTTGTTCGCGAAGTCACCGAACTGCGCCTCCCAGATGGTGAGCGAGCTCGGCGAGACAAGCGAGTACCCAAGCTCGAACCCTAGCGTGCCGAACTCGGACAACGACGAGTTGCAGACAACGAAGCGCGCCTGGTTGCTACCAAGGTTGTTCAGCGGCACGTACTGCTGCTCGTTCTCCTGGTCGTGGATGACCGCGTGGCGTTGCGAGAACGTGCCACGCTCGACGTCCTGACCGGACACGCGCACGTGGGTGTTCTCCAGCGCGAGCGTACCGAAGGCCAAGGCCTCGGCAGTCGCCCAGTCGATGTTCGAACCCTCGTCGATGGTCTTACCGCGGTTGGTCAGGATACGAGCGAGGTTGCGGTGGGGCTTGAAGCCCTCGGGGAAGGTCGAAATGACCTTGCCGATGCGCTTGAGGGTGTCCTCGGACGCGCCAGTGGCACGGGTGGGCAGGGTCTGCTCAGCAAGCTCTTTGGGTGAGGGGAACCCGGGCCACGACGCAGAGAGCCACTCCTTGCTCGACGGCACGTAGTCCTTGGCGAGACTCGCGGCTTTTTCAAGCGTGCCCCACACCCACTTCTTGTGCTCGTCGATGTCCTTCTCCGTGAACGTACCGCGTCCCACGAGGAACTTGGTGTACTTTTGGAGCGTCGTCGGCTGCTTCTCGATGGCCTTGTACATACGCGGCTGCGTGAAGCTGGGCTGGTCCGTCTCGTTGTGGCCGTAGCGGCGGTAGCAGACGATGTCGATGACGACGTCCTTCTTCCACTTCGCGCGCCAGTCGGCCGCGAGTTGGCACACGAAGTTGACCGCCTCGACGTTGTCGCCGTTCACATGGAAGATCGGCGCGTCAATGGCCTTCGCGATGTCGGATGGGTAAGGCGTCGAACGCGCGAATCGAGGGTCGGTTGTGAAGCCGATCTGGTTGTTGACGATCAGGTGAATCGTTCCGCCAGTGCCGTAGTTGGGTAGGTTGTGGAAGCCCATGGTCTCGTAAACGACACCCTGGCCGGCGAACGCCGCATCACCGTGGAGCAGCACGCCCATGGCCGTGTTGTGCGTCTGCTCATCCTGCTCGAACTGCTGGAGTGCACGAGTCTTGCCAAGCACAACGGGGTCCTCGGCCTCGAGATGTGAGGGGTTGGCAACGAGGGACAGCGCGACCTTCTTCCCCGAAGGCGTGGGACGCACATAGTTGGCGCCCAAGTGGTACTTCACATCACCAGCGGGGAAGTCGTCGTCCTCCGCGGTGCCCGAGAACTCGTTCAGGATGGCCTCGATAGGTTTCCTGATCACGTTCGCGAGGACGTTGAGACGACCACGATGGGGCATGCCGATCGTGACATGCTTGACGCCGTGCTCGACCGAGCGGTCGATGAGCGCCTTCATTCCGGGAATGAGCGACTCGCAGCCCTCGAGACCGAACCGCTTCTCGTTCGGGTATTTGCTCGCCATGAACTTCTCGAACGACTCTGACCAAATCAAGCGGTCCAGCACCATCCGCTTCTCCTCCACGGTGTAGTTCCACGGTTTTGGGATCTCGACACGCTCCCGAATCCAGTCACATTGCTCCTTGTCGGGAATGTGAATGTACTGGATACCCATGGCACCACCTACCGCGCGTGTCAGGGCGCTAGCTGGGCGGACATAATTAGGGCGCACTCACAGTAGATGCGTTTGCAAAGTTTGATGATCTCGCCCAATGACATCGTTTTCCTGTCTTCCGTCGCGAAATGGGGAAGGATACCAGGACCAAGGGTGATCTGCTTCTCGAGGTCGCGCTCAGAGAAGCCATACCGGCTTAGCTCTAGCTCAGGCGGGTGCACAGGGTTGAGATCGGGGTCCAGGATACCCAGGGGGTCAAGGTCGGCAACGTGATGACCGCGCACTTGGTATGCACGGACGAGCAGTTGGACCTGCGTAGCGTCTCAGTACGCGCTAATTGACTTCGTGACACTACACTGAAGCTCACCTTCAAATGGTCATCCAGCTCAGCGCCACCGTTAGTGTGCAACGCAGGCGCGCCGTCGGTGGGGGTAGGAACCAAGCTGGGAGGGGGTTGGAAGGCCTGCGGGCTGGTCAAGCCCTTGGCCATGCCGGAGAAGTAGACATCCCACGACGCGTGCACAGACTTGGGATCCTGCCTCCAGAGTCTGTACATCTCCTCAGCGTAGTAAGCGTTCGTGCCGTTCGCGAAGGGGTCGTTTGGCGAGGGGGCCTTGGCGGCGGTCGCGTACGTGCGGGCCAGCGGTTGGAGGCCATAGCGGAAGCGGGCGCCGTGCACGGTCTGTACGACGCGGGGCAGCCGAGCGAGTCTGTGCATCGTTGAAGATGCCTGCTAGACGGCGCTCGTGGCGGAGGAGGAGGTGATGGTGGTAGAAAGGAGAGGTGGGGGTGAGGTCGAATTCGACGACGTGGATGAGGGGAAAGCTGATGACGAGCCGAAGCCGCTTTTGGCTGTCGGTGCACTACGCCGAAACCGGCGCTTGATTGGTTCCGCGTCATTCCTAAGTTACCCCGCATGCATGCCGCTGCTCTTCAGCGAATCGCCGCACGTCAATTTCACGCAGGAGGGCAGATCTCACATATTCGGCCATACGCGGCTGCTCAGGGCAGTGGTAGTAGGATAGTTGTACAAGTACAAGAACACATACACGACAAAGCTATACGTCTAGAGGTAAGTGGTAGTACGTTGTGAGGAGCCAAGAATGGAACCAGCCAATCAGAGCAGATTCTAGGCGAAGGCTTTACATAGCCATGCTTATACCGACCAAGGCCGGCCAAAAGATGAAGACGATGCGGAACTTGAAGCGTTCTATGTCGAGCGTCGGAAGTGTTGCCATCGCCGCGCCCTTCTGTAGACCACTTGGCCGGTCGGCTTGCTCTGTCGACAACGGGGGCGCAGTCGCCGAAGGACGCAGGGTGACCAGAGTGGGCTTGAGCATGGATACGATCGTCGCGTCCGGAAGGACCAGAGTGAGTGCTGGGGTGATGTATGTCACGGTGGGCGCATCTTCGTCGTGTGCATCAATTGACAGGCCGTCAAGGGGGTAGATGGTCGCCATATCAGTGATGGTGAACTCCGCGGTATAGGCAGTGACTGGAGGGTGTTGGCAGATGAAACGCATGTGGCTGTAGCCCATGAGCAAGAGTTCAAGCAACCACAATATTTGCGCACTCACTAGTCTGAGCCATTGTGTCTCAAAGAGGGCGATATCCAGACATCCACTGCGCGACGCGCTGGGTCAATTTGCTCCGCCAAGGTCGTTACGAAGCTCTAAACCTCGCGGTTCAGTACTGCCCGCACCCAAGGTCAATGATGAATATCTACCTCCCCGACATACAGGTCTATGTTAACAGGGCCCATATCTGTGAGTGATGGTTTGCTGTGGTCGTTTGTCCATTCAACAGTAGCTACACGCCCAGCGCTGAGAACGGTGTCCGCAACAGGATAGGTCGCATAGATCCCAGCTGAGACGCAGTTGGCCAGAAGCAGAGTTGACCAAAAGAGATGGCGAAACATCAGTACAGGTCCTGAGGCAGAGGGTGATAGTTGTAGGTGATATCCAAAGAGAAGGCTCACTGCCAGAGGGAGACCCGAGTGTATCAGTAAACAGCCAGCCGTGCAGTAGTGTTGCCGAGACCAGCCAGGGAGAAACGAGGTGGAGGAGCGAAGGAGAGTTGGCTGTATGAGCGCCTACTGGAATGCGCCCCTCGTGCAACTCATGTGGGCTGTTCGGGTTCGGACTATCGTGTACATAGCATCGACGTCGAGCGTCGGGGTTCGCGAATCTCGCCATATTGCGCTGCTTGTGATTGTCAGAATGCCCAAGAGTCGAATACCAAATGTTGAGCAAGCTCCAGGGACGCCGCGCGCCGGAACCGCGTAGATGTTGATGGGACCAGGGACATGCGCTGGTGGCTGAAGTCAGGACGATCAGCCGAACGTCCATGCCTAGCGACTCTTCGTCAACCTCGACAGCGATGCTCACGACTTTCTGAACTCTGGGACTCTGGTAGCTTCCTCACAATCTTGTTTACGACATGTTTCGCACCCTCTTCACGCCGCTCAGTGCTCGGTTCTCGCTTCCGTCTCCTCTTTCTCCGCGCCTCAGCCAGGAAACACTCGAGGAGCCTGATGAGCTGGACCCAGAGGACTTTGCGCGGGATGTCCTGGTTGAGCTCATGCGGAACGCCACGGAGAGACTCAAGACGGCGGACACTTTGGCAGAACGAATAGAGGTACGTCTGTCCGAATGCGCGGATCCCGCAGTGCAGCGTCATGACCATGATGATGTAGGTGTTATCCGAAATACACAAGATAATGTTGCAAGACGCGTGCACAAAGGACGTGTTCAGGGAGATGGACGGCTTCCTCGTCCTCATGAGCGTGCTGTCCACTATCCACCCGACATTCTCCAAGGAGACGCGGGAGGAGGCCGCTGGCTCGGAGCTGCTGGAAGCTACGCGTCTCGTCTTCGTGATTCTCTCGGAGGCCCTACACAAACACAACGAGAATGCTGTATACTTCAGGGTGCGTGACTGTCGCGTAGGATACGCCCGAGCCGCAATGTCCAGACAACACTTCGTTGTATGCATGCCGCATATAGGCTTAAACGGCATATGACGAGGTGTTGCTCGAATTTGAGCCTTGATACAATAATAGAATACGCTAACGAATCCTCCAGGCTGCAGTCGGACTGGAGTCCTTCGCTCAGGCAACACTTGCTCTCCTGTCTGATCCTCGGACTATCAAACAGACTGTCAGCTTCCTCACCTGCCTTGCTCTGCACAACTTCGCATGGAACCGGTTCTTCTTGCATATAACTGGAGCCGACTACGCAGCCGTGGACCGCAAGTTCTCAGAGCTCTCCCCCCAGCTCGGCCTGATACATGTACCCGAAGCTCTGCGCGTACTCTACGACGCAGTCACGCGACCCTCACAGAACAACGCGTTGCTGCGCTACATGGGGATCAAACTACTAGAGCGGCTGACTTTGCACAAGCACAGGAACCAATGCGTCTTGAGCAGTCTTGGCCTTGAGAGGACGCTGTTCACAAGGCTGTGCTCTCCGGCAATACTCCCCAAGAACGAGCGGCAAGTCGTACAGAAGCTCCTTAGGCGACTACTGGACCACAACGTCCGGACAGAGGACGCAAGGCTCATGTTCCAGCGCGCTATACGTAAGAACGACACACTGGACCCGGATGTATTGGAGGTCCTGCGCGCGGGTATGAAGGTGAAGTGGCCGGAACACTTCTCCTTCGAATCTCCCGCCGCGGTGCGCGTTATCAAAACTGGTTCGCGCGCGCTGCCTTCCACTGGATTCACGTTCATGGTAAACGCTTCAGCGCGTCGCTTGTGTTCTAGTGACTGATACCGCACAGGTGTGGCTTTGGATAGAACAGGTTCCCCGAGACAAGGAACACAATATATTCTCAATCTCATCTGGCGACCGCACACTCTTCTCGCTCAAGCTCCGCCCCGACGGTTCGCTCAACTGCGAGAGCACCGGAAACAAGGAGCCCGCGGTCCTGAAGGCGCACCTTGCGAAGGGCCGTTGGACACACGTTGCGCTGGTACACTACCCACACCGCAACTCCAAACCAACTATTCGTACGCATTTTTGTTTCACTGTGAGGTAATCTCACCTCAGATGAGATCACATTCAGGCCTCTTTGTCGATGGCTCCATGGCGGATTCCGTGAACTGGTTGTACCCTCGCGGCGACAACAACGGTACCGACCACCCCTACACGATCGGGGATAACTCCGCCGGCGCGTGCCTCAATTGGTGTCTCGCCTCCGCCTATCTCTTCTCTGTACCTCTATGTGAGCACGAAATAGTCAGTACGCACCAGTCGTGACGCTGATGTTTATTGACGTTTCTGCAGCGGACGAGCTACCGCGCTTCATCCATGACCTTGGTCCGCGCTACGTCGCACGCTTCCAGGCCGCAGATCTGATTCGCTTCCTGACGTATGAGGCTGCCACGGCACTGAGCATCCACCTGTACGGGCGCGCAGAGCAGCAGCGCGGCGCAGCGGCCGACGTGAAGAACCTGATCAACTCTTTTAAGAACGGCTTAGGCATCAGCGAGTCCAATATCGTGTTCGCCGTGGCGCCGGCGACGACCAGGTTCGAGGACAAGAACACGGGCGATGTGAATGACGCCGCGATGGACGGCGACGTCTTTGTTGCGCGATGTAACGGTTTGGACCTCGCCATGTGGGAGATCGGTGGCGCAGCTGTGTCGTTGCGACTAGTACAGCTTGCGAACGTACGTTGTCCCACTCTCATCAATTCGTGCATCCATTCATCTTTCCTCAGAATCCCCATGAGGTGTCGCGGGCGCTTGGTGTCCTGACTGATGGTCTGCGCAACGGCTGGCAAAACTCTGAGGACATGGAACGGCTGCGTAAGTGGAGTCTGTCGCTGACGGCGATCTGAGGCTCATTATGGACGTAGGTGGTTACGATATTCTGGCTGATATCCTGCGCAAGAAGTGTCAGCTGATCAACATGACCGGTTTCGAAACGCTCTTTGAATTCCTGGGCATGAACTTCAAGTCCCCCGAGTGAGTCTTCATCAAGCATACCTTCTACGCACCCCCTGAACATCCTGCAGTCATTCAACTATCGTCAACACCGTCGCATACCGCGCCATTGCGCTTGATTTCCAGTTGTGGTCTTGCACCCGCCGAGAGATCCAGCTTGTGTACCTAGAGCACTTCGTGACCCTCCTGGATACCAGCAGGTACAAGCGGTTCAACAGCAAACAGCGTATGTCGAAGATGGGCGTCGTCCGCAAGCTACTCTTCGTGCTGCAGACCGACTGGTATGCCCAGGACATGTTGCCATTCTTGCTAGACACCCTACGTGTTGTCGCAGAAGCCAACTTCTCCATCGACGAAGCTATCAGACCTATTGTGTCTTACCTAGCCGCCAACTTGCATGACAGTACGTACTGCGCATCATTCGTGTGGAATTGCCATGCTCAGATATCTACAGCGAGTGTCGCTAACGGGAACAGCTCGCCCCGCTCGATGATGTCGCGGATCGACCACCAGAACGCGCAGTACAAGGCCGAGCAGGTGTTCAAGATGCTGGTGTCCATCCTCGACAACCCAGTCATGTTCAACAAGTTCACCGCCGCGCTGCCGCTCACTCGTATTTGCCTCTTGCTCCTCGGGGACCGCCCTACATCGATCTCTGCGACGCTGGTCCTCCGGCTGATCTCAGGCGCGCTCGGCATGTCGACGTCATTCAACAGGAAATTCGAGCTTGTCAGTGGGTGGAACATCTTGAAGCTTGTCCTGCCATACGGGTGGGATGCACAGGTGCAGGATGCGGCGTTCGACGTTCTGCTTGGGCCCAGCCGAGATAAGAGGGAGATCACACCTGCAGTCGTCTGTCCGTATATAGTCCCAGCAATCTTCTCCAGCCTGAAGATGGCGTTGGACTCCAGTCGCGTCTCCGAGGATCCCCAGGGTACGTGTACCCCTTTCCGTTTCACTAAGCACCCGTCCGTCTGACTCACACCCAAAATCAGTCCGCACCGCAGCCACGTCGATCGTTGAACATCTGTTGGAAGCGCTTATTGAAACGCATTCCTCTAGCCCGACGTTCCGCGAAGTGTTCAGGTCTCACGCGGTCACCCAAGCTTTCATCGACGCCTACAAGATGTTTGCGACGTCCGTCGCGCACGCGGCTGAAATCGACCAGGGCACCGTTCGGGTCCTCGAGAAGCTATCGCACCTTGGCTTGAGCATTGCTCTCGACAATGCAGTTGCTGTCACCCAAAAGCAGGAGGTGCGCTTGTATGTATATGACCCAGTGATTAACTCTCACGCTATCGCAGATCATGGACGTGCTTCAGTCTGCAGAATCTGTGCTTAACCCCAGAGCATCGCAGGAGACAAGCATCGATGCGGGCACGGTTGTGGGCACGAAGGCACGGCGACGGAGGATGGCATCGGTCCGGTTGAGTATGCAACTCGGGGAGAGTGCCGTCAAGCGGTCTGTTATTCGCATTCGCGAGTGGCGCCAGTCTGTCATTACGACTGAGAAGAAGCGACTGCGCAAGACGGTGTTAGATCTGTGGGTCTATCTGAAGGAAACTGTTGGGCACTGGCGCAAAACTGACACTTGGTACAGACGCGAACATCACAGACAAGTGGCCTCGTTGACAGAGTGGTCGACTGTGCTGACAACGGAACGTGGTCTATGGGCACCATCCGACGTCGTTCCTCACTGGCGCCTCGACGAGACGGAGGGGCCATACAGAGTCAGGTCAGCACATCACGCTGCAGCCCCCACCTATATCCATCCTAATATCCTACAGGAAGAGACTGGAGCACGATGATGACAAGCTTCCGAGCTCAAAGGTCGATCCTAATCAGGGAATTGGTGACGTGCAGGATCTGGATGTCGACACGCGTTCTATCATGCAGATCGAAGTACCACCCTGGTCAGAATCATACGAACTGTCATCGACAGACGGGGACGGTGCGCCATCTCTAGCACGGACAACTGTTGAGATGCTCATATCCATGCAGACCAGCTCGGTGAGGAAATCGTCGACGATAAGCATCGTCGCGTGAGGCATGAGCTTGAACCGGGCGACGTCATCGAAGCTGTGAAGACAGTTGCCCGAATAGCCGGAGTAGATTCTTCGCGTATGTGTTGTTCGTTGTCATACAGTGCTAAAGCTGACATTGCTCCAGCCGGACTGTTGATCTTTGGAAAGTCTCACCTCTATCTGCTTGACGGGCTGGTCGAGAACAACGATGGAGAAGTAATCGACGCCCATGATGCTCCACGGTCTCTTTTCTTCGTCCCCGGCAGCATTATTGATCTTGACAAGCATCAACAAGCTCAACGATGGTAAGGTCCACTGCTTGTGCTCCACAAATATGTCCTCATGGAAATTGATTAGGCCGCACGATCAAATCATGAGCTTCAGCGACCGCACATTCCTGTTCCGAGATGTCGCGTAAGTACTGTTTTCGCTTTCGCAATGAGCGAGACCCATAAATAATTCATGCATTGGCAGGCTTGAAATCTACTTCCGCGACAGCAGATCTCTCCTGGTGGTATTCATCGATCGCAAGCAGCGACAAGCGATCACTGGACGACTGTCGCACATCATCGGTCGGGTTGGCCCAGATCCGTCGACGCCAGGCGCCATGAAGTCCCCTTTCGTGGGCCGCTTGAGCTCGAAGTTGTCAGCTGCATTCAGTGCCAAGATGCTGTCAGGATTCAGTCAGGATGAGCTGTCGATTGCGCAGAGAAAATGGCAATCTCGAGAGATCTCGAATGTGAGTTTTGTCGCGATGTCATTATAGCCTAGGTCTGACCCTTGCGTAGTTCACTTACCTCAGCATACTGAACCAAGTGTCAGGGCGAACACCAAGCGATGCCACACAGTATCCCGTATTCCGTGAGTACATACGACTCCCAACGGTTTTCGAAGACTGACACATCGCAGCTTGGGTATTAAGTGACTACACTTCGCCTGTCCTCGACTTGGCTTCTCCAGAGACGTTCCGAGAGTAAGTCAAGTCGCTCTGTTATGATGCATTATCCTGATGGGGTTGCCAGTTTGACACTGCCGATGGGGGCCCTAACCGCTGCTCGCCGAGAGGCTGCTCAATCGCGCTACGAGAGTCTGATGAGCGTTGAGGAGAAGCCCTTCCATTACGGGACACATTTCAGTTCTTCGATGATCGTCTGTCACTTCTTGATACGTCTGGAGCCATTCACACACATGTTCAAGACCTTGCAGGTAACCAGGGTATCATACTTCAGTGTCCGTATTTCTAACGATGGTCCTGACTTAGGGAGGCGACTGGGACTTGCCTGATCGTCTGTTCATGTGAGTCGCACGCCGATCATCAAAAGCAGCGATCTCATGCAACCTGACAGAGACATGAAGAGAGCGTATACTTCCGCTTCCCAGGACATCCGTGGCGATGTTCGTGAGCTGATCCCGGAGTTCTACTCTTGCCCCGAGTGCGTCCAAAATAACTCTAGATGAACCGCTTCTGACGCTCGATTTCCTAGGTTCCTCGAGAACACCGACAATCTCGACTTCGGTGTCCAGCAGAACACCGGGGAGAAGATCCACGACGTCAAATTACCACCTTGGGCGAAGCAGGATCCGCTTCTATTCATCGTCATGAACCGGAAGGTACAACTTGCACACACATCGAAAGCTTCGCGTCTCTTACGTCTAGTTCAGGCGCTCGAGAGCGACTACGTTAGCGAGCATCTACCACAATGGATCGACCTCATTTGGGGCTACAAGCAAGCTGATCCAGATGCGTTCAATGTCTTCCATCCTCTGAGTTACGAAGGGGCGATCGGTGCGTTGAGTTGCTAGTATCTGTGTCTGGCGAGTCCTCATTATCCTTTCACCAGACCTCGACGCTATCACCGATGACCTCGAGCGGGAGGCCACTGTTGGTATCATCCACAACTGTATGTCATTCCCCCTTTCACGCTCGAGGTCGCTCTAAGCCGTCCTTCCATAAGTCGGCCAAACGCCTCGCAAGATCTTCGCAACCCCACACCCACCTCGGAACATGCACGGGAACTCGGCACTCCCATTGGGTCTCATTTACGGAGTGGCTGAAGACTATCACCTCTTGACTCAAAGTTCACGGCCATTGAAAGGTACGCCTATCGCGCAGCCGATATAGTCGTCGGCCAATACTCACTTTTTCACCCAGAACTAGGACAGGATCAGCCTGTTCGCGACCTTGTGCTTGACCTCATAGGGCAACAGGTAGTGCCTTGTCCAGATGGAATGCGATGTGTCCCCTCTCGCCCTCATGAGACGGTGATGTGGGACAGCAGTCCTGCCTCTGCCGGAGCCCTCCGTGTCGTCGTGGATCGCAAGGTCAGTACCACAAAATATACTTAGAAACCATACGAACGACGCTTCGACAGGTCTCGCAAGTCGTCGAGTCGGCATTCTGCTCTTGCGCGACATTCACCGACGCCGACACTCTCGTCACCGGATCGACGGACAACATGGTCCGCCTTTGGCATGTACTGCGAAACAGCCAGAACCGCGATCAACCGGTGACCTTGCAGCTAACGCACCAGATGCGTGGCCATACTGCGCGGGTTTCTGCTGTGACAGCGTCGAGGGCCTGGTCGTTGATCGTGAGCGGGTCGAAAGACGGGAGCGCCGCATTGTGGGATCTCAACCGCGGTGTATACACACGCTCAATTTGGCACGGTGCGGGTGAGGCATTCGAGGTTCATCTTGTTGCAATCAACGAGAGCACCGTACGTTATCTTGCCGCGTGCTTCATGCGCTGGAGTTGACATCTATATTCAGGGCTACATCGCAACTTGCTCACGACAACGACTGTGGCTACATACCATCAACGCCCGGCCTGTCGCCAGTCTCGATCTTACCGATCTCGCTCCTTCACCGCTATACCCGCCTATCACCTCTCTTGCCTTCCTTGAACGAGACTACGCACAGACGGATCTCATGGCGACTGCAGGGCCAGACGGCACTATCACCCTCAGGACTTGGAACACGGACTCTACGCCTGAAGGAGAGAAGGCGCGGTGGGAATTTGCGACCCTCAAAACGTTGAAGGTGAAAGCCGAAGGACGCTACAGAAGCTCTGCGCCGTGTGTCACTGCGTTGAGATTTGTTGGGTGAGAGCGTACAGTCTTGTTGAGTCTCCGTACGGCCGCTAACGCCTCTCACAGAGAGTCGCTCTATCACGGAGAAGACACAGGAAAAATCTTTGGATGGGAACTGCCAGACTAGATGGCATCCCTGGCCGGACCCTATCGACGCTTTCGGTTGCAATATGGTATCATGTACTCTAGGATCTCGCTATATCTATACCCTGATATTGTACTCTCACTTGATCATGCCCGTCGCGCCAGTTGAGTTAGTCTCGTTCCCATCCCTTCTGGCGCTTACAGGGCGTGCACCAGAAGGTCTGGGGCATTTCGGGCCCAAAACGGCCACTCGTGACTCCAGGTCACGAATCTGGGCTTCCACGTGGAACTCGTTAGCACAATTTGTCATACCTACGCCCGCCAAATTTGTATAGTCCCGCTCGCGCCCCCTGAAGGAAACCTTTGAGCTCGCTCTTCCGTTCGCTCACTCGCTCGCTTCATCACACACGCTCGTTCTTGAACATAAACATGCCCTAATCAACGATACTACTGGTTTGTTCTAATGTCTCCGCCGGACCCGGCATCTGTTGGTACTGCTGCAGTCGACCCTCGCGCTGCCTCTCATGCCGAAGCACGAAAACGATCATACGCACTTCTCGAAGAAGCGCGAGCAGCCGCGAAGAAGAAGAAGAAGTACGACAGTCATGCGACCCGTCAGGCCATGATTGAAGAGTCGAAGAAACGCGCTGGGCTCACGCCCTATCCGGAACAACTCGATCTTGCGGAATGCATGCTCCTGGGTCTGGACTCGACGACCATCGCGGGGACGGGGTGGGGAAAGACGCTTCCCTTTGTGCTTCCTTTGTTTGCCCCTCAATCACGGGGCAAGATAATAATCATTGTATCACCGCTTAATTCCCTCGAAGCCGATCAAGTGAGAAACATGCCACGGTCGTTCTTGTGGGCACATGCTGAAGCAGATCAGGCCACACGCTTTCGGAAAATGAACATCAGTACCGCAGTAGTGAATGGCGAGACACAGACACCGGAACTGCTCGATGTACGTACCGAAAAAGCGTCGTATGTAGCCGTTAATAAAGATTGGCATAGGATATTGCGCAGGGAAAATACTCTGTCGTAATCATTGGTCCTAAGCTTCTCACTGAGCGACAGAGCACCTTCCGCACCCTCCTAAGTAATGCAAAATTCACAAAGAGGGTGCTCGCTTTGGTTGTCGATGAAGCCCACTGCATCGCTCAGTGGGGCGGTGAGTTCCGCCCCGAGTACTCAGACTTGGGTGACGTTCGTGCCCTCCTCACACTCAACACCTCCGTCTGCGCTTTCTCCGCTACCATGAAGCCGTCCGCACTCGCATTGGCTCGCAAGACGCTTCACATCTTGCCAAATCGCTCGTTCCATCTCAACATAGGCAACGACCGCCCTAATATAACCTGGGAGGTTAGGTACATGACGGCGGGCAAGTCTAATTTGGACGTGCTCGGTTTCTTGTTGCCCGCAAATGTGGCGACCCTGGCGAAGCTGCCCATGCGACGCATGCTGTTCTTCGACGACATCAACGTCTCGATGAACGCATGCCGATGGCTCATAGAACGGCTCCCCCCGATACTGCAGAGCCGTGTGAAAGTGTACAACGCGCGCCGCTGCACGCTCGCCAAGGACCTGGTGATGCAAGACTTCCGACAGGGAAAGTTGGACATATTGTTGACTACAGAAGCAGCTGGAATGGTGTGTGGTCTCACCTATGTTACATGGTCAGATTCTAACATTTACCAAGGGGTGCGATATACCCGACGTCGTGGAATCAATACAATTCATGGCGCCGGAATCCTTGTCGGTGTGGATGCAACGCGCAGGGCGCGCGGGACGCCATCCGGACATCCAAGCGCGCGCGATTCTCCTTATCCAACCAACAGTGTTCCAGGAGAAGGGGAAGCGATCGCGGCAGGACGGGGAGGTCGTCGCTTACGTCAAAGAAATCGAGGACGGGCTCCGTATGTGGTTGGACCCAGAGCGCTGCCGCCGAGATGTGGCCGATGAGTACTTCGACAATCCACCCACGCGAAAGCGTATGTAGTTGTCCTATTCAGATAAGTCAGAAATAACTCACATGCATGGTAAACAGCTCCTACGGGCGAATGTTGTGACAACTGTACTCGCAAAGGGCGCACGGCGCCGACGTCCGCTTCAGCCCAGCCCTCTCCATCCCCCAGTACCTGCGCTTTGCCTTCTGGCCCCAGCGCTACCCATACGACGCCGCTGTCAGCGAATATACCTCTGGTGCTGCAAGAGAGAACTTCCGATCACGAAGTTGGAGCAGACGACACCCGTGCACTTGACGCCGACGCTCGACAACACGCAGGCCCACCGTGTCAAGACATTGAGCCGTACTCACCTGATAACTGGCCCGCATACACACGCGCAACGCGCACCTCCGAGGATGAAGAACGCGCGCGAAGGCTCTTGCAGTCCTGGAGGTATCAAGCCTGGCTCACCTCGTATTCGCACCAACCTTTTGGCCCATCTGGCCTACTCACCGATACCCTCATCACCTCGCTCGCTTCGCGCACGAGCTTCTCCACTGCGGGCAGCTTGAGCGGTCTCCATTGGCTCCTTGTGGAACGGCATGAACTTGAGGTGTTGAAGGTCTTGCAAGACTTCGATCGGGAACGTGCATTGCCCAAAATCGAAGAGGCCCGAGTCAAGGCTGAAGCCGCCCAGGCAGAGAAGGACAGAAAGGAACACGAGGCGGCGGAGAAGCTCGCAGAGAAAGCGCGCGCGAAGGCGCAGAAGGAGGAGGAGAGAACGGCCAAGGCAGCGGAGAAAGAGGTGGAGAAAGAGCGCGAGCGGGAAGCCAAGCTAGCTATGCGAGACCAAGAGCGTGCGCGGAAGGCCCGAGCAGCCGAGCAGAGGAAGGAGGAGAAGAAGCTAGAAACCGCAGAAAGGCAGCGGGTGCGGCGGGAGGATAAGGCTCAGCGCAAGTTGGTGGGTGGGGCTGTGTGTGAGGCCGCAGAGGTTGCAGACGAGATCTGTGCAGGCACGCGTATGCACATCCGTGGCCCTCACAAGCGTAAGCGTTCTCGCCACGCACGGCCAACACCGAGGAAGAGGCAGAAGAAGAACAAGGAGAACGTACCAGAGCTGGCGCTGGTCGCAAACAACTCGCTCGCTCCCACCTCCGTTAGCGCCCAAGACGTGCACGCAAGCACTAGCGCCCTCGCGCCGCTCATACTACCGCAACCTCTATCACAATGCTCAGCAGACTCTCAAAATACCTCGGCCGGTCCTTCGAACCCCGCGCTCCTCGCCTGCGCATACGTTCAACTACCTGCGGTGGCAAGTACATCGGGCGCGTCTGTCGCGACACTGCCAAAACTGCGACCGCGTGCTCGGCCGCGTTACCGTCACTCAGCCCCGGTAGTGTCTCCCACAGGTGCCGCGAACACTCAAGAACTCATAACAGCGCCCGCACCGCCCTCCGTCGACCCTCCAAGCAGGACGTGCGCAGAGGAGGACATGGATACATCGTAGTAGCCAGGAATAATTTGAATATATTGATTCTATTCGTCTAATGTATATATCTCGGTTGTGGCCTTCGGAAAGCAGCGATCAGTCCACCAACGGTCTACAATGCGCTCCTCAATGAGCTGTCCCACTCCTGCGGAAACTACATCAGGTGCATGGTCCGCTTGACCTCCGTTAATGGTCCTCATCGCATCGAATTCGAGAACATGTGACTCGCGAAACATACTGATCACTCGCTCGACGTCCTTGTCCTTCGAGGGGCTCCCATGGCGCGCGCCGCGCGCGAGAAGGCTTGGGAACTGTGCCGCTATGCTCTTCTTTATCGCGCGAAGCACCGGGATGGCGGGCGATATTTTTTGGATGTATGCGAAGGTCGCACCGGGGCCAAATGATCGCCAAGTCACCTATGCATGGGTTAGGCAAGTACCGGTGTATGCAGTGGTTGTTTGCTTACCTTGATGTCCTTGATATTGTGTTCCTGTGCAAGGTCCACAGCGTGGAACCCATCACGCTTTCCTGTGAGATTTACAAGCCAGCAGTGCCTGCGAATATGAGTTCTGAAAAATTAGTTAGCATGAGTTGTTCAGCATACTAAAGATAGCATGCTGCATGCCCAACTCACCGTAGCTCCTCAGGCCATTCGCGTCGTAACTTATGGAGCAGCTCAAGGATCTCCACGGCGTACTTGTGGTTCCCACCGCCGATAAAGCGAAAGAGGAGTGTGGGAAGGAGGTCCTCCATACGGCCGACATCGCCTATGCGCATTGCCTCCCGCAGGTCGAAGTATGGCAGAAGATCAGCGCTGAGCATGATCATCTGCCGCTTTACCTCATCTTGCTGGGCTGCGGGCTGATTCTCCATGTGAGTTATCGCTTCGCGCGATATATGTTTGTCGCAGATTGTGTTGAGGATTGCAATGAGTTCCTGCGGGGACTTGGAAGCCAGATCTGCGTGGCTAGATGCGCCGCCGACCTCAGCCCACAGCGCGAGGAAGTTGGCTTCCCCAACATGCCAGAGAGCCTCGTCGAGATGATGCCAAAACACCCCTTTCGTCTCCTGCTTGAGAAGGCCCTTCCGGCTCAGTGTCTCGAACGCTTTCCGGAGCCCAATGCCCGCCGACGTCCCGAGGTATTGTGCATGCAGTGAGTTTGCGAACGCCATCGTGGCGTGGAACCATCCGAAGACAGGCTCAACCCACTCCATCCGCGCGAAGGAGTTCGGGTCGTCGTGCCGATAGCGGGCAAGACCGCGTATGCGGTCCACAGTGAGTTGATCTCCGGCCCATACAATCACTCGCTCTGCGCCAGTGCGTTTCTTCTCTTCCTCCGAGCCCCAGCCCATCTGTTCTAGCCATATCTTGTTCATCAGCTGGTCGGTGCCGTCATAACTGCTCTCGTCGACTTCGACGGTCTCCAGAATGTGCTGCTTGACCATGTGTTCAGGCCCGCACGGAAGCAGCTCGACCGGAGGTGGGGCAGCGAAGAGCGGATCGTCGTGGTGAGGATAGTCGGCAAAGGCTGGGCTTTGGAGTAGGAACCGGAGAACGCGATCGCGCCCTTGCGCCTTCATGCGCGTGGCCGCATCGAGTTCGCCCATGACAAGGTCCTTTGCTGGCAAGGGGCCCTCCTCCATCGCGGCCTTACGCGCAGCTTTTGTCTTGACGGAGATGTCTTCCGGAAGCAGAGCCTCCTTCGGTAAGATCCAAATGGTGGCAGCCGATGCGCTGATGAAATGATTGAGGTTGTGTGAGCGTTGCGAGAAGACGCGCATGGGCACGTTAAGGTTATCGTGCGATCCGAGGAGAGCACGACGATGTGCGCAGATATCCGTTTTCGTGTCGATCTTCGCATTCTTGGCGACCGTTTGGAAGGCGTTCGTAGTCCACTTGTGGCTCATAGTGATTCCGAGAGCGTGCAGCGCGTCGAACGCGCGGGCGGGTAAGCCGCACGCTTTGAGAAAGATTGACCATATCATAGTGAGGCGTGAGGAGTCGTGTGAACGAGAGTACGCAAGCATCGAGATCACTGTAAGGATTATCTACAGGCAAATCGTGTCAGATGTAGTACAAGAAGGGCACAGACAGACGGCGGGATACATACGTGAAAGGGGTTTTTTTGAGAATTTTCTTTCTTCTGGCGGGGACTCCATGCGAGCTGTTGCAGCAGGAGCCACAGCTTCGGCGCATGCCTGTTCTGGATTTGAGTGCCCACGTCACGAAAGTTGACACTAGTCAAGTTGGACGCGGAGAGGGGGTTATCTGGCGGCCGCAACTGGCTGGATGCGACGTCTTCGAGCTCTTCGACAAGAGTCTCTCCGACACGGGCGACAAGGAAGTCCTTCATGGCACTCCCACCACCAGACGTCTCTTTTGTCGGCGGATGCCACCATCGGTCCAGGACGCTCAGAAGAATGGGGCTCCGCATGAAGACCGCGCGCTCGTGCGCGATCTTGCGGTTTGCGATACACCCCGGATCACCCCAGAAGACAGCGTCCATAAAAAGCTCTAGATTGAGATTCTGAGTTCGCATGAACTCCAGAACGTTCTCCACACGTGTCGCGAGGCTCGCGCTGTCGCGCGCGAGCGCGTTCCGAAACGTAGCTGTGTAGCCACTGTAGAAGGAGGAGGCCGCGGTGCGCGGGGGTGGCATGGACGGAAAATTGACGTCGAGCTGGTCGAGCACATCCGCGAAGTCGTCCGAGTCATCCCAGTAGTCGTCGTGGTCATTACTGAATGCTTGTTGGTACTCGAGATCGGATGCGAAGTCCATTTCGCGATGGGCTTAAGTAGACGGCGCAGCGAGAGAGCCGTACTAGACGCGACGAACGAGAGCTCTGCTATATCATGACTAAAGCTATCTGACAGAAACCGTTACTCGGGGTAACTCCCGACAGGCACCCAGTGACCCGATGTGACTCCGATGTAACGAGTGGCCTTACCGCCCACGAAATGCCCCAGACCTTCTACAGGGCTCTCCCCCCCGCGCGCTCAAATCCCATCGTGAGAACCTGCCCAAAATATTTTGGCGCCTGTGCACCATTCCTTTGGCCAATCACAGCGCTCAGCGTGCGGGAGGGGGGAGAGCCTCTGTAGAAGGTCTGGGAACGAGACTACAGTTGAGTCAGGCAACGCGACAGGTAAGTCAGCCGGGCGAAGGCTTGCTTAGCGTCGTCGCGTCCAGGCCCCGGCAACCAAGCAACAGGAACCAGGTACGTCTGAATTTCGAGTCCTTGGAAGTATGCTCACCCTGACAGTATCTGGCTTTTTAGACCGATCGCAGCACGAACGTGCTGCACCCATAATGAAAAACCTGCACAAGCCGCAGTTCTCGCTCAGGGCCCCTCAACGTTTCGACTATACCATAGGTCGCCGACGATATCACGCCGACGATCGGTGCCCAGCCCGGCTGTCGCTGCCCGGGTATTTCAGCAAGATGCGCATGCGCTTCTTGGAGGCGTCGCGGACAGTGCGCTGCTTCGTAGCGGCGTGGTACGGGCCGTGCCTGAACGCGCCGGACGCGAATCAGAACGACGAACGTGCATGACCCCCTCATAGTTCACGCGAAGCCACAGACCTGGGCACGCCCTTGTTGCACGTCTTATAAGGTAAACAAGCGTCTTGATGTTGCTCCCCGTCGGGTCAACAACATGGCAGCGCTCACGGTCAACCTTGTTCTCGCCGCTTTGGTAGCCGTGTGCTACGGGCGCTTCGATCCCCTCCACCACTCCGGCCCTGCATCGCCATACTTTGACGCCCCCCCGCAGTTCGGCATCGACTCGACGACGCCCTCGCAGTGCGTCGTGGAGAGCGCGGCATACATTGTGCGGCATGGCTCGTGAGTATCACCACTGTTGATATCGTTAGCGCCTTAGTGCACCCGCTGACCTTTGCATGACACCTAGACGGTACCCGGAGCCCGGGTCATTCGCCGGCTGGCAGGCGCTGTTCACGAAGCTGCAGAACGCGACCTACACCGCGCGCGGCCCGCTGGCGTTCCTCCCCTCCTGGGTGGTGCCAGTGGACGACGCACCGCACCAGCCGCTCTACCTGACGTCTACGGGCGCTGGGGAGGCGTTCAAGCTCGGGGTCGACCTCAGGAAGCGCTACCGCTTTACGCCCGGCGGCGATAATTTCACCGTCTGGTGAGTATCCTAGGGCCGCCCTTGGCGCTCGAGCGGAACAGAGCTCACACCGCACATATCGCAGGGCGGCTGGGCAGCAGCGTGTGGTGGACACGTCCGCCTATTTCCTGCAGGGCTATCTCTCGCAGGGGAACTACCTGGCGGCGCCGTCCGAGAACCGGGGCATCGTCGTGTCCATGCCTGATTCGGTCAACTACACGTTCGCGGATTCCCTGACGCCGTCGAGCGGCTGCCCGGCGTACAAGGGCGGCGACACCTCCTCGAAGGCGACGACGTTCCGCGCCACGTACCAGGGCAACATCGCTGCCCGGCTAAACCGTTATCTCGACGGCCTCGCGCTCACCGCGAGCGACGTCGGGGTGATGCAGGACCTGTGCGGCTTCCAGGCAGAGGTCAGCGGCGACACTCGGTTCTGCGATATCTTCGAAGGTACAGAGATCTGGCATCTGTCTCTGCCTCGCGGCTGTATCTGACGCCGTGCCTTGCTCAGAGGAGGAATGGAATGACTACGAGTACGCGCATGACCTCAACTATTACTACGGGTGCGTCCGCCGCGGCACAACGTTTAGCGGAACAAACTCAAGCATTGCGTTCCCTTCCTCCCCTCTGACAGATCCGGCCCCGGCAACCCTTTCTCGGCTACCGTGGGCTTCCCCTGGCTGCAAGCGGTTACCGGACTGCTCGCGTCTGCGCCCAACGCGAGCGCGAGCGGAAACGCCTCGTTCGTCCCGCCCGCGCTGGTCATGAGTTTCACGGTAATCTTTTGCGCGAACGTCCCCCCTTCCACCCGCAGCTCACCCTCGTTCCCCGTGTTCCAGCACGACAACAATCTTCCACCCATAGTCGCCGCGCTGGGCATCTGGAACACGTCCGACGCGCGCGGCGTCTACCCGCTCTCCCCATCGCGCGCCGACGCGCGGCGCACGTTCCGCTCCTCATACCTCGTCTCCTTCCTCGGACACGTTGCGCTCGAGCGGCTCTCATGCGATGCACACGCGCCGTCCACCGCCGTGCGGCACAGCGCCGGGCAGGTCGTCGCAGCCGCCGGCACGAGCGCCGGCGCGCAGAAATACGTGCGGATAAGGGTGAGCACGTCGTTCTGCGGTTCCATGCAGAGGCTCATGTGAACCTGCACCTCGTGTTTCGGCTGGACAGATCAACGATGCGGTGGTGCCCGTGCCGGGGTGTGCGTCCGGCCCAGGGGCGTCGTGCCCGATGGAGGGCTTCGTGAAGCATGTGCGGACGCGGGGAGCCGCCGCGGGGGACTTTGTCGAGCGCTGCGGGCTGCAGGGCGTGGCGAACGCGACGAGTGTCCTGGACATCTTCACGAAGGTGCCGTCGGCGGACGCGGAGACGTTTACGCTCCTGGCGCCCCAGGCGAACGCGCTCGTCCCGGTCGGATTGTAAATGCCGATTCGCGTAGATTTGAGGAGTGCACTCGCGAGCTCCCGCTGCTGTATAATTGTCATACTAGCGTATTGTCTATTCAGTATGACGTGCATGCCTCATGACTGCCTGTACGCTTCCCCGGGATCATTATCCTCGGCTGAGGCGTGGTGATGTACGCCTGCTGCCACACACCGTGGTGAGATTTGTCTGCCGTCGCGCGCGGTACGGTCTTCACCCTGCCTTCACCGCGTCTTACGAAGTCCGGTAGTGTATTAGGTGAAGTCGTTTGTCAAGTGTTTATCTGGGCGATAAGTAGTTCAATGGCGCGTTATAAGGAGTTGTTATCAGATGGCGATCTCCGCGCGATTGGCTACGGAGGATCATAACGCTCACTTACTTAGCCTCAGCGCGCCCAATCCGTCCTCATCTCCCTCCTAGTCTCTCTCCGCCACCGCCCTCGCGTCCCACCCCCTCTCCAACTCTCTGCAATGTCCTGGCAAGGTGAGGCTTAGGCTGTCTACCCCTGATGTGAGCGCGCTCTCAATCGCACTGCGTCCGGTCGCGCCACCTGCACAGCGTACGTCGATACCAACCTCATCGGAACTGGCAAGATCCAGAAGGCCGCCATCATCGGTCTCGCAGGGGGTGTTTGGGCATCGTCTCCGGGCTACACTGTACGCACAACGCATCTTCCAAAGCTGAACAAGTCTGACCTTGCGCGCGCGCACCGCACAGCTCTCCGCAGAGGAGCAGAAAGCCATCGTGACCGGGTTCGAGAACCCCTCCTCGCTGCAGTCCAGCGGCGTCCGCCTCGCAGGACAGAAGTTCTTCACCCTCCAGGCGAACGAGCGCAGTATCTACGGCAAGAAGGCGGTGCGTGCCCATTCCTGTTCGCAGATCCGATGCGTTTGACTCTGATCACGCGCGCTCGTACAGGCCGATGGGTGCATAATCGTGAAGACGAAGCAGGCCGTGCTGGTGGCCGAGTACACCGCACCGAACCAAGCGCCTGAAGCGACGCCCGTCGTAGAGAACCTGGCCGATTACCTCATCGGCGTCGGCTACTGATCGCCTGCATGGCGTGGCGTGCGTGGTGGACGGTGCTGGTCGTGGCTGCTTTCCTGGATGAAGATTTGACATCAAACTGTACACAATTCGCACAACCTCGCTTTGACAATGGCACCTATGTATTTTTGCTGCAGCGTCCTTGCGTTCGATGCCTGCAGGACCTTGAAGGCGCGCATGATGCGCCCGTTTGTCAGGATCGTGCATTGCAGGCGATGCCTACTCCGTTCAACTTCTCACGAACGTCCATCGGAACTGCGTGGTCAGTCCCTCAGAATTCATGTTGAGAGCGGTACTTTCTTTCTGCCGCTCCTTCTATCATATCCAGGTATCAGGCCCCCCAATGGGGCACAACGATTCCCTCATGGCTTATGACGCCCGCAACATGGCTCGGCGGATCATGCTGGAAGCTTGCAATGGTTGAAGCGAGATGCAGGCTGCACTCCGCCATTCGCAAATTAACATTCCCCGCGGACGTCAGGACTTGCGTTCATAATTGTCTAGCGAGCCAACGTGTCGTTGGGCGCTCGATCACTTTGAGGGCAGCTGGACCCACAAGCGGTGTAAGCGATCTCAGCTCAGCTCGTCCCATCCCCGCCATCATCCAAATTTCTGACATAGGCCTCTTGTTCTCCGCCTACAGGTTGAGCATAGGCACTGGTCAATCGCGCTCTGCCGACGCGCCCAATGCGCATTCGTATCTTGCCGATGATGCCGTGATTCGATCCGGATCATAGCTTCAAACACTTGAACGGTGGACGCACTTATCGCCATCTGCCACCTCTACGAGGAAACGAGTCGTGTGCTACGCACTACGTATGGCAATCCCTCTTCTACTTCACCCCTAGCACCAGTGAGTGAGCCCTCTACGTTCTCATTAGCACCTTTTCAAGATGCCAGTGGTTGACAGCGCATCCGGCCATTCCCTGTATTGCTTGGCTCAGGACGGCGCGATTTCCGCCCTCGGCTTGAGTCAAAGCATGTCGGCTGCATCTCCGTTTTCCCTCGCAGCGCTCCGAATGGTCATTCCTCAGGTATCTTCCCCACCACAAACGCCTGGTACCTTTGTTGTCGGTGCTATGCCTTGCACCGCCGAGACGCGCAAGGCCCTTTCTCCTCCATGGAGCTCGGTGCAGACGTAACATGAGAAAATGCAGTCTGACGCGCCGCAGAGCAACATTCGGGGTCAATTCATGACGCTCACTTTAGTCCGCTACCCAGTCCACAATATTCTTCCAAAGCGCTCGCCATATGGGCGGGGCCCGCCACCCCGCGCATCTGGTCTGAGTCCTCTTTGACGTGGCCACCTACGTCGCCCTGTAGCCCCAGTCCGCAATGACGTAAAATTGTGGTTGCAGAACGCCGTGCGCGACGTTATGGTTGTCGCATACGAACTTACATACCATCCACGGGGTGTGTAGTGTGGCTGAGGAAGCGTCGAAGAGGACCTGGTAACGCGTCCAGCCTTTGCCCCGGTCCCGAGTGTCCTTGAATGTCACCTCGGGCCCTAGTTTCGTGCAGCACGATGATGCACCCTGAGGCCGCCGCTGCGCCCACTGTCAAACCGCATAGAGCGCGCGGTCTGTGCGTCGGGGATGCGAGCAAGTGGCCTCGGAGGTGTGTCAACCCCGTACGTGCAGTCCGCTGACGACTTTATTCAGCGACCGACACGGACGCCCTCTGGGTCAGCTGGAGGCTATGAGAAGACATGCACGACCCTTCGGAGCGCCGAACAAGGATCCGTCTGGGCGTTCCGAGCCCCGAGGCGGACTTCAACACGTCAATTTTTGATCCGGGCTCTAACCCGGCATCTTGGACACCGCCCGCGGGGAGGCCCCCGCCTGCCACAGTGCCGAATACGGCGAAGGTGTGGACCACGCCGGCTCGTTCTGCGCAAGGAGTGCCCTGACAGGACAGTCCACACCCACTGCCGCCCGCGCCCTAGCTGGCGCCTCGTTATGGCGTACTCCTGCACACCATCTGCCGTCCACACCACCCTCCGACGGCCTTCCAAGCATGCTCTGGGGAACGCAGAGGGTTCAGAGCTCTCCGATGGGTCCTCCAGACGCCGCTATGGTCGAGCAGAAATATAAAACACCTGCGAGAACGATGAGGAGAGACAGACTCCAAGTCGAACACACCCACACAACCCACCGCTCTCATCAAGATGATTCGCCTTACTATCGATGCGTGCCTCCGTCTCCGGAATGCCGCGGACAGCGACATCCTCGTCGCCCGCCCCTTCGTGCGCGTCCTCGTCATCGACGACCGTGCCCCCACCCGGGGCGGGGGCCGCCAGGTCTTCGTCACGGACGGCGCGAGCTACGCACACGTCGCTCTCGAGCAGCCCCTCGTCGAGAAGCTCGGCGCCGAGCTGCACATCGGCTCAGTCCTCAGGCTCCTCGAGGCATACAGGCTCCCCGCCGACGATCCCTGGTAAGTCCGCCCACCTCCGCGACGTGTAGTGCACGAGCTCACCCGACCTCTCGCCCCTAGCCCCGTCATGGTCAAGTGCGCCCAGGTCATGTATGTGGGCATGGACGACGTTGAGACGGATGGCGGTCCCGAGCTCGACGAACCCCTCCTCAAGGTCACGGGTAAGTCCGCTACGCTATCTTGCCGTTCAAAGTACTGAGTGCCCCCATATAGGCGACGGTCAAGAATTAATCCAGATCAGAAACGAGCGGGACGAGGAGCACCGCCGCCGCTGCCTTCTTGAGTATGCCATGAAGAGTGTCTGCATCGATCTCGCCCCCGGGCACGAGGGCGGTTTCGTGCCGCGCTTGACCGGAAGGCTCATGGAGATTTGAGGCTCGGAGTGAACCTCCTAACGGGAAATGGATGGCGGTGGCGGCGCGGGGAGGAGTCAATCCGGCCCGAGATGCTTGTAGTAGAACGGAGGTGCGGGGAGTGAAGGGAGGGGCACGCAGCAGCGGGGGACGTGTTCTCTAGATTTGTCTGCGTTGTCAGATTTTCTTGGGATCCGACACAATTATGACATGCGTCTGACTGACTTCCGGTGGTTGGCGGCCCTTGCGTGCGGGTACAGCAGGTCCCCACGCGCATCCGATAGAATAGCGGTGGGAATTAATTTTGAGTTCAAGGACACGGATCCGCTAGCATCGAGTGTTGGCATATACGAACCAAAATTAAGGTGGGGTATTCTCCTATGTTTCACAGACAGGTTGACGGCCTCAGGTTGATACGTACAAGAACTGTCGAAAGTTCTCACGCAAGTATCTGCGCCATGTGTCGTGTAAGCGCCAGGTACAACCTGGCACATCCGGAGATGAACTTGTTCCTTCAAGACTATTGGTCGAACGGGCCCTCATGAAGTGCAGCGCTACTCAATCTGACGCTGACAGAACAATGCACAAGATTGCTTCCGTTATGAACGCCTAGTATAGCGTACAGCCTCGTGCACGCTGCGCACCTCGCTCATGGAGTACTCGTGGCTACTACCCTCACTGGCAGTATCTACATTCAGAGGCTAGTAGTACTACTGGCAGTCCACACCTCCGACATCGACATGATCTTACTCACGAAGGATGCTTGCTGTCGCCTCCGCGACGCCGCGGACGACGAGATCCTCACCGCACGCCCGCTCGTACGCGTTCTCGTCATCGAGGCCCGTGCCCACAACTGGGGCGGGGGCTACCAGGTCTTCGTCACGGATGGCCAGGGCTACGCACACATCGCCATTGCCCCAGTCCTCGCTCAGAAGCTCGGCAGTGGGCTGCACATCGGCACCGTCATCAGGCTACTGCAAGCGACTAGAAACCCAGCCGACGATCCCTGGTACGCCCTCACATCTTTGCGACGCGTAACGCACATACTCACCAGGTGGCCTCTCGCGCTAGCTCCGTCAAGGTCGAATGCGCCGAAATCACGTACGCGGGCATGCATGACGTTGAAACGGACGGCTCTGAGGGTCCCGAGCTGGACGAAGCGCTTATTAGGGTCACGGGTAACTCTGCTTCCTCATTGTGTCGCTTGAAGTTCACGGTGTTGAACGCTCGTTTATAGGCGATCGGCAAGATGTCATTCAGGCCAGAAACGAGCGGGACGAGGAGCGCCGCCGCCGCCGCCTCCTTGAGTACGTTATGAAGGTCATCTGCCGCGACCTCGCTCTCGGGCACAAAGGCGGCATCCCGCCGCGGTTGGTCGAGATGATCATTGCGATGCTCAACTCGGACGACTCGGAGCCAACATCCTAGCGGGAGATGGAGGGGAATACCAGTCGCGGAATCGAGGAGTCGTCAATCGGGACGAAGTGCGAGTGCGGGGAGGGGCACACGGCGCCGGGCGCGTTCTCTTGATCGGTTTGCTCTGTATGATTTCCTTGAGACCTGACATAATTCGCGATGAGCTTGTATGACTGACCCCAGCGGAACGCTCGTAATGCCCACGAATCGGTCCCGCGGCGATTCAAATCATAAAACACCCACTCCAAGCGCTAGCGATACGAAAGCGATTCCGACGACACATGCTTACTCTCCAGGGCTCGGGGCCCTGTCGACATGCATGCGGTGGACGACCGATGTTCTGACGTTCGCATTTCACAGATTCGAGACGGACCATTATATTATCCCCTGCAACCCCAATCCACAATGGCGTAACTTGTGGTTGCAGAACGCCGTGCGCGATGTCACGGTCTCCGCATACGAACGTACACACCGTCCACGGGGTGCGTCGAGGAAGGGTCGAAGAGGGCCTGGCAACCAACCCATCCTTTCCCCCGGGTCCTAGTGCCCTCAAATTGATCTAGGGCCCCAATCTCGCGCGGTATATAGGTGCGCGATGGTGCACCCGCCGCTGCGCCCACTGTCAAACCACACAGAGCGCGTGGCCGGTGCGTCTGTGAAGTGTAGGCAAGGTGCGTCCGGAGTAGTGCGAGGCCCGTCCCTGCAGTCGGCTGACGAAGCAATTCAGCGACCGACGCGGACACCCTCTAGGTCAGCTGGAGGTCTTGCGAAGACGTACAAGACCCGTCGGAGTGCGGACAGGACATATCTATGCGCGTTCCGGGGGCGCAGTACGGAATATACCACCTCTATCTCTGATCCGGACTTCATCCCGGCGTACTAGCCCCCCTCGGAGATGGCCCGCTCACCGTGCGCAACACCGTAACCGGTAAATTTGTGGTTCGCGCTCGCTTGGGGCGGTGGCGAACCCCTCCCCGCTCGACCAGTCCACTTTGTTTCTGGCGCGCGCGGAGGATGGCACCGCGTTATGACATACGCCTCTGAACCATCTGTCGACGACACCACTCGCCGACGGCCCTTCCAAGCATGTCCTGAAGAGGCGTAAAAGGTTCAGAGGCCCCCGCGGTCCTCCAGACGCCTCTACGGTCCAGGAGGAATATAAAATCACTGCAAGCAGCGAAGAGGAAGGGCAGTCTCAAGCAGACACACAACCCACCGCTTCCAACGCCCCCGACCGCAACATCGACATCACCATGATTTCCTTGACCCCGAACGCCTGCGTTGCGCTCCGCGATGCCACCAACCAGGCCATCCTCACCTCCCGCCCGCTCGTGCGCATCATCGCCATCGTCGACCGTGCCGACCTCAACAGCAACGGGGCCGCGAACACCGCAGCCACCGGCCCTGCGGCCATAGTCACGGACGGCCTCTCCTACGCCTTCGTCGCGCTCGGGCCTGACGAGGCGGCCAAGATCATCGAGGGCCCCGGCCTCGGGCTGCACGTCGGCTCGGTCGTCACGCTCCTCAGTTTGTCCAGGAACCCCGCCAACGACCCCTGGTGAGTAAGACCGTGCGTCTCGCACTTAGGCAAACGCTTACCCACTTTTCTGCATCACAGCCCCGTCCTCGCTACTTCCACGCAGATCGAGTACGCAGACCTGCAGGACGGCGGCGAGAGAACCGACGCGGACGACTTTGACAACTGCCCGCTCATTGTCACCGGTCAGTCTGCCCCCCGTGGCACCTATTACGCTGGAAGCAGAAAATACTGACCGTGCCCTCGATATCATTTTCAGGCGTGGACGACCCCCTTCACGCGGTGACGGCCGAGCGGGACAACGAGCGCCGCCTCCGCCGCCTCCTCACGCACACGCTCGCGCACGTCGCGCGCGACCTCCTGCCCGGCCACAAGGGCGGCCTGGTCCCGTCCGTCGTTGCGGCATTCAACGCCGTGCACAACATGGCCTAAGGTGCTGCTCACGGGCAATCAGCCCAAGGGGCAAACCGGGGAGCTGTCAGTGGAGACGCGGGACCGGAAGCAAGACAGGACGAGATAGCGAGGTACGGGGAGGGGTGCGGGGAGGGGCGAAGGTTTGACGTAGCCGGGGAGGGGAGCCTCTAGACCTGTCTGCATTGTAAGATTTTCTCGAAACCTGACACCATTCACGACCCTGTGCATGTGCGTCTGCCGCCCGAGCCACGGCGCGCTCCCGCGAGAGCCTGAGATCGCGGATCGGTCCCGCGATGGTTCACAGTCACAACAGCGACACGAAACAAACGCGCCTCTAGTCAAATAGCGGCGAGTTTCCGAGTCCGACGACACGGACTCGCTCGCCAGGGGCATCGACACGCACGGGGCTACAAAATCTCGTGTTTCACATATCCGTGACCGGGCAATTGCATTATACATCACACTCTACAGTACAGACACAGACACAACAGCGCGATAGATACCAGGGTAACTTAAAACGGTAGAGCGCCCGCATAACACAAATCCTCAATCAACACGCGGGCGAGGCGCCCAGCTGCAGCACGAGGGAACTAGCACAGGACACAACACGCGACTGCGCCACACAACCACAACCGCAGGAGCACGCGGAAAAGCCTCAGCCAGACGTCTTCTGTGGTTTAAGTACTCCGCGGTGGACCATCATTGACGAGTCTAGGGCGGCAGAAGCCTCTCCTTCTCTGTCACGGTCCTAATCCAAATCTCTCCTGGCCGGCTGCAGTCCGCGTCAGCGCTCTTGTCCAATAAGCCCCGCCCGCGAAGCTGCTGGTTGCAGGGTCGTGGGCGTAAGCAAATCCACGCACCTTTTCTCCCTCAAGATCCTGAACACGCTCCGTTGCGCCTCCGCGCGCGCGGCGCGCTCCGGGCTGAACGAGGCGCCAACCGCGCGGGGAGGGAACGCGCCTCCGCAGCGCGCTTGCAAGTCCGCGAGGCCCTCGTTCGTGCCCTCCGCCTCGACGACGACGGTGCCGAACCAGTCGGAGTCGACGAGCCACGCTCCGCCTGGCGCTGGGCCGGGTCCGACGTCGCGCGGGACGACAAGCCGGAGCTGCTTCCCGCCTGCAGGCGGGCGGATGGTGAACGACGAGCGGTGCACCCAGCGCACGACCATGTGGTGGCCGCCCTGTGGTCTGTTCGACAGCGAAATTCAGGTCAGGCTATGCGATGTGGGAGCGGAGAAAGGGGAAATTAAAAGAAGACGCACGTCTCGGTCTTCATGCGGTCCTGGAGGAGCTGGAGGTTCGCGGCGACCTCCTCGCCCCACGGCGTGATGTCGATGTGGCAGACCGGGTTTCCGTTCCCCATCGTGCGCACGACGCGATGGAAGTACGACGGCGCGAACGCGAGCGTCGGCAGGTACCGCGGCAGGTCGCCCGCGCGCGAGTACGTGTAGTCAAGGTCCTGCCAGATGAGGTAAGTACGATGTCTACCGAGCGCGAAGGGGCGCGGAGCGCCCGCGAACGCGCTCGGGGGGTGCGGAAGAACATGAAACACGCACGATAAGATAGCCTCCGTCCCACACTAGTCGGCCTAGGTTGCCTTCGTCACCAACCGCAGTGTCCCACACGACGTCTCCGGGGCGCAGCAGGTTGACAACCCCTGCGCGCTTCAGCTCCTTCTCGCATTCAACCACGCTCGAGTCCGACAGCCAGTCTCCATCAGGAGAAGGGACGAAGACCTGGAGGAGAGGCGCCCGTCGGAGGCGGAAAAGTGGGGAGTGGAAGACGTTGCTGCCCCCCACGCCATGTCCGTTAATCGACGGCGCTATGGAGGATTGGCCCGGCAGAGACGGCGATCGAGCGTGGCCATAGGAGTGGCTCCAGGACGACGTGGGAGACGGCGCGCGACTGGAGCTGCGGGAGAAGCTCCTCTTGCCTGCGGGCACGTTGTTCACTGAGGTGCTTGACTTCACGGATGGTAGACCTCTGCCGCCCCGTGGGCTTATCGGCGAAGCCGCAGCAGAGGCATGAGCGCGCGCCTCGGCCTCAGCCTGGGCGCGGATGCGAAGAACGACACGTGTGTACGACCGGCAGGCAACCTGCAGCGAGGCCACCAGAGCGCGTAGTCTGCGGTTGCGCTCCCGGTTCTCGGCATGGAGGTATGTCTCGGCATGACGTGCGAACATATGCGGGGGCAGGGATACTCCGTGCATGTACGCATTGAGGTCCTATGAAGCAGATGTACGAGTGAGTTACGACGATGGCGGCATAAATCGCAATCAAGACGCACCGTGAGAGTTAGCGAGAGCGGCTCGGTCTCGTCGTACGCCCATCGCACATAGCCGACGGTGCGTAGGTACCTCTCGAGCACAAGTTCACTCAGATCGCGGTCGTCTTGTAACCGTGTCCGAATAGTCTTGCTCGTGCTGGACATCGAGAGCCAGTCGCCGAAGGAGAGGTACCCGAGCAGCTGTGCAAGCAGGGCAGGCTCTACAACGTGCCGCTCAAGAGGGTAGAAAGTCGGCTCCTTCGGTTCCTCAGGTTCGGCTACAGCTCCGGCGTCTTGTGCAGCAGCATCAGGCGTGGCGTCTGGGACAACGTCGGGGGCGGGTGCGACGCTCTCGATACCTTCAGGGCGTGACTTCTCCAGCGCCTTGCCTCGACGTCGTGATCGCGCGTGAGCGTACTCTTCTGGAGAAATGGGCCGATGAGGAGGAGACTGGGGTAAGGGGCTCTTCGCCTGCGGTGGACTGAGCGCCGATGTCGGGTCCTCAGAGGACTCGGTCCCGGAGGTAGGAGGAATGGGATCATAATGACTATGGGGGCCTCTTGTTCTTGTGTCCTTCACCTCTTCATGGGGGTGCCCATTCTGCGCTGGGAGCGACCTGTTCTGTGGAGGAGGGCTGCTCACCGGCACCGACGTCTCATGCCTCCTCTTCGCAGCCGGAGCAGGCGCGCTCGAGCTGCTAGGCACAAACCCCTTCGTCGCGCTCAGCTTCTCCATCTGCCGCTCAGTAAGCATCTTGACAGGACGGCGGGGGACGGGGGACTCGGACGAGATGACCCGCGGCGCTGGCTGGGGCGGGCGTATTGACTCTGCGCTCCGGCGCTCGGGCAGCGGCTTCTCGCCACGTAGCTGAATGGGCGAACCGAGCGCGGCCGCCGAGGCGGGGGCGGGCACCGCGCCTCCATGCGCGGGGGCGGGGGCGGCAGCGGGCTGGGAGGGGTGCCGCGATGACGACGACGCGCCACGGTCCTGCGTGCGCTGGGGCGGGGGCGGATCCTCGACGGGAGTGGGGGGCTTCGCCCCAAGCGTACTTGGCTTCGTCTGACTGTACGGCTGCTGGACCTGCGGCTGTGGAGCGGGCTGGGAAGCGTCGGCGGCGCGCGTGATGCGTGAACGGGACTTGCTCAGCTTCCTCGCGCGTAATCTCGGTTCCGGCTCGGTGGGGGTAGGGAGGCCGGCACTCAGTGAAGGTGGACTGTGCACGTCTGGGGGCGAAGCGCGACGCGTAGCCGCTGCGTCCTTCGCATGCGCATGCGGGGAGTCCACGACGGCCGGTGCATAAGCGACGCTCCGGTCCATCGCGGACGACGTCTCCTGCATTCCGTGCCGCTCATGGGGCTCGAGGGACTTGGGAGACGTCGAGCGCGGAGTGGGGTAGCCGTTCACGAAGTGGCTCGACCCGTCGCTGCGGTCGGTCAGGGCGGGTCGTTCTGGGGAGAGGTGCACGCTGGAGTCGGGCTCGAGCGTGGCGACGGCCATCCACGCTGTGGGCTGAATGATTTCAGCCTCGGCCTCGGCAGCAGCCATGGCGGCGAAGATGAGCGGGCGGCCTTGGACGGGGCCGCGCTGGTTGGGGGGGCAGTCGGGGCGGGGAGGGGACATCTGGCGGGGCATGCTTGGCTTTTTGGGTTTAGACGGAGCCGGGCGGGAGGTGGAGGGGGGAGGAGGGCTGGTGGGGGAGCGTCTGCGTGTAACAGGGTAGCGGGTGTCCGACTCGGGAGGGAGCAGGCTGTGATCGAGATCGATGGTGCGGGGAATGTACTTGTGCAGCTTCTGCGAGCGCGAACTCTCTGTCACCGCCGCTGTCGCCTTTGGCGCTGGTCGCTGCTGTGCCTGTTGTCTTCTCTGCGCCTGCTGCTGCTGTCTCTGCTGTCCCTGCTGTGGCGGCTGCCTGTGAGATTGGTGGGACGACGGTTGGAGGGGGCTCGGGGAGGGTCGTGGGGGTATGTCGAAGGTGACTGCAGTGGGAGACCTCTCCTTCTCGACAGGTCTTGACTCGTGCTGGACGGACGATGATACGGCCGGCTTCACCGTGGCGCGTTCCTCGCGACTGGTGGCAGGAGGATCGGACGAGGAAGACTCGACGTCACCCGTGCGGCTTCCTGATGGCTCCGGGCTCGGCGGGTGCACGTCAATCACAGCGGCCGGGGCAGGCGGCGCGTCTTCAATCACCGCGGCCGGGAGCGGCGGGACAGGGGGCGGGGGCGGGGGCTCGGCGCCGTCGGCGGCCAAGAGCGCTTCGAGCGAAAAGTTGAAGCCAGAGAGATGGAGCGACTGCAGCTGCAGCAGCTCGATGGGAGGCGCGCGTCGATCGCGGGGAGCGGCGCTGGAATGGACGTCGACGAGTCCCTGCACACCGTCCATCGCGTCACCGTCAGCGATCAAACACCCGGAAGCGAGCAAGACGCGCCGCCGGACGCGCCGCACAGGGACCGGCCACTCACCGAGGGGGCTTCGCTGCTCGAGTCGGTCTCCTGGGACGCTGGGGGGTCGGGGTTGGATGCGGGGGTGCGCGCGCGGTCGGGCGGGGGTGACGGGGCGGACAAAGGAGGCTGGGGGGAGGGCGTCGGGGGCTGTAGGGGAGCACGCGTGGTCAGCGACTGGGCCTGGCTAAATACAAGGCCGCGCGAAAGGGGAGGGTGTGCGAACGCGCTAAGAGGGGACGGAGATGGGAAAGAAGCTTAAATGGCGATCGCGCGCGGCCTCGTCTTCTTCTCTTCGCGACGACGCGCCCACGTGACCGTAGAAACGTGGGCTGGGTGCTGCCGCGATATGTCCGTGCGCGGCGCTGGATGCGCGTGGGCCGTCGTCGTGCGAGCGAAGGGGAGGAAGGCGGCTTGCCGCTGCCTCGCCTCGGACGGTCCGTTGCAGGCGAGCGCGCGAACCGCCAGGCCCCTTTATTTCCGCCTCCATACAGACGATCGCGAACGTCATTGGCCCCTCGGCCGCGCCCCGGCACCGCGGCCCCATTACACTACCACCTCCGCAGACGTAATGCCCGACGCGACAGGCACCTCCCGCCCACTTATTTCTACCCCATCCCACTGCGAGCACACCAACTACTAGAGCTTCACTCACCTTGGCAGTATTGGCATGACTTGGACTCGCCGCTATGCTCGCTTTTGTGTCAGAGGGCGGCGGGTCAGGCAGCCCGAACGCAGCGCGCAGTGAGTACTTTCTTCGTCGTGGAGGGGCACCGTGACCCTCTGCTGCTGCGACCGAGCTCGTCGTCGTTTGTGATGTCAGACTCGGCTCGGCGACCTTCGGCACAGCAGGAGCAGCTGGAGCGACAAGTTCATTCTCGGCCGGCTTCGGCCTCTCCGACGACTTCGACGGCTCCGGACGTGCGCGCGGGTCCGAAGTAACCGGGGAGGGGCGCGACGCGGGCGTCGTCGTCGCGAGCGTGTGCATGCGCGCGCGTTTCGGCGTCGAGAACTGGCCCTCGCTCCCGCTGTTGCGCACCACGACGACCGCAGCAAAATGGGCAGGGGCGGCCGCGGAAACCCCGGGGCCGGCGGGAGAAGGCGCAGGCACCGGCGGGAACGCGACAGGTGAGCTTGAGCTTGCTTGAGGCTCCGGAGAGGTGGCCCGCGCTCGCGCCTGCGCCTGCGCCTGTTCGACAGCAGCCGTCCGCGTCTTCGACGTCTCATTGACATTAGCTCGGGCCGACGATGACGGCGTCGAGCCCTTCGATGATGTGTGCTTGACGCCGTCCGAGTCTATACGCGAACTTTCGAGCGCCGGGTCCTTCGCGCCCTCGACGTCGACGCGCTTGCGCGCCACCTTGCGCGCAGGCAGAAGCACGCGTTCACCGACGGCACGCACCTCTTCCACTTTCCGCCTCTCGCCGCCGACGTCTCTGCTGGGGCTAGAAGGCGGATCTGCGCTCTTCTTCTCCCTCTCCGTGCTCCGCTCCGCGTACTTCTCGTCTTGTGGAAAAGGACTGCTCGCCCCACCCCTCTTCTGCGTCACCTTGCGCGCGGGCAGCAGCACGCGCTCGCCGTCCACGCGCGTCCCGTGCCGCCCCGCTGCGCTCGCACCCGCGCTCCCTGCGGAGAGTGCAGTGCCGTCGCTAGGCATGCGTCGCACCTGCTGCTTGACCGCATCCTCGTCGTCCGCCCCCTTCGACTTGGAGGTCTCGACCTTGGGGTCTTCTTTTCTCTCATCAACATTGGTCGGCTGTGCTTTGGTCTCCTCATTCTTTGACGGTGTACCCGCTCTAGACTTCTCTTCATCCCTCCTTCTCTCCCTCTCTTTCCGGCTGTCGGAGCTCTTCTGCTGCTCGATAGGTCGAGGCACCGGGACGGGCACCTGCGCAGGTCTCTTGGACGCGAGCGCGAGCGGCCCGGAGACGAGCGGCTTGAGCGAGGGCCCGGACCCGTCATGGGCGCGGCGTGTGGTCGTAAAACGGGCGTACAGGGGCGTATCATGCGAGCCCCGCGACCTCTCGGCGGCGGTGTGTGCGGCCTTGGTCGCGGCGGGCGGCGAGAGGGGCGCGGGCGCGGAGACCGCGGGCGTGCTCGTGGAGGCGGAGGCGGAAGGCGTCGAGACTGATATGGAGCGATTCCGGCGGAGGTGTTTCATGCAGCGTTAGCAGTCGTGAGCGTCGTTTCGTCTGCGTCGACGGGGATGGCAATGGGGGGCGTGAGGACGAGAAGCACGGCAGGGCAGACGCGGTTGGAAAGAAGCACGCACGGAGGGGGGTGTAAATTATAGCAAGCAGGCGTGTCTCCGTGCGCGGGGCGCAGTACGGGCTGGTCGTGCGCACGATCGCTGCTGCTATGCAGTGCGTAGGAGTCGTTCAGTGAGGATCGGCAGGTGGAGGCGAGGTATATGCATGCGCGCGCTGCGAGCGGGGATCTGTATACACCGCGAGCTGCGCTGACAGTTGGCACTGGGCCTGTGAGGGTCCGGATAGCGAGTTGCCTAGCGCGAGCTGCGGAGGGTATGTGTCCCGAGATACGTCCAGATACAAACAGTTTCCAGGTTCTAGAGAGTTCGTGAGGAGAAAGCAGATGGAGGCCCGGAGAAGGTTGAAAAATCCAAGAGAGGCGCGAGAAGACGGCGGGCGTGGAGAAGACCGGTATACACAGGGCGAGGCAAAGAGACCGTGCGAGATAGACTGAGATAGGCCCGACCGCGTGCTTTGGGGAGTGTATAAGATTGGTATGAGAAGAGCGGCCTGCAGGCAGAAGCAGGCACCCGGTGTGCAACGAGGCGGGGAGGAGAGGGCCCAGTTTGATCATCCCACCCGCACCCGGGCGCGTCAGGACGGGCCCGGTTCAGCATTTTGGCGCCCGCGCATACGGAAACACCCACTGTAGCTGTCTGTAGATCGGCAAACTCCGCGTTCTCCTACGACTCACAAATCCGCCAATGGGTTTCTAAGTGAGTGCATTCCATTGCATACTAATGCGCACATCTCATGACGGTACCGTGCCCTCTGCTGCATTCTTGTTGAACGTTGAACCCGAACGGTACAAGTACACTCGGAATGACCGGCAACCACTGGCTGCGGCGGACCACTGGGCTCCACTGGGGCAGCGTCATCGTGAACTTTAGGACGGTCGGGTCCCTCACTCGGTGGTGGCACCGGATGTGGCTTTCCACGCATAGCTCTCCAGGAGATGATTGGCAATGTTGAGGCTGTCGCCTATGCGGTGAGTTTATACTCAGGTACCATGGCCCGAAATGATTTGTAGGTTTTGAGCTAATAAGCACCTCGTATAGCGTATGTGCAAGGATTGGAACCGCTAATGTGGATATCGCCGCAAACGCAGAGACGATACGGTCTTCCATCATGCTCGACAACAGATCCGACTGAACATAACTATGCTGAGTCGCGCTGCTTCATCATACCCATTTACAATGATCCATCAACTAGTACTTGAACTCTCCACCAGGATCGCTGACGAAGGACTGGATCAATTGCACTCATATACGAAGACAAGGTTCCCCCGCTGGACGCCATCGTCAATGTCGGTGACTATGCTTAACTGCCGGTGCCGAATCTACCCTGATCCTCGCACCTAGTATAAATACGGTCTTCCCAACCCGTGTTCTCTCACAAGGCTGGGTTACGTATGAGCAGCACCAGGATGTGAAGCTCCACTCCGGGTGGGAATCCGGGAGATCAGGATCCTCAGTCACCCGCCACGCCGCCAAGGGACCTTTCCCTTACAATACCTTATAACAGAGAAGGGACTTCGCCTAGCTCAGAACCTTCAGAACATGCACTTGAAGCACAAAGACACAGCATAAATTATGGCAACAATCCGCAAGTTTTCCATCCTTGATCTCCGCACAATATGTTCAAGTTCACTAGACCGCCCACAGTATCTCCGCATGAAATCTTGTGTATCTATCCGCAGGGAGGCGCCGCTGCAGCCGCCTTCCTCGCCACCAACAGCAGTGCTCACTCACTCGAACAGCGCCTGCGGTGGCATACTCTCCCCGAGCCTTGTCAGATGACAAAAGCTAACTCTAACGTTGTGTATGGTTTGATCGACCACGAACAAGGGGTGTGAGCTTCGCTCTGATAAGAAAGGGGAACGACCGGCGCAGCTTGCGGGCCAAATTTGCGAGACTTTCCTTCCCCCCCCCTCCCTCCGTCGAGATATGCTGCATGGGGCATGCCATACCCCATGACCATATGGGCGTACTTGCTAGTATACCGAGATCTCGAGCGCGCTGAACCCCACTTGCACACAACAGGGCTCGCAACGCACATTCGACATCCCTCGTCTGTCGGTTTCGGTTCCGCTCGCGCAGGCGGCGGCGTCAGGACGGTCTCGCAAGCAACCAATAAGACTCGACGAGGGGACGCTGCGCATGCCGCTATCTTACTTCCCCGCAACTCTCCGCACGCGCTCGAGAGCGCACGCCGCAGGACGGGGTCTAAAATCGGACCGCCCAGGACTTAACATGTACCCCCGCACCGCCCTGCGTAATGCCTGACCGGTCTCTTCTGGGACACCGGGTCTGCTGCGGTCAGAAAGTGTATTTTTGTACGGGCGTGTATGTCACATAGCATCGCTGAGCGGGAAATTTACAGGAATGTGGCGAACGCCCCCGATGTTCGCTTGCCTGCGGCTTCACAGGCAATGAGACAGCTGCTCGAAGTGGACCTCGTTCTTTGGGCGCATCGGTGCGGTCTGTCCACCATGCCTTCCAAATGGAAATATCCGACAAAGAGGCACTCGTCAACAATTATCCGATCCGACTGGACGTCCGTGGCTTATCACCCTCAGCATATTCAATATCGAAAGCGCGAGCCGTTCGTCCCAACGTCTGCATCCCAGAGCGACCGAAGATAATGTCCGAACAAATCAGGGCCAATACTTTGCTTAATCTGCGATTTCGACATCGCAGGCGAAATATGCTGGTCATCGACCGATCATCGCGAGATCCTAGGCGTTGAACAATTACGCCCATGTGCGCCCAATTCACCACGTCCGTGTGCCCACTTCCAAGATATTAGGCGACCTACCAGTGACTAACCTCTTATCTGATGTAGGGATTCTTGGAACGGGGATAGCAGGTACCTACTTCGACGTTTGGCCGCTGTGAAGCTCAGTATGTGCACTGTGCAGAAGAGGCGCGTCCGACGGGAACGCATGGAAGGTGGTTCGAAGGTTCCTGCGGGCACGCGTAGAGGGTTCAAACTCGTAGCGCTGCTCATAGTGGACGATTCTCCGAGTGAGGAGTTCATACCGCTGGCCTGCGGAGGTGACGCTCCCGCCCGAGTATAAGGTCTCGGGGAGCAGATGGTCGGGGTGGGAGCAACACATCCTCTGCATCGTTCCAGCATAGCAAAAGCCTCGCTCACTTTCGAGTCACAAAATGCCCACCACAAACGCTTCCGCGCCTCCTGTCTTGATTGTACGTACACCCCACCCCACCCCACCTATCCTCTCGCTCTCGCTCTCGTCTTCTGACCGCTCCCTATTCCATCCAGGTTGGTGGCGGGCCCGCGGGCCTCGTAGCAGCACTCTCCCTCGCCCAGAACGGCGTCCCCGTCCGGGTTATAGAGAAAATTCCGGCATTTCACGCCGCCTCCAGAGGCGCTGGCACGCATGTATGACGGCCTACTTCCTTCCACCATCGCACGTGCTAACGTCATGGCACTCGCTGTAGTCGCGGTCGCTGGAGGTGTACCATTTCCTCGGCGTCATGGAGGACATGCGCCGTGTGCTTCAACCTCTGATTCCCATGCGGGCGTACAAGCTCCCCGAGGGAACTGAAGTGACCCGAACTTGGAGGATCTGGGAGCCAGTGGACCCCACTCCCGACAGACCCATCGTGAGTAAAATATGCAGAGGGAAGAGACCGTGGCTCACGCAATTCGCGTTCGCCAGACAACGGCATCTGGGGCTATGATTGGACAGTTCGTGCTGGAAGGCATCTTCCGGGACCATCTCGCCAAGCACGGCGTTCAGGTCGAACTCGCAACGGAGCTCATATCATTCGAGCAGGATGCTGAAGGGGTCACCGCGGTGCTCAAACACGCCGCTGGTACCGCTCAGGAGAGCACCGAGACTTTCCGTGCATCGTACATTATTGGTGCTGATGGCGCTAAGGGTACGAGACCCGTATCTTTGGAACCAAATGGACAGCCGCACTTACGACTTGTTATTTATGGCGTAGGCGTTACTAGGAGGCAGATAGGCAGCACGTTCGAGGGGCTCACCAAAGACGGGGACGGCCAGGTCTGGGCTGATGTGCGCGTCGAAAACCTGTCTGCTGAGGTGAGTAAAAAGTGCTTGGAGCCAGACTATATAATGGAATCTGAACTATCTCTCGACAGTACTGGCACGTGTGGTTAGAGCCGGAGAGGTTCACGTACGTATCTCCTATGCTTCGTATCTGAGTCCAGCGGGGTGTGCTGACGCATGAAATTGACCAGCATCTCGATGCGCCCTACGCATACCGAGGGCAGTTTTCACATCGGCATCGCTGGGGTCGGTTGGGATCCCGTCGAATGTATGGACGAGACTAGATTCGTGGATTTCATCCACGAGAACACCGGACGTCGCGAGCTCGAGATCAGCAACTTCTCGTCAATGACCTACTGGAAGTAAGCTACTCCCCTCTTTATGCTTGGCGCGCATCGTCTGACAGACACAGACCTAAGATGCGTATGGTAAATAAGTTCTACTCAAACAGAGCGTTTCTCGTTGGCGGTATGCCCTCATAACATTCACATTGCATGCAGCCCACCTCATCGATGTTCTTAGATGCCGCCCACATCCATCCTCCGGCCGGAGGGCAGGGACTGAACACGAGCATCCAGGACTCGGTGAGGGTGGTTCCGTATAACTTTTTGCGGCACGAGGCTGACTTATCCCTATCGCACAGTTCAACCTCGCCTGGAAGATCGCGCTCGTCTACAAAGGCCTTGCCAAGCCCGAGCTGCTGGACAGTTTCGAAACCGAGCGCCTCCCGGTCGTCACCCTCATGCTCGCTGCCACCAGCGGACTTTACAAACGCGTCGTCGCGAGCAAGGACCTGAAGGAGAAGAGCCGGTCGCTCGAGTGGCGCAACAACGCGCTCTTCATGTTGGACATCAACTACCGCTGGAGCCCGATCGTCCTCGACGCGCGCGGAAACGGGAACGACGTCGATACACTGAAGGCGAAGGCATACGAAGGGTACCCCGGGGAGGACGTGCACGCCGGCGACCGCGCTCCTGGAGCACCGGCACTCATCGACGCCTGGGGCAAGGCGACGTCGCTACACGAGATCTTCAAGCCCACTCTACACACCATTCTCGTTTTCTTCCCGGAAACCGAGGAGGCGCCTGCCCAGATCGATGCCGTGCTGAGGACCGTAAAGGCGCTCCCGAAGAGTACCTGCCAGGTCGTCATCCTTGCACGTCACGGCGCTCCGACGGCGCACTGCGGGGCCACCGGGTACCACGACAGCGAGGGCCACGCATTCGGGTTCTACCACGTCGAGGAGAGGAAGCTGACTGTTATTGCTGTCCGGCCCGACGCCTACGTGGGTGCTTTCGTGTACGACGCGGACAGTCTCCAGGCGTACTTCTCGCGGATCTTCCGCAGTGCGTGATTATTTGTCCGGTATATACCTTTAGATCGTTCGCAATGAGTTAGACATATCTATGGTAGAGTATATGGGGTACATACAGCGCCAGTGTTTCCTGCTAGACTTCTCATGTATCTATATTGTGTACAAGCAATGGTTCGCACGGGTACAAAGTTCTCTACTGCTTACCTGAGGGGGTGCACTGAACCTGCGATTAGATCATGACGACCTTCAGAATCCCGCGCTTCCACAAAGCATGAAACTCGAAAAAGGAGGGTGGTAGGAGTGCAGGGACCGGCTTCCTCCGCCACAAATAGTCGGCGGACCTGTCCGGTAGGTCCAGGATGCGAATGCGGATTTCGAGGCGCTCGAGACGGCCCGACAGGTCAGGCATGTTATCAGCCAAGGTGCGCAGGAGTGCGGTGGACGCATGGGTGTAAGAACCATGCGGGAAATCCAGGGTAAAGCGACGCAGGCGCTGCATCGATGGAAGGTTGTTGAGCAGTGCGATGATGGCGGGTCCTTTAGTGTGGTGGGAGGACTCGGAGGAGGGCACGAGTGTCATGGTGAATGTAGTTAGAGATGTATAGGTTGGCAGATATTGCAGAAAGGTTTCGACTATAGGCGAATTATTTACAAAGTCAGGTGATGCCGTGAACGAGAACGCAGAAGATGCGCCTACACTCCTCGGAGGCTACCGTCGCAGTGACGTCGACCGCGATGGTCCTCATCGTTTGTGGGCTGGCTGCCCTAAAGATCGCAGAGACTCCGGACATCCCTCTCCAGGGTCCACTAATCTGATACACGACCATGAATGTAAGCACGGAGGCGGCTTGCTATGAGCATTTGGGATCGTCATACCGTGATGTCCTCGAGCTTGCAGCAGCCCACCTTGAGGATGAGAAGGTTGGATGACATGGCCCCAGATGTCCTCCAGATGACGGACGAAAGATCGAGGGAGGATAGGTTCGGAAGTGCAACTATGGCCCGGCCGAGAGTCATGAAGGAGTTGAGCACTGTGTTATGGAGTCGTAGACGTTTCAGATTTGGGAATGAAGCAATGTGTATGGGGAGAGAAAAATCGAGCCTCATTGCCCGGCGGAGGTGGCTCAGGTCGTGGTCAAAGGTTATAGAGAGCTCCTTCAGGCGTGGAAGGTCTCCAGCGAGCGTGATGCAGGCCGAATTAACGAACATCCGCTGTGTGATACCCATAGGCCATAGGATGAGCTCTTCCACGATGTCCGCAGGACAGGGCTCTGATCCGACGGGGCTGTTGTGCAGCGTCTGAGAGAATGAACTCAGCTGCGCTTGAGATCGTAGGGTGGTCCTACGGTAGAGGTTGTAGCGGCTGCGAGGAAGCCACGCACGACATGTGAGGGCACACTGGGCCAGGGATGCGCAGTCTGGCCCCAATGCGTCAATGATCCCCTCGTAAACCTCTGTGGGCATCTCTGCGCGCTCCAAAGGGACCATATATGGCTGTGAGTATGGATTCCACAAGTATACTCTGTTTCGATAAGCAAAGAGCTTGAGAGGCGCGTTGGTGACGAATGAGCTGAGAAGTTGACTCAGTCAAGCACATCGAGGTAGGGCGAGTACATAGGCACTGTAGATTAGATAGACGCGCAATGTACCGACTCAATCATTGAAACAACCAATCAGAAGGGCGTTATGATGAAATGATGATCGCGACGCTCCCGGAGAACTGCAGTCGGACGAATACCCCGCATCCTCCTCTGCCATCGGCCTCGACGTCCGACTTTGGTTCCAACCTTGACTACCTTGCGTACCATCTGACTGGCCCTGGGCTGTGTGCAGATTCGCCTATTATTGGCGCGACGGTAGGCGGGTAGCTATATAAGAGAGTGTGAACCGTCCAACGTCTCACCAGTACTTAGACCTCCAGCCCTCACAGGCACTCTCACAGTTATCCAACTTCATAACCAACGCCGATTATCCTCATAGTAGAATGGCAACCTTTGGCAAGGCGACATTCAACGCGGCGAAGTACGCTACCAGTGGGTGCAGTTCAAATCGTAGTGCGCAGGACTAGCACGACTGAAGATGTGACGTTGTTGCACAGGCCGCCCTACCTACCCCAGGGTGCTGTATGACTTTGTGTTCAAGTTCCACGAGCGCGTCAATGGCGCGCGGTGGGAAACCGCCGTCGACATAGGCTGCGGTACTGGTACGTCTGCAGGTCGAGCCACCTCACCAAGTGGCCGTGTGCTCGCTAGTGATGTCATAATTCTTTGCTAACGACTAGACAACCGCAGGCCAGGCTACGGTCGAGCTCACGCCATTCCAGCGTATTATCGGCGTTGACCCGAGCGCGCGCATGATCGAGCAAGCGCGGGAGGGCGTGAAGTCGCGCCTCGCTGGACTTGACTTGTCCTCCCGGGTCGAGTTCGTGCAGGCCTCTGCCGAGGACCTCCCTGTTGAACAGGGAAGCGTCGACCTCATAGTTGCAGGTATGTCTATTCCCATGTGCCGTGAGAGTGTACCGAATGACATCTCATTCTGTTCTGCAGCCCAGGCTTGCCACTGGTTCAACTGGAACAAGGTTTGGCCAGAGGTCGCACGGGCGTTGCGCAAGGACGGAACGTTCGCAGCGTGGGTGCGTCTTCCATATTCCTATTTATCCCTGCCTTTTATACTAGCACCCGCACGCCACTGCACCAATATTAGCCTGATACTGACGCTCTCTGGACGCTGCAGGGCTATTCGGAATTTCGCCTCTCGCGGTTCCCCTCTGCGACACCCCTCATCAATGATTACGCCCAAGGCAGCGACCCCTCCGACTCACTCGGGACGTACTGGGAGCGTCCGGGGCGCACCATCCTCGACGAGCACCTGGTTGCCGTCCCAGACCCGCGCGAGGCCCTCCCCGGCCAGTTCAGCGAGTTCGAGCGCATCTACTTCACAGGTGCGTACCCCCATATTGACCCTTAATGCCGCAATTGAACGATAAGGGCCCAGGTTCGCACTACCCCGACCTTGCGGGCGCGCGCCCGGTGATTCTACGCAAGTCGCTGACGTGGACGGAGCTGCTGGGCTACTTCCGTACGTGGAGCCCGCTGCACACGTTCCACGAGAAGCACCCCGAGGACCTCGAGCGGCCGGAGGGCGACATCGCAGTGCGGTTCTGGCGCAAGCTGAAGGAGGAGGTTGGGCGCGTGGAGGGGAAGGAGGTGCCCAAGGACGAGGATATCGTGGACATCGAGTGGCCGATGGCGCTGCTCCTCGCGCGCAAGGCTTAGAGCTTGGGTGCTACAGGGTTGTGGCCTCGAGATTTACACGCTCAGCACTCATCTTCCCCGACTCAACGAGAGTTTGCCTCGACGTCTCTGTAGCCTGAGTAGCAGCCCGGGGAGTCCGTGCATGTCGGTTCGATGGAATTTGTAAGCGGTATCGAAGTGCTTGCTCGTCGGCGGTCTCTTGTTCACTTTGTCATACGCTTGACGACTGTGCCGTTCCTAGTAATTGTATTAACGTGCACAGAGTTGACCGCACCGATCTTCTACTTCTACTCCGTGTCAGCGCTGCCTTCGTTGTCGCGGAGTGCGCCCTCTGGCGTCGTCCTGCAGCTCTACGTCCGGCTCGTTTGAAATAGCGGCCACGTTATGTTCTACGCCGCGATCGTGCTAGACGCAGCTAGAGTCCAGCGGTCATGATAACGCATTCTGCCGCTTCGAGGCGTTTTGTCGTGGCAGCTGTTCGGCATAAGTATATGTTTGGGCGCCCGCCGCGGGGATGGGAGGACAGCATAAGCGCCTGTTCAATATGTCATTACACTTTCAAGCTCCACGACTTCCGCGAGTCCAAGGCCGGCTGAGAGCCAGCTGAGACTCAGAGCTCTGACCTCGACCTCGACCACGTCTGGCTGCCTTGCATCGCATCTCACTGGTCTCTGTCTTAATCTTTACATGCTGTTGTCAGAGTTGTTTAGTCGTCGGCTCAGAGAGGGAGTCCTTTTTTTGCGCGCTGCATGCATACAAAAGTGTGAACGTAAGTGACGTTAGTTCGGACTTCACGGGCGCAGGCGATCCCACAACCATTCAACGCCGCGTCCATTCGCCTCGTTATCCGTACGTCTCCATATCCGTTTTGTGAAGGAATAAAATCACTTGGCGAAAAGCACTCGGCAAACAGGCATACAACATCGTGAATTATGTCGTTTCCTGGTTTGTTACTAGCCTATTGGTCGTGAAAGCCATCCTGGACTTGTGAACCAGGTCCATTCACCGTAGATTAACGACTCATGGGGATACGGACAAGTGGGGATGCTCTCTTCGTCCTAATTGCAATATTGAGCGTCCAGGGTGTTCGCAGAAACGCTGATGTGGCTCAACCCGAGCACCTCGCCAGGCTGGTATCCACTCCAAACCCGTCGAGTTCGGTGCTGCACGCCCGGGTGACTAACCCTATCGCGGACCATGACAGCTACGCCGCGTATTTCGACCATGTTTGCAGCGCCCCGTTGATAGACAGGTCTCACAGCGGGCGAGGCAGACGCGTCCGACGGGATCGCACGATGAGTGGCTCGCAGACGAGCCCATCGAAGTGCGAGTATCGTCGCGCGCGTGCGGGGGGGACCGCGTCGAGATTGGAGTTCTGCTGTGCCGCACATCGTACGCGTATCCCCGGGCGTCGATCTCCGCCGGGGGTATCGGTGGTGGGAGTATAAAGCAGGAGCACGTAGGGACGCATCGACAACAGCACCCCCAACAGTCCTATCTGTCAAGCGTCGCAACCCTCATCCACACCCTCCCCGTTGAGCGATGCCAACTTCAACCGCCACCACGCCGCCACCCGTCCTAATTGTGCGTACAACCTCAGCCTAACTCCGCCAACCTACGCTGACAGCCCATGTGCTCGTGCAGATCGGTGGCGGGCCCGCAGGCCTCATCGCTGCGCTCTCCCTCGCCCAGAACGGGGTGCCCGTTCGCATAGTAGACAAGCTACCGGCCTTTCACACGGCCTCCCGGGGCACCGGAGCGCACGTACGACACCGCATCTTCTCTCGCCGTTCTATCTGCTGACGGGCGTCCACAGTCGCGCTCGCTCGAGGTGTACCACTTCCTCGGCCTCCTCGAGGATATTCGTCATGTCATAACGCCTCTGATACCGATGCGCTCATATAAGCTTCCCGAGGGCACCGAGGTAACTCGGACCTGGAAGATATGGGAGCCGGTGCAGCCTACCCCCGACAAGCCTATCGTGAGTGCGATGAGTGTCGGAGATTTCAGCGCCGCTCATATGCTATCCCGTACAGACAAACGCGTCTGGGGCCTCTATCGGACAGTTTGTGATTGAAGGCATCTTCCGGGATCACCTCGCCAAGCTCGGTGTCCAAGTGGAACTCGCGACTGAGCTTGTAGCGCTCGCTCAAGACGCCAAAGGCGTCACCGCGACGCTCAAACATACTGCTAGCACTGGCGAAGAGAGCACCGAGACTTTCCGTGCATCATACATTATCGGTGCTGACGGCGCCAGGGGTGCGTAGTTCACGTCTCTTGATAAAATTGGCATATCACTCATATTTCGATCCTGGTTGCCATGCAGGAATCACCAGGAAGCAGATTGGCGCTACGTTCGAGGGACAGACGAAAGATTTGGACGGCCACGTCTGGGCCGATGTGTATGTGGACGGCCTGTCAACCGAGGTGAGTTGAAGCAAAATCAACGCTGTCCAGCACGTTAAACGTTGACTACGATCTGTCCAGTATTGGCATCTTTGGTCCGAACCGGAGAATTTTACGTATGTGGTACTCATAGATCCGTACACAAACGGGGTACGCTGACGCGCATTGACCAGCGTCTCGATGCGCCCTACGCATCGCGAGGGCGAATTCCATGTTGGTATCGTTGGCGTCGGCTGGGACCCCGAGCACCTGATGGATGAGGAGAAATTCGTGAACTTCATCCACGAGAAAACCGGGCGCCGCGAGCTCCAGTTCAGAGATTTCTCGTCGATGAACCACTGGAAGTCAGTATTTTCCTCTTCGATCTCTTTGTTTTGTCTCACGTGTGCACAGGCCGAAGATGCGAATGGTGAACAAGTTCTACTCCGGCAGAGCATTCCTCGTAGGAGGTAAGTACCTGGAGCATTTACGCTTCTTGCAGCCAATTCACGTGCGCCGCTTCAGATGCAGCCCACGTCCACTCTCCCACCGGAGGGCAGGGGCTGAACACCAGCATCCAAGATTCGGTGAGTGTAGTTCCGTGAAAATTCCGCAACATGCGACTGATCAGGTTTCACTGTACAGTTCAACCTCGCCTGGAAGATCGCGCTCGTGTACAAAGGCCTCGCCAAGCCTGAACTGCTCTCGAGCTTCGAAGCCGAACGTCTCCCGGTCGTCACTCTGATGCTCGCAGCCACGAGCGGGCTCTACACGCACGCCGTCGCAGGCAAGCACACAACGTCCAAAGACCCCAAGGATAAGAGCGGGTGGCTCGAGTGGAAGAACCGGGCGCTTCACATGATGGAGATCAACTACCGCTGGAGCCCCATCGTCCTCGACGCGCGCGGAAACGGGGACGACATCGATGCGCTCAAGGCGAAGGCGTACGAAGGATACCCCGGGGAGGACGTGCACGCCGGCGACCGCGCCCCCGGTGCACCAGCACTCATCGACGCCTGGGGCAAGGCGACGTCGCTCCACGAGATCTTCAAGCCCACTCTACACACCATCCTCGTCTTCTTCCCGGAGACCGAGGAGGCGGCTAGTCAGGTCGATGCGGTGCTGAGGGCCGTAAAAGCGTTCCCGAAGGGTACCTGCCAAGTCGTCATCCTTGCGCGACACGGCGCCCCGACGGCGCACTGCGGGGCCGCCGGGTACCACGACAGCCAGGGCCATGCATTTGGTTTCTATCGCGTCGAGGAGGGGAAGTTTACAGTGGTTGCGGTTCGGCCCGACGCGTATGTGGGTGCGTTCGTGTACGACGCGGACGGTCTCCAGACGTACTTCTCGAGGATCTTCCGAAGCGCTTGGATGTGATCATGGTGTACTTTTAGATCGTTTGCAGTTGCTTCGACATGTATAAAATAGAGCTCGTGGTTGAATCATACAGACCTCACGAGCGTTCCCAAACGGAATCTGCCATGCATGGCAGAGTCTTCTAGTCAACCACGCAACATGACCCTCTCACACCGCTCCATCTTCATAGATTATACTCCCGTCGGCAGTCTCTGTTCAGTGTATAAGCACGACATGCAATCCAATCGACAGGGACAAAGCAGTGCGCTCACGTTCGGCATGTGGCCTGATTACTATGACCTGCAGCATCCCGCACGCCCGCACTGCGGCAAAGAAAAGGGAAACGATCTCCGCCTTCCACCAGCTAGCGGTCCCGTCCCAATCCGTGACACGAATTTCTAAGCAGCAGAGGCTGTCGGGTGGTTCCTGCATCATCTTGCTTACCGCGGCGACACTTTCCAGTATGTTCTGCCGCGAGTCGTACTGAGCGTAGGTGAAATCCACGACAAAGCGGTCGAGACGCAGTGCCGGTGCCAGGTTATTGAGCAACTCGGTGGCGGTGTGCCCGTTGATGGCGTCGCCGGCTGGGTACGAGTAGTCCACCACGCCGAGGGTTGCTAGGGACGTATATGTGGGTAGATACCGCAGCAACGTCGCGACTATAATATCGTGCCACAATGTTGAGCCTGGTGAACTTCGAAGCAGAGAATGCACCTACAATCCTCGGAGTCCGACGCGTCGGAGTTGACCGCGAGTGCTTTCATTGTTCGAGGATCGGCTGCACTGAATATCGAAGAGAGTCCGGGCATCAGATCCCACCGCCCAACGACCTAGGGGGAGTCATGAATGTAGACGTGAGCACGGACGTCGTCGGTGGGCACTATGAGTTATCGCCCTACCGTGACATCCTTCAGCTTAAGCCAGCCGCTCCTAACGAACGGAAAGTTGTGTGCCATCGAACCGAGCCTCTTCCAGCAGACTCCACAGAGGCCGAGAGCTGAAATATTCGGCAGAGCGACAATGACGCGCGCGAGGGCCATAAAAGATGTGATCTCGACGTTGTTAAGCGCCAGATGCTTCAGAGTGGGGAATGTGGCGATATGCACGGCCATGCGGGGCGAAAGGTCGAGTTGGCTGCGATACTGGGCCAAGTCCCTCCAGAGGTAAGGGCGTCCTATTTGAAGCGCCTTGAGGTGGGGAAGACGTCCGGCGAGGAGGGCGCAGGCGGAGTACATGAATGTCGGCCACACCCCGGCACTCGCAGTGACGAGGGTGAGTTTCTCCACGGTGTTTGCAGGGCAAGGCCCTTTCATCACAGGAGCGTATCGCAGCGCCTGGAAAAACAAATGAAGTTGTGCCGAAGACCGCAGAGTGGGCCTGCTGAAGAGGTTGTAGCGGCTGCGAGGAAGCCATGAACGGCATGTGAGGGCACACTGTAGCAAGGTTGTGTAGTCTGGCAAGACGGCGTCGATTATCCCCTCATAAATCTCTACGATGTTGATGGCCACCTCCATACGCGGCAGAAGCATAGATGTCTTTAGTGTCAATGATAGGCACGTCCAAATGGATGCCATGTGTGAGCCTATGAGGGGTAAATGGGATAAGTAATGTAGCTATGCAATGAACGCTGAAGCAGCGGCGGATGAACAAGCACTTACTTTAGAAGCAACGTCAGAACGTACACATGTAGGGCTTTGAGATCGTGGTAGATTGCTGCGAGTTGAATGAACCTACTGCCGTCTATAGGTAGTACCGCCCGGGAAGCAGGAATAAATAGGGCTCCGTAGGCTTCGCTAACGCACACCAACAAGTAGACACGAAACCCAGAAAAGTACTCCTTCCTAACATCTCTGGCTACTACTTACCTTTGTTGAATCCATGCAAGCCGCTGTAGACGGGCTGCGCTAGAGATGGCCACGGCGGACTGAATGACTGTGGCCATGAACGTCTGTCGGTGAGTTGGGCTCGGCGAAAGCCGCCACGGTTATTGCTGTTTTCACGGCGCTTGTCGCGGGGCCTGACAGTGGCCTGACGTCTGGAGGGTGTCGACGCAGATCGTCGATAGCTTGCTCGATACTCCATGAAATTTACTATTCCTTTCAGATTCGGATTCTCCCCATCAACGCGGAGGGCACGGTACAAGAATCAGCGCGAAATACGAAGGTTGAGCGAAGGCTTCCTCGGGCACCTCCCCCAAAGCAGAACTGAGATTACCCGCCAGAATCCCGTTCTATAAAGCTAAAATTCTGTGAGATAGGTTCTATGACACTGTACAGAGGGCACTGATGTTAAACAAACGAAGTACACGAAGGGTAATAGTAGTAGCATGCTCTTCCGTTCTGCCCTGCCAGGCCGAGCTCAGCTACATCCTCCAGATGAGGTTCGTTCTTACTCATCCACACAGATACATGATTCCAGGCTCGATAATGATAGTACTGCCTCTTAATAAAGGCTTTCTTGGCGTTACGGGGATTTTGAATACACACAGCAAGGTCTGCTCGGGTGCGATGACGTGGCGCTCACACTGCTCTGCTCTGCTCTGCTCTGCTCTGCTGCACCTGTTGGTATCGGCGCTGACGTCGCGATTGGGACGCCCAGGTAGGGATGATACATAGGGTGCTATACAGGAGACATAGATGCCCTAAAATGTAGGAGCAATACTATGCCTGTTCACCCCCTCAAGCTAGATTGACAGACGCCTGCGTACATTGGGACGATCACGACCAAACTACATTCGTGCCCTCTATATACATCAGTAGCCTCTGTAAAAGTGCATTCCAGCGAGAGCAAGGGACGATGTCGCCCGCTGTGCTGGTTCTGCTTTGGGGGAGGTGCCCGAGGAGGCCTTCGCTCAACCTTCGTATTTCGCGCTGATTCTTGTACCGTGCCCTCCGCGTTGATGGGGAGAATCCGAATCTGAAAGGAATAGTAAATTTCATGGAGTATCGAGCAAGCTATCGACGATCTGCGTCGACACCCTCCAGACGTCAGGCGCGGCCACTGTCAGGCCCCGCGACAAGCGCCGTGAAAACAGCAACAAACGCTAAACAAGCGCTCAATTGAATTACAGCTCAAGCAGGCCGCTGTGTCCCCACCCCTCCTCATTCCTCTCGTCTCCTAGATCGTCCTCCTCCCCTCCTCGACAAGATCACACATCGTCTGCCTAGGGGAGACAACTCGTCTCCTCTTTCGGGCCTGTTTTCGTAAGACCTTGAGAAGCCTCGCTCGCAGCGTCCTCATCTCGGCGGTCACCGCTCATTTGCTGTATTCCCTGGCCTATTCGACGGGGCAGCAGCGGGTAGCGCTAGGTTGTGAATTGGGAGCCCACGAGCGGCGGCAGGAATAGCATACTGGCAACGGTGCGTTCAGCTCGCACCAACTTGTTCGCACCACTAACGATAATCCGGGCCAGTGCCTTACGGCTGGAATCAGGAAGGCTGACAGCATCGATTCTCAGAGGCTCGACGATCGTAGCGAGCCGTACCCTTCGCTTCCCGTCGTCGCAGTCAGCCGCTGAACCCGCGGCAGTGGTTATTCTCCGACTCTGGACGCTGGCTCTCACTGACTATCAGAGACTGTCTGGATCGTCCGCTTCCTGTCAGGATGTCTTTAGGTGTGGACTCTGGCTACAACTCGCTCAGGACCGAGAACAGACCGCCTAGATTCCAACTCGAGGCTACTGCGGACGCCACCAATGTCAGTCTGGACTTTGCTCGATTTCGGCACAGGACGCATTGGAACGAGAGGAAGACCACAACGCTGGATGGAGCCGACATCGCTTCTGGGGTCTTGCTGTCTTCACTAGGAACTGGTACTCTCACCGCGCACAATCCCTCGGGTCTCGGCTCCTCTCTGCTCTTGGCCACCCCCTCCTTCCGCTCTATGCAGGTCAAATCTACCAACGCCCCTCTACCAAAGGCGTCCTCTACCCTCCTTTTCGAATCACATTCATTAGTACCTGGCCCATCGCTACTCTCCAACACTCCTTCATTTCTCGGCCTCAAAGGCATGGGCTCCCTTCCTTTGGGAGAGGCTCTCACGGCATCTCCGGAGCGTTTACGGCGTGAGCCCAGGTCCTCCTCAGACTCGATGCGCAGCCCGACCACGAATCGTAACGTAACCGTGCAACGTCTCGCACTAGACCTTCCGCTCTCTCGCAGCAGCTCGCTCTCCGTCTTTTTACACGCACTAGAGGACGCCGCCCCCGGCTGGTATCAGTCTCTGATGGACAGCGCTACTCCTCAGGAGTCGGATTCTCCATCTGCCAACTCTATCCCTACGCGAACTCAGCGCAGCGACGTAGGAAGCGCATCTTCGTGCCACGGCCTTCCTCTCGATATGCTGGCCTCTTTGGACGCGCTGGAAGCCCTCGTGACAGAAATGCAGAGGCTGCCGGATCCGCGGCCGAAGCCGAAGCCATTTCAGGACATCGACGACGAGGCTGCCTTCTTCAGCTCGAGGAGGACGCGAGAGTCGACGGTGAGACCCTTGAAGGCGCAGCTGGTGTCGCCCCCCTTGACTCCCACCCAAGACGAGCAGGGACGGCAACCCTCCTTCCCACGTCCCGCGTCTCCACCGCGACGACGACGCAGAGAGACCACCGCAGGCACATCGCGGGGCGACGAGACCCCTCGCGCCTCCTCAGTGTCCTCCGCGCGCGACCCGAGGGCTTCCATGCCTCCCATCCCGACGTCGAACGGGGTCGCGGTGTGTAATATCGCGAACCACCCGAAGTTGACGCGGACGCTTGGCTTAAGCGCGCTCCCGCCTAGCCGGCTCCCTACACCCAGCACCCCACGACGTCGCACTGCGACCGCGACCGCGCACCCACCACCACCACCACTCATCCCATACGAACTCGTCCCGCCCACCCTCAACAAGAAAGCGTCTTCGAAGAGCCTCAAAGCGCCGAAGACCCCGAAGACGCCGGGGGCGTTGAAATCCATCTTCCGCGGGCGTGCCTCCGCGCCGCCCGTCCCGCCTCTCTCGTTCGCGCCGCCGGACTACGACGAAGCAGAGAGTCCCGCGCGCAAGCCACCGCCGCTCGTATACCGGTTCTCAGAGGCGGGCCCGCTGCGGCGCGAGGACCGGCGGATTGACGGCGCGCGGCGGCACTTCAGCACGCCCGCCGACGCGGACTCGTTCCTAGTAATGTGAACCTCTGGCCGGGCCGCGCGTGTGCGTGCTCGTGCTCGGGTACGTAATCGACCCCTCCGCGCACACGAGCTAGCGCACCCCTTGCATTCAGTCCGGACTCGGGGGCTGTACGATCGGGAGCGCGAAGCGGTGCACCCACGCTGTATGTACGAGTATATGACGATATGATCGCGCGCGGACGGCATCCTAATTTCGGGGGCTTTTCGGGGTATATGTACACACGCTAGCTATACAATATACACTGTACTACTCGCGCGTCCGGGCGATGCATTGATTTGAATGTGGTATATGTGATAAGTTACGGGGGATCATCGCCAGCTCCCGGAGAGGGTGCTGGTGCCGGAGGCGGGCGCGGTGGCCTGGCGGTTCGGGTCCGACTCCCAGACGACCTGAAGCGCAGCGACCGTCAGTGAGAAGTTCGATGAGTGGTGAGGGACTGTACTCACGCTACCGTCCGTCTCCTTGCGGATGAACTTGTACTGGAACGTCGTGCCCGCAGGGATGCTCACCGACACGGTCCATGTGGGGTACGACGCGGAGGAAAGGGCGATCTGCGGGAGGGACACACGATACAATGTCAGCTAGCGGCGCGGAAGGCGGGTATGCACATGCTACTCACCGCGTTCGCCGTGTTCCAGGTCCCGAGCTGGGCGATGCTACCGACGAGGAAGATGTTCTGAGCAAAAATATAACGATGATCAGTATCGGGCAGTAGCGAAAGAAATCGCGATGGAGAAAGCCGCATGGGGAGAGGTACGTACCTCGCCGAAGGTGGTCGTCGCCGTCTCGGCGAAGTTGACGGTGACGGAGCCGCTGGGGGTAGTGCTGCCGCCTGAGCCAGTACCCGAGCCGGAACCCGTTCCGAGCTGTCCGGTGTGCACGGCAATTGCGCTGCGCGCAGGGACGGTAGCGGACAGGGAGCCGCTGGAGACGGTGAACCTGTATGCGAAGGGCTCATTGAGACAGCTGTTCAAAATAAATCGGATGCGGTATCGACTCACGAAGATCCAGTGCATGTGGTGCCGGAGGTCTGACCGCTGACAACGTCGCAGTACGTGCCGTCGGGAAGGGAAGTTGTGAAGGTCGAGGTCCAAGCAGAGTCAGCGTTGTTGATCGCGACGAAGCCAAGCGAGCCTAAAACGCAAACGAACGGTGAGTGCTATTCCAATCACAAGATATAAAAACTGGACACGTACCACGGCCGAATGCGATCTGCTGGGACTGCGGCGCGACCCAGTTGTTGAGCGCAGCACTGCCGACCTGGTTGCGGAAGCCGACCATGCCGGCGACGGCGGTCCAGCGGTGCTGGCAGAGCCAGCCGTTCGTACCGCCGCTGCCCGAGCAGGTGCCCGTGCCGCCGTTCGGCGCGCCGAGGTCCGTGTTCGTGAAGCCGGTGTAGCTGGACAGGATCGAGGGCGTCCCGTACGGGTGCGCGAGCGAGAAGATCATCGCGGTCACGTAGGTGTTCGAGGGCGAGTTGTTGTTCAGCGAGTTGCCGTTCTACAGGGAGCGGAGAGGGAGTGTCAGCCACAGCAGTGGCGTAGGGAAGTCAGCCACGTACCCGCTCCGTGTCGTGGTTAACGACGAACACATTGGCACCTGTGCCGGGTACCCAGCCTATGTGTATATTGTCAGTACGATTGCATCGGCGGGAAGAGGGATTACTTACCGCGGTTCTCGAAGTCCTGGAGGCTAGAGATACCTGAGCCCGAGAAAGCATCCTTCAGCGCGGAGGTGTAACGGAACCTGCAGATAATTTGTCAGATTTCACCATGCCATAGGAGGCTAATTAGGTCAACGCACTCCTGAACGTCGCCTGAAAGGTTGTTATAGTCAGTCCACGAGATCATCTCATGCTAGACGAGACGACGTACCGTTACCGGTGTACTGGTTGGGCGTGATGGGTTCGCCGGATCCGAAGATGACTTCCTGGGTGATGTAGACCGTGCGGTTCAAACGCGACAGAATGTTCGCGATGTCGCCGACGGGAATGTCTGTATATAGCGAGGTAAGTTTGGTGCAGCCGCGCTTCGAAGAAGCTGATTACGTTTGGAAGCGTCAAGACGCAGGCCATCAGCACCCAACGAGAGGAGGTCGTTGCCGTACTGCGCGAGACGGCCCCGCACATACTCGGTGTCGGTCGCGAGGCTGAAGGATGCATCATGTCAGCATGCGTGATATGCACGGTTCCGTACAAGATGGACGTACTCAGCGAGGTTGACGAGTTCGCAGGTCTGGACTTCGACGGCGTTGTCGTAGTTGACGATATCATCTCCGGGCTCCAAGCCGCAGTGGTGGAAGTCCTGGTTTTGGTAGATGCCGGGGTAAACGTAGTGCGTGAAGGAGGAACCCGCAATACCGGTGCCGGAGTCGACGCCGGCCATGTGGTTCCAGATGGTGTCTATGGCGCCAGAAGTGAGTTAGGTGCTGCCACTTTGTGGGTTCCGTGTCTGAGAAGCTCACCGACGATGACGCCCACGCCGGCGGCGTGGCAGGTGGTGATCATGTTCGCAAACGAGGTGCGACTCCCCCGCTTGGAGGTGAGGATGTACGACACCGGCTGGTAGTCGGTCCACCACTGGTCGCCCTGAATAGTCTCCTGGGGCGGGCTCACTGCGAATGCGTCAGAAACATGCTTATAGGGTGAGACGCGAACAACTGACCTTGCACGAAGCCATAGCCTGCGGGACCAATGAAGTTGGTGCACTCGGAAGCGACACTGTCCCAGGTCCACTCGAACATCTGGATGATGACATCCTTGCTGCCAGTCGGGGCCCTGGTGTGCAGGGAGTGTGCGTCCGCGCCCGCGTCGAAGGGAGCGGGGCGAGCATCGGCGGCGGTGAAGAAGACGCCGAGGGCGGTGAGTGCGGCGAGTTTGATCCACTTAGACATGCCGGTGTAGTGTGAGGTCGAACGGAACGGGGGGGGGGCGGGGTGGAGACGACTGCCTGGAGGAGGCTGGGTTCGAGGCTGACTTTATATAGCCACTTGAGGCCGTTCAGATTTGGACGAGGCGTTCTAGTTTTGCGTTTGACCGACAAGAATGGAAAATCTCTGAGCCGCAGCGTCAGCATCAGCTCAATGTACTTCCGTCCCCTGTCATATGGGGGCCCAGGAAGCGCTGCTTCCTGCATGCGATACTCGGAACCGGACGAGCGAAGGTCGAATTGCCGGCATGCCCACACTCGCGCAGGTGACGTCGACGATGCAGGGGCGCAGAACGCGGGGCGGCCCAATGGGAGCTGGGCGAAGGCACCGTCGCGAGGGCGCCATCACCACGGAAGCCTGCTCCGTGGGCGGGGGAGATCAGCAGACTCGGGCGGGGGAGCGCGCTTCGAACGTACGTGCCCATATATGGTGGGCGTAGCATATGCTCGCGGGCGCGCGCGCGAAGGCCAGTAACTCCGCTTGCGACGATTCTGTCCCATGCTTTCCCTCCGCAGCGATCTTTGCCAGGAAAATCGACGCGCTTCTCCCTTTTGGACGCATGTCGCTGTGGAGAAAGACCGCGTGCATCTGATCGTCCGTGCCCCATGTGCGACCCGTGGAAGGGCGGGGGAGGCGGTTGGAGGCGGGGGGGACCAATCGTAGTCCGCGATCATGATCGAGACCTTCGCCGTCCTTGGTTGCCGGCGGTCGGGTGCAGCGGTCGTCATCCACCAAGTCCGCCTCACACCGCCGGCAACTTTACATTGCTCAACGCACGCCGTTGAGAAAATCAGACTTCTCCTTGCGAGATAACAGGAGCGGGCAGAGCTCTGTCTGAGGGCGGTCGTGGACTGACATCACGTCGATGACGATGAAACCCTGCGTAATATTACGCTGTGGGATTCGGCTCATGAAAAAACTCACCTTCGGACGACATGATCGTGCTGATGCACGGTGCCTTGCCTGTCGACGCTCTATCGAGTGTCTCACCAAGCCCGCCATCGTCGGGGATGTATCTAGCTGTCCGCCAAAACTATTGGCCTGGTCAGCTCCGTTGCCTAGGGGCGCACGTTTACCACATCTGGGCCCTGCGACGGCGTGTTAAATCACATGTCTGCGCCTTTTATGACAGACCAAGAGGATGCTGACCCTCTTTGAAGCGATGTGACACTGACACGTACGCCCAGAGGGGACCGAATGTCGGGGCCGCCGCCGACGCGCTAGCTGAACCCGGCTGACCTCCTCCATTGCCGCTTGCGCACTCGGAGGTGCACCGTCCGGCGGAAAAGGGCCTGGCAGCGTCTGCACCGCACTAGGTCCGGTGGGCGATGCTCGCAAAGCATGCTTGCGGGCGCTCCGGCCGCGAGGATGTGGCTGAGCATGTCACCGGTCCTCCTGCCTGGCAGGTCGCCCCGAACCACCGACGTCGACCTGAAAAAAAAAACTACCGAGCAAAAGACACCGCTGGCAGATGTTTCCGAATTACATACCCTTGACGTCGTGCTCGAGACCCTCAATTTCTGAGCGGCTCTGACTCTGTCCGACCGCGTGGTGTGGAGAGCGGTCAAGCGGTTATGAATAGCCAAGGACCGATTCCACCGAGGGTGGGTGAGCTTCTGATCAGCTCGAGCGCATATAATGGCTTGATTTGGAGGAGCGCCGTTTTTTTCGCTGACCGTTGATGCGTCTGCGATAAAACGCGGGAGTTTGGAAGTGCTCCCTCTCGTGCCTGTGTAAAATTAGGAGCACAAGCACGCACTCTTCGGTTATGTTCGATAGGGGCCTTGCCGAAAGTGTGTATGAGACGGCGCCATCGTCTATAGTCAAGTCTCTGGTGGCACATGGTAGAAACGCTCCTAAATGACATCCGTGAACTTCGTGCGGGCATTAAAAAGTTTAGAGAATGTGTACGTACTGATATAGCACACTGCAGTAGTTCGTCCCCACCTTCGGGCCAGCAATGATTGAAGAAGGTAAGTTTAGCGAGCTAGTCTCGGCGTGAAGTAAGAACATAGCATCTGCCTCAGGAGTTGTATAGCATGTTACCGACCCCGAGCGCACACGGGCAAGAGGTCTCCTAACGTTTGGAGTGAGCACTCCGGGTCTAAACCGTTGCTTCACCACACCTCCGGAAATTATAATGTCATGTCAGGGACTGTGAGCTTCCGAGTGCCAACTGGGCTACCCTAGATAGGCGAGCCCTTGCGAAGGCCTTCGTATACACTATTAGTACCTGCATGGCCGTCAATTATGAGCCTGTAGTTTAGCACTCACCAATGCACCGCCCGGTCCTATGGGAGTCTGGACAAAAATCACAGTCGATGAGTGTAGCACATTGACGTTACATACAGTTCCCCGAGTATATTCAGCAAGATAGCCTGATACAATTGGACATTTATGGGAAAGAGACCAGGAAGGATGTCGCAGGACGTCGACGTCCTCCGAGGAGTGAGTCGCGCACGCGATGGATGCACACACACGAGCGCTTATACGACCGGAAATCACCGAGAGTTCTCCTTCCTCCAAAAAGCAACGCGCAGAGCCTTGACCCGACCTCTCCTCACGCCTCCTTAGTCTTCATCGTTCTCTCCCTGGTCTTTGGCTGTGTTAACTGGTGATACAGCTCACTGAAGGGAACATCTGGTCGAAACTGCTACCTCCGTACCTTGACATACGACCGCTTCACTTGCTTGCAGCGCTAGCATGGACTCCAGCGACCTTTTCTCGTTCCTGGACGACAGTGCGCAACAGAAACAGCCATCACAAGACGCTAATGGCGACGTTCATATGGAAACCGAGTCCCAGGCGAAGAGCACGGCGAGGAAACGCAAGGCTATCACCCCTCCGCAACGGAAGGAAAGCGACCCCATAGCAGAAGGTTCCAGCAACGCCGCAGGTCCCTCGGAACCAAAGAAACCGCGTCTAGCCTCCCCAAAATCGGTTGTTGTCGACGAAGTCGAGATTGAGGCCAAACGGGAGGTTGCGGCTAGTGCTGGATTGACAGGTGCCGTCGATGCAGGATCCCGTCTGGAGCTTCGGCATCAGGTGAAGTACATTGATTGTCCACTCCAACGCGCTTGCTAAATCTCAAAACGCAGGTACGACACCAAGTTGCCGTTCCCCCAGGGTACCCCTACGTACCTATCGCCAACCATGTGCCCCCAGAAAAACCGGCCCGCGAATACAAGTTCGTTCTCGACCCGTTCCAGCAAGTGTCGGTGTACGCTATCCAGCGAAATGAGAGCGTGCTCGTCTCCGCACATACGAGTGCAGGAAAGACGGTAGTAGCAGAGTATGCCATTGCGCAGTGCCTGCTACAGAAGCAGCGAGTAATCTACACAAGTCCGATCAAGGCCAGTAAATAGACCTCCGTCCGGAAGCGCAATAAATCATGTTTTTCTCCTTTTCGAACATACAGGCTCTGAGCAATCAGAAGTACCGTGAGATGCTTGCCGAGTTCGGGGACGTGGGCTTGATGACCGGAGACGTCACAATCAACCCGAGCGCAACATGTCTGGTCATGACGACTGAGGTGCGTCCCCGCGTTGCATGGGCTTGTGGCGGACTAACGTAGCATTCACAGATTTTGCGGTCAATGCTTTACCGCGGTTCCGAGATCATGCGCGAAGTCGCGTGGGTCATCTTCGATGAGGTCCACTACATGCGCGACAAGGAACGAGGTGTCGTTTGGGAAGAGACCATAATCCTGCTACCACACAGCGTGCGCTATGTCTTCCTGTCCGCCACCATCCCCAACGCGATGCAGTTTGCAGAGTGGATATGCAAGTCCCATGAACAACCCTGCCACATCGTCTACACCGACTTCCGGCCCACGCCACTACAACATTATCTCTTCCCAGCTGGGGGTGAAGGTATCTACCTCGTTGTCAACGAGAAGGGCGAGTTCCGGGAAGACAACTTCACGAAGGCGATGGGCATGCTGCAAGATACGATGGGCGACGACCCCGCGGATCCGAAAGCAGGCAAGGGAAGGAAGGGCAAGACAAAGAAGGGCACCGAGAAGAAGGGTGAAGTCTCTCGACCTCATACTATTCTTGCGTGTGCTCATACGAAACAGGCTCGTCGGACATCCAGAAAATCATCAAGATGATCATGCTGAAGAACTACAACCCCGTTATCGTTTTCGCGTTCAGCAAACGCGAGTGCGAAGCGCTCGCGCTTACGCTGTCTAAGCTAGAGTTCAACTCAACGGATGAACAGGACCTCGTCGCGAACATCTTCAACAACGCGATTGAGAACCTTGCCCCGGACGACCGGCAGCTACCCCAAATCGCGAACCTCCTCCCGCTCCTCAAGCGCGGCATCGGCATCCATCACGGCGGGTTGCTCCCGATTCTCAAGGAGGTCATCGAGATCCTTTTCCAGGAGGGGCTCATCAAGGTCCTGTTCGCGACCGAGACTTTCTCGATCGGGCTGAACATGCCCGCGAAGACGGTTGTGTTCACCGCGGCGCGCAAATTCGACGGCCGCGACTTCCGCAACCTCTCGTCCGGCGAGTACATCCAGATGTCCGGCCGTGCGGGCCGTCGCGGGCTCGACGACCGCGGTGTCGTGATCATGATGTGCGACGAGAAGCTAGAGCCTGTGGCGGCGAAGGAGATGATCAAGGGCGAGGCGGACCGGCTCGACTCCGCGTTCCATCTCGGGTACAACATGGTGCTCAACTTGATGAAGGTCGAGGGCATCAGTCCGGAGTTCATGCTCGAGCGGTGTTTCTACCAGTTCCAGAGCAACGCCGAGGTTCCCGTCATCGAGGGCGGTGAGTGTCCCACAATGCCATATTCATCAACTTTTCGCTGACCGCATTCGCCTTATGTAGAGCTCCGGAAGGAGGAGGAGCTGAAAGACGCGATTGTTGTACCGGACGAGGAGCTTGTCGCGAGCTATTACGACTTCCGGCAGCAGCTCGACCAGATGGCTGCGGACTTCAGAGAGGTCATCACGCACCCTAACTACAGCTTGCCCTTCCTCCAGCCCGGACGTCTCGTCAAGGTCAAGCATCAAAAGCTCGACTTTGGCTGGGGCGTCATCGTCAACTACCAAAAGCGGTTACCGCCCAAGGTATGACCATTCACTTCGCACAACGCTTAATATGGCACTTACCCGATGTTCGCAGAACCGCCCCGGGCCGAAACCTGAGGACGTGCCCGCCCATGAACAATACATCGTCGATGTGCTGCTCTACTGTACAAAAGGCTCGACACTGCCCAAGGACCGTAACGTTACCACACCCACCCCTGGCGGCATCCAGCCATGTTTGGCAGGACGTGGTGGCGAGCCGCTCGTCGTTCCCGTCACGCTCTCCACGATTGACTCCATCAGTCGGTTGCGTATATTCATGCCGAAGGATCTCCGACCGCTCCAGCAGCGAGAGACTACATGGAAGGCCGTCTTAGAGGTGCAGAGCAGGTTCCCCACGGGTATCCCACTCCTGGACCCTATTGCCGACATGAAAATCACCGATGCGAAGTTCAAGGAACTTGTCCAGGTGAACATGGCGTCTCGCATTGAATCACGAACGGTTATGACTGACGCTTCGCCCAGAAAATCGATACTATGGAGAAGAAGATGTTCTCGAGCACGCTTCACAGCGACCCGCGCCTACCAGAGCTCTACACACTGTACGCACGGAAACAGGAACACCAGGCGCGCATCCGCGAGCTGCGGAAACGCGTGCAAGCGACGGAAGATGTGCTGCAGATGGAGGAGCTCAAGTGCCGCAAGCGCGTCCTCCGCCGCCTAGGGTTCACGAACGCGTCGGACATCGTCGACATGAAAGGTCGCGTGGCTTGCGAGATCAGCACGGGCGACGAGCTACTGCTCACGGAGCTCATCTTCAACGGTGTCTTCAACACGCTCACTCCGGAGCAGTGCGCGGGTCTGCTCAGCTGTTTCGTCTTCACAGAGAAGGTACGTATACATTTGCTTCCCTATATGAACACGAGACGTGCGCTAACTTGGATCATCTCAGAGCGAGCAGGTGACAAAGCTCAAGGAGGAACTCGCGGCACCGCTGCGTGTCATGCAGGAAATCGCGCGACGCATCGCAAAGGTCTCGAAGGAGTCCAAGCTACCTGTCAACGAGGACGAGTACGTGCAGTCCTTCAAGGTCGAGCTTATGGACGCTGTCGTCCAGTGGTGCCGAGGGGCATCGTTCTCGGATATCTGCAAGGTGCGTCGCACTGCTGCTGTTCGGCGCTCACCCAGAAGTACTAACTCCCGCCGCTTGTAGCTCACCGACCAGTTCGAAGGCAGCCTCATCCGTGTGTTCCGGCGCCTGCAGGAGCTCATCCGCCAGATGGCGCAGGCCGCAAAGGTCATCGGCAACAACGAGCTGCAGGAGAAGTTCGAGAAGGCGTCGGAAATGCTGGAGCGGCCAAACTCGGTCATCTTCTGCTCGTCACTGTACCTGTAGATCTATCGCGACGTATGCATAGTGGCAAGACATGGTTTCATGCATTTGGATTCGTGTATGTCCTTGGGGTACTTGATTTGCTACATATATACAATCGTGTGTGTGTAAATCTAACTTAAGCGTCCGCATGAGATAGTATGCTGGCGCGATAAGGTGGTCGGAAACAACTAGCAGTTGCCGTTGTCGGTCCAAACCCCAGCTACAGTAGAATCGATCGTCAGGGAAAGTGACGGCACGGGCTAGACTGTGCTTACCTGGGCCACCGGGGGTGTCGTTATAGGACCACCACTTCGCAGTCCATAGATGGCCGTCTACGAGAAAGTGGTTAGAGAATGTCTGATGCGTGGCGTCGAAGTAGACCTACTGTACGTGGCCTTGTTGCCACCGGTGTACGTCGTCTGCAGAATACGTCAGCGGCCTGCTATTAGGGCGATGACTGAAGGATGACACTCACGCTTGAGCCCCAGGCGGATACACCAACGCAAGCCCCCGAGCTAGAACCACCGGTAGGGGTGGTGACCGCGCTGGAGGAGGTGGACGAGCGGGAAGTGGTAGACGAGCTGCGAGTAGATGTCGATGAGCGACGGGTGGTCGACGACGAGCGGCGAGAGGAAGTGGAAGTGGTAGACCTCTGGGTAGTCGAAGAGCGGCTGGTGCTGGTAGGTGTGGTCGAGGTACGGGTAGAACTCGTCGAGGAGCGAGAGGACGATGTTGTTGAGCTCCGTGACGTAGACGAGCTCCGGGACGTGGATGAGCTCTGAGACGTGGATGAGCGCGTGGAAGTGGTGGACGACCGTGTGGACGAGGTAGAAGAGCGACTCGAAGAAGAGGACGAGGATGATCCTCCCGTCGACTGGCCCATGTTGCTACGAAGGTTGTCCCATTTGCTGTTGGGGAAGCTGAACAGAAGGTCAATACTAGGATGCATTGAGGTCAGCAGGATAAACGTACTAGATGTGGTTCTGGTACGGGATGGATCAGCGAGGGCGAAGGTGACATGGCTTAGAGTTCAAATATACCTGCGTCTGGTCAAGACTGCCGTACACATTGGCAGTCGTAGCGACGAGCGAGTCAGAGCCTGTCTTGTCCGTCGACAGCTAACGATGCAACACGATTGTTAGGTCCTCAGTCATACAGGGGGTCATCATGGAGACACGTACCTCCCAGAACATAGAGCCAGCAAGCCCCTTGTCGCGGACGTACTGAGCTTTGATGGAGGCGATGTTCGGGGTATCGTACGTCACAAGCTCCCGCTTAGACGAGTCGTACGAATAGCTAGTGACGTCCGTCAAGTTCTCATAGACCTACGGGGCCTTTAGAGACGATCGGGAGCTAGGGGACGGACACCCGCCACGTACCTGAGCACCGGCAAGTGGAAGCGCTTTATACGAGTATACGCCGGCCTCGATTGTACCAGGACCGATCTGCCGTATGATGAGTACAGGCACGAGCTCATTGCAGCGCAAGCCCACTCACCCCGCTGTATGAGGAACCGATGCCGTTGGTGTTCTCAAATGCGCGACCATAGAGAGGAATACCCATGTTAATCTTTCCGGCGGTCGCGCCATTAGCGATGTACCACTTCACTGCCTTGTCGGTCGAGACGTTCGTACGCGCGCCGTAGTAGAGGTTGGCTGAAGGAGCTAAGTCAGCTGTAATCCGACCTTCGTGGTCCCGTTTACGTGCCTTGATTATCGGCCTGATGGTGGGGTCAGCGACTGGCGTACGATCCAACGAGTGCAGCAGCACTTACCCAACTCAACCAAGATCCAGCGTAGTCATAAGCCTACGGACGGGGTTCAGTTGCGTGGCGCGTGAACGGTGATTTTAAAGCTCACCATTAGGTTCCAGTACGTGAGTGCAGCGTTCATCGTAGAAACGTGCAAGTGCTCGTAGTTGTCTGAGCCCGCGGGGACGGCGGCCTATGATGGGGTCGTCAGGAAGCCGGACAGATGCCTCATCAACAGGTACTTACCGTCAGCTCATATGGGGTACTATCACCCTTCTGCAATTGCAAGTTGTCGAACGCGACCCGCAACGAGGTAAGCAGGCTTGCAAAACCAGCAGCCAGAGCGTCGGATGAGGGGTATTCGAAGTCAATGTCGATACCGTCGAAACCATAGTTCTCGATCAGGCTGACAGCGCTGGTGACGAAGGCCGCGCGCTTGGTAGCGTCAGTGACGAAGTTGAAGTGACCTGCTTGAGAGTAGGTCCAGCCGCCGACGGACAACAGGACCTTCAAGTTTCTAGGGATTTGTCAGCGCTGAGTAATGAATGGACGTAAAGGTAAACACACCTGTTCTTAAGCTTGAGAAGGTAGAGCTATCGAGAATGGATCAACGCCACGCCCCCAGACAGCAATCGAGCATAGGACAATGCGCATACCTGCTTGAGACAGCCGTAGAGGTTATTGCCGACGTCATTCCACGAGTCGCCAGCGTAGTGTTTCTAAGAGGCCTGTTGAAAACGCGTCCTGCAGGTATCATATCACGCATCACGTACCTGTTCATCCGCCCAAGAGTCGGTCAGGAAGATGGAACCCGTGTCGGCAGAGACGTCGGCGAACGAATACAGGATGTGGGTCAGGTCACTGGGATCGATGTCCGTAGGCTCTACGAAGTATCACGTCTGTCAGTGGGTCGGCCTGCACAGTTTCTGGTGAAAACTTACGGAAATTGGCACCGTATATGCCCCTAAAACCGAAATAAGAACGAAGATACGCAGATCAAGTTGCGAAACGACATACCAGTTGGTGAAGTACGCAGCTTGCACCTTCGAGCCCGACGTGGCGCGCTTGTGAACGACGTGAAGATTGACCTTGCGCTGAGTGTCGACGCTATGCGGGTGGTTCTTGAATGTGGGCGGGCGGCGCATGACCTCGGTAGCATTGACAAGAGTTAGGGCGGTCAAGGTCACGGCTGTAAGCAGAATGCCGCGGCGCAGAAAAGCCGAAAGTACCATGTTGGGCGAGAGAAGGGACGTCGCTCGGACTGGGCAGGTCAGTGAACGCTCTCTCATCTGGCGGCTTTTGTAGGTCCACGGGGCGGCGACTTGGCTGACGTTACGCAGCATACTCGAGTGCGGGTAATTCAGAGGCAGGAAAAGGACATCCGGCAGACCACCAAAATGCTGATGCACATGGAGTGCAGCGATGCTTCCGCGCGCACAAGAGCTCCGGGGCGCAGCGACTTGCTGCATTCTCTTGCATTCTACGAGTGTTGCATAAACACCACCACTGCAACTAGTTACCCGTATAACGCAGCACTCCACGAGGATTGAAGAGCACTCCAAGCCACTGGGACGATGTACTGCGTGGTCATCCAAACCTCCTGTGGACTACAATTGAGGGTGCGCTGGCGCGTATTCAAATGTTCAGGCTATACTGGACCCTGGTGTCAGAAGCGCAAAGTTATTATGAGTACAACACCATGGGAACTGTCATCCGACCATTTACCTATGATATTCTGGTGACTTTTGTCCCAGGCACGCTCAGGCACACTGAGGATCAAAGTTGGCGAGCATGCAGTGACATGAGTGGCGGAAGCGGATACAAGTTCAGAGACGCCCAAGCTCAACCTGAGGAAGCCGGCGCTTGGCGTCGGCTCCGGCCAAGGGAGTACCGCATGAAGACTAGATCTACTGATCATGTCACTCCCAAGCGCGTTCATTCTAAAGGGATGCCGAACGTCTGGAGTACTTGATTTCGATGATTGCCAATATTTACACACAGTTGCATGTTTCCTCAGCCACAGTATGCGGACTAGCCGCGTACTTCCCAATGTAGATCGTAATGTCGTGAATGTGCGTCATCTAGCATGCGCCGTTGTCCGTCCACACACCAGCTGCAAGCCGAGAGTGAGCCAGATAGAGAGGGGTGACATATTGGGGGTACTCACCCGCGCCGCCAGGGGTGTCACCCTCAGTCCACCACTTAGCGGTCCAGAGATGGCCCTCTGTCAAGACGTCAGAAATTGGTATTTTCCAGAGACGGGAAGCGCTTACGGTAGGAAGCCTGCTGGCCACCGGTAAAGATCGCCTGGTTGCAAAGTTAGACTCACAAACTCCTAAGGTTGCAGTCGCAGAGATAGTGGCTTACCCCAGAGCTCCAGGCCGGGACGGAAGCGCATTGGCCAGAGCCGCCGGTGGGCGCCGAGGCGGCGCTAGTGGTGGTTGGAGAGCCCGCAGGGGCGGTCGAGCTCGGGGCACTGGGGGAAGAGCCCATGTTGTTGCGGATGTTGTCCCACTCGCTGTTGGGGAAGCTACGAGGCATGTTAGTACGGCGATATAATCCCTTTCGCAACAGGACTCACTTGATGTGGTTCTATGCGGAGACAGGTTAGCATGTCCTTGATTTTACGGCTGAGATTAGCTTACCTGGGTCTGATCAAGGCTACCGTAAACGCCAGCCGTCGTGCCTACGAGGGAGTCCGAGCCAACCTTGTCGGTGGAGAGCTGCAGGATGCAATGTAATCAGCAACATGGGCTTGGTGCTAGTGGCGTGATACTCACATCCCAGAACATCGATCCAGCGAGGCCGTTAGTCTGGACATACTGCGCTTTGATCGTCGCAATATGAGGAGTGTCGTAGGAAACAAGCTCGCCCTTGGACGAGTCGAAGGAGTAGCTCGTCACGTCCGTCAGGTTTTCGAAGACCTATCGCGGAATCAGCATGTTAGCTACCGAGTGCATGAGATGGATCCTACCTGAGCACCAGCCAGAGGGAGAGCCGTGTAGGAGTAGATGCCAGCCTCAGTAGTCCCAGGGCCGATCTGTGACAAGTAAATTAGCTGTGTGCAATATAATCGCATGCACACTTCATACTCACGCCGGTGTAAGCAGCACCGATGCCTGTCGTCTTCTCGAAGGCACGGCCGTACAGGGGAATGCCCATGTTGATCTTGTTCGCAGAGGCGCCGTTTGCGATGTACCATTTGACGGCCTTGTCGGTAGAGACGTTCGTGCGCACACCGCCGTACAAGTTGGCTAGCGATGAAATGTAGTGAGTTTTTCAATACGTTATCACGGTGCCCTTGTCTTTACCTTGGTTGTCAGCCTGAGAAGAGGGTCAGTCTATTCGTTTTTTCAAGGAGAAAGTATACTTGATACTCACAAAGGTCAACCAAGAGCCAGCGTAGTCGTAGGCCTAAACCTTAATCAGCCAGTATACAGCCTGGTTTACATTTCATACTCACCATAAGGTTCCAGTAGCTCAGTGCAGCGTTCATCGCCGGGACCCTGAGGAAGGCATAGTTGTCGGAACCGGCAGGAACGGCAGCCTGCAATTCGATCCCTAATCAGAATGCACTGGCGGAAGTGCGGGAGCATTCGAGCACTGACCGTCAGCTGATAAGGAACGCTATCGCCCTTCTGCTTCTGCAGGTTATCGAACGCGGTGCGCAGCGACGTGAGCAGGGATGCGAAGCCAGACGCGAGCGGGTCCGAGGTCGGATACTCGAAATCGATGTCGATACCGTCGAAGCCGTAGTTCTCGATCATGCTGACGGCGCTGGTGACGAACGTCGCGCGCTTGGTCGCGTCCGTCACGAAGTTGAAGTGTCCGGACTGCGAGTACGTCCACCCGCCGATAGAGAGGAGGACCTTCAGGTTCCTGCGGTCATGATGGTGATGAGAACTTGTTCGTAGAGGCCATTGGAAGGCGATACGAACCTATTCTTGAGCTTCAACAGATACATCTATGGGACGCATGTGATGTGAGGTGAGTCCACCGGACCGCAGTAAACATAGCATGATCCATCGCACCTGCTTGAGGCATCCGTAGAGGTTGTTGCCAGTTTCGTCCCACGAGTCTCCGGGGAAATGTTTCTGCGACGAACCATCAGTCCCGTCATGCAAACTATGGCAGTACCACCGACCTGCTCATCCGCATACGAATCCGTCAGGGAGATGCTCCCCGTATCCGGGGAAACGTCGGCGAACGCATATACGATGTGCGTCAAGGTAGAAGGAATGATGTCGGTCGGCTCTACAGCGTAGGTGTTGTCAGCGGGATGGGAGGAAGACGATATGTCCGGCCGTGGCCGAACACTCACGGAAGTTGGCGCCGTAGATACCCCTACCAGACGCCAGACATCAGAATGCGGACAAAGTACGATCTCAGCCACAAAGCAACCCACCAGTTGGTGAAGTACGCAGCCTGCACCTTGGACCCCGCGCGCTTGTGGATGACCTGCGGTTTCACCTCGCTCGTCGCGAATTTGCGCGGCGCGTCCTTGAACGCGTCCGGGCGCTGCATGGCCTGGGTCGCATTGACGACGACTAGGGCAGACAACGCCACCACGGCGAGGAAGAAAGCACGCTTGAGAGTAGCTGGCAGAGCCATGGCACGAGTATGGCGAGTGATGGGTGGAAGTCGCTCTGTCTGCTCGTTCGGTGCACCGGAGGCTTTTGTATATCGCTGCACAAGGGCTTCTCGGATCCCGTTCCGCAGGCTTGTCACGAAGCCGAGGCATGCAGCGTGAATGACCACACCCAAGGCCGCCCAAACGAGGCGCGACGCGCGGCATCTGAGTCTACAGATATGTTCCATGCGGTCGAGGCGGCCTTCGAGATGTCATGGGCTTCGCCGGACGCCTCATCAGGCAAGCCCCCGTATGCAAGCGCTGCGGCGGAACGGCGTCCCACTGGGCAGATGTTTGAATGGTCGGCTGCAGAGGGAAACAACATGAGCTTCATCAGTTTATCGGACAATCTGGCGGGCTCACAGCGATATCGAATTTCCCGCATACGGGGTACGCTTCGGGTAGACCACCTGAAGAGCTCAGCCTCCGCGGTGCACAATGCACCACCATAGGTTGCCCAGGTTACTGGACGATGGCTGTGAAAATGAACGAGTGTCTAACTTTGTCTGCTCCTCAAGGCGAGACCGAGTGGGCCGGGTAAACGATAGCAGGCGAGCATGTTTCCCAAGAAAGAACTGCTATCAGGAAAACAGCGAAAGAAGCAGCGGGCCTGTGCGCTATGATAGGGTTTCTTTCGAGGTCAGCGCGTTCCTCGAGGTCGGTCTAGAGGTCATAAGCTTACCGGAATGATCAACTGATATGCACACCACGCGGTGTGCAGCTGCAGAGCATCACGGACGGCGGCGGGACTGGCAAAAGCACTGAGCACCCCAGGAGAAGCCCCGTGCGTGCCTCGCCATATTCCCGACGGGATTTGCGACATGCCACGGCCTACACGCGTGGTGGCGGCAGGCGAAGGTAAGGTTGACGGACAGCCCGCGCTCGTGTGCGGCAGCGAGTGGCATGGGCATGCTGCTGGGAGTCTTGTTTGAGTCTACCGCATGAGGAGTAGTCACCGGGCTTATCACACATGATAAGAAAGACGCAAGGAGAAGCAGGAGGCGCGTCTGCAGCATTGTACTTTGTCCGAGGTGATGGCGGAGCTGTTACGGCAAACTTCGGGACAAGCGTCGACCGTCCGCCTTCATTCCCGGACTCCGTCGAATGCTGTCGGCGGAACCATGCTGCTCCCCACATAGGCGCGGCGCTGTACATCTGCCATTCGTGAGAGACCGAGGGTCGTCAGTGGTCGAGGCATGCGGAGGCAAGCAGAAAAAGACATCGAGGTCGCGGTAGGTCGTGGTACACTTCCAAGTTGCTGACAGCACCGCCGCCGCCACCAGATCGTCGCCGCTGTTCCACAAGTGCATATAGCCCAGTACATCGGCAGCACCTCCTCCGGGCCTTCCCAGGTTGCTCTCGTACGAAGCTGCGGAGCAGTCTGGGCCCGTTCAGCACGAGACACGTCGCCGCTGCATAAAACTTGGCGCAACACACTTTTCGCGAGCGCGCATGCTTGCGGCACCACGATCGTGAGGGCCGCGGAAGTACATCATACAATTCCTGCGATTAGTGGAATATGTCTTATTTATGTAGCAATGAAGGCTTATTTGGAGGTGAAAATTTGAGGTGAGCATGCGAAGCGATAGAGTGACGGCGGATGTGATTATATACTCAGGGGCGATGCAGACGAGCGAGAAGCAGTAAGCGGTGACATAGGAAATGCAGCAAACGGACAGAACGACAACAGTGTACGAGCGTGGTGGGGTGGTACTAAGACGCGAGACGATGGCGACCGGGGTAGGGGAGGGTAATGGGGGGGAATCGAGTAGAACTGGGGAGGGGGGAGTGGCGAAGGGGTAACGAGGAGTCGAGGCTCGGAGGCGGGGAGGACAACGTGGGATGGGGGAAGTATCGGCGGAATATAGTAGGTTCCGAGGAGACAGATCGATATAGTCCGTTGCCTGACATTGTTGGACCCTTCTTGTCCATGTGCTTCACGCGGCATAGGGTGGAACAGTGTGGTCTCCTTCAAAGAGCGCTGTTCTGGGGTGATGTTGTCACCATTGTGGCAGGCTGGTTGCGGGCACGAGTCAGACACATGCTGCATAGATCTATTCATACCCTACTGACGTAGGAGTGTACGATGGACACCGCACGCACCTGATTCTTTTGCGCTTCCCGCTCGAACCCAGTCCACGCCCTGAACTCTGGACACCGTCTCCTTCCAACACTATACGTCGACGTACATTAGTACCGGCTCGCCCACGCCGTCGATTTCTGGGATGACGCATTTCAGGTCGAACGCCTTCGCCAGCACGATCTTGAAAATCTTCTGCACATTTATCGATGCCGACGTCGAGCAGAAGATCAGTGAGGCGTGCATCGCCTTTGCGAAGCGTTTCGCCTAGTTCAGGGGGGTCAACCGATAGCACAACTGGCACCGACAGCACTACTGGCACCGAGAACCTCAACACGAACCTGCTTAGTGATCTCTTCTTGCTCGTCTCTCGGAAATGTTGAGAAGGTGTCGAACTTGGTACCGATCAGGAAGGGTATCGCAGTCTACGCAACATAAACCAATATTAGCTCAAGTCGTACGCTCCGTGTGGGCAGAGTCATGGTTGTGGGGCGGGGTGCACGACTTCTCGTTTCAAAGGCGGAGATGTCTCGGGACCAGAAAGAGGACAGACCTTATTGAAACCCCTCGCTTGCCGATACCACTCCTTCACCGAGTTCAACGTCGACTTGCGCGATAGATCAAACATGAAGAGGATCGCAACGGCATCATTGCACACTAGTGGCAACATGTTCACGAACTCTCGCTGCCCGCCAAGATCCCAGAGCGAGAAAGTGATGGATGTTCGTCGCACAGTGATGGTCTTCTCCATAAAGTTGACGCCTAACGGCGATAGCGGAGGCGTGAGCGTTGGAGAGACATGCTGCAATGTCTCGGAACGGGGACGAACCTAACGTCTGGATGTAGTCCTCATCAAAGTGCCCCTCGACGTATTTCACCATGAGACTCGTCTTCCCTATTTGCGAGTCCCCAAGCATGCCGACCTTGATCACGACACTGTGGAAGGCAGCTGTCTAACGCGATCCGCCAGTGTGTGCACCTGAACGCGCGTACCTGTTCTGTTCATTGCTATCAAGGTTTGGCCTGCTTGGGCCTGCATTTGAGGATGTTGGGGAGGAGGCCGAGGCGGTCGCCGACATGTGCCAGAAGCGGAGGGGGGGGGAAGAGAAAGAAAAGAAAGAGGAAACCGAGTGCTCCGAGTACTTGTGCGAGGATAAGCAACGGAGGTGGATGTTCAGAACTTGGAAGTAGAAAACGAAAGGAAGGACGCGTTCTGAGTCACTCTAGGTGCTTGAGGACGTGCGGAGGCCCACCCCAAGCAAAGACGGGAGACCTGTTCGGAAGTGGACGCCAGCCAAGCAGAACAGCGCAGTGCAAGTGCAGGCAGGATGGAAACCGACTAGACGCCAACCCCGGCCTCAGACGCTCGCTTTCAATCATCGGAACACCGTCCACAAGCGAGTTCCTCATCTCGTCGAACAATGGGCCACTTTCCTCGCGTAAATAAGCGTGTAGGAACACGATCTCATGGCATCTTGCTCAGATTCTTGACAAGTCGAACTCATCGACTCTACTGTCTCAAACCGACGCCTTGCCCCGCGTAGAGTTCAGGATGCGAGCGATACACGGAGTCGTGGTAACCAGTGGAGGTCGGTTCCATCCCGCAGCCACTTATGTTTAGTGAAGTCGTTGCACTTAGCTACAGCCACCATGTCATTACTTCAGGTACAGATGAATCCAGGGAGCCAATAATCAACGAAGTTGGGGCGCTTATCGCGAGTGTCCTCGGAGGTTGTTGTCTTCTGTTGACGTCTATTAGGATCCAAAGCTCTTGCCAAACAACCGCCTCCTTCCATCACCTGGCGACCGTCATAACTTTTGGGTTCTCGACTCTCTCGACGTAATCCCGACTACCCCCTGGCATGTCGACTCCGATCTCGATTGTCTAAACCTGCAGCGAGGGCTACTGCGCCACACACTCAGTCCAGCCTTCTCCTAGCCTTTCAAGCTGTATCGTATCGTCCCAGGGCGGCCTTGTTAGGCAGTCGCGCGTAGTGTCGGCCCAGTGGAAGGCGAAGCCATGGGACATCCGACAGACAAACTTGAGCTATATGCGGCTTCTGTTAATTTCAGGACCAAGCGAGAGCTTCTAGCTACCGGAGCATGTGGCGACGTTGACTTTGAAGCTCACCATGCAGCTGATCTACTTGACTCTCTATAAGGCGGTAGCGCCTTTCAGTCCATATTGTTAGGCGCATTAGGCATTACGATGGGACGACGAAGCCTTGGGTACATTTTACAGACAACCTCAGGTCATACACCTGCTCCAACAAGTGCCTGTGAGTCCATCGCTTGAGGATATTCGTATTTGCATCAAACGTCGCGCTTACAGCTAGCATAGCAGAACAGGTGCAGCATGTTCGAATCCTCATGCTGAGGAATTGATTCCCAGAATTTTAAGGAACATAATCGTGCATTGCAAAAGGTATGATCACACGTTTGATCAAATCCGAGGGTTTTATGATCGGACATTCGACAGCACAGGTGGGATGTCTCCCTCAGCTCGTCGCCAGCGCCATGCACCAAGTGGCCGCACTTGCTGCTATAACCATCCTTTCCGCCTTTTCCTTGCGCGATGTACTCTGACTGCCAAACATAGCTCCCACATCCCTTCTACTTATAGCTTCTGCTGCCGCTGCGCCATATCAACAAGTTGAACCACCTTCGGAGAAACCACACAATGTCGGGGAGGTACGCGTCTTCGCCGTCAACCAACAGTATGCTTTGCTACGTAAGGGAAGGGAGAACGTGCACACGCTATCAGGCGTATTAGCACCGCGACTGCGGGGGTGGGGTGCGGGGCCGCTGCCCCGCAGGGTCCTCTCATGTGCCCAGACGAGGTACATACTTCGACCGCTTCTCTACAGCTTCGACCCGTCGGAATGACGCGTCTCAGAGCTCCGATAGCCCAAGACTGCTCCGGGCAGATGATCGGCGCATCCTCGGTCACCTAACAGCGCGCGTTCCATTGGTCATCCCTCGAGTCCAGTGATGATGGGAGTTATACATCGGTTACGACAGTTCTTTGCAGACCAGCCATATCGTCTTCGCAGATGTCCAGGTCCACTTGCAGATCCTCGGGGTATTGGCAACGTTCATGCCCTCCATGTTCACCTGGTTCACGGTCACGGGCAATACCGCCCATCCGAATTCTCGCCGTCGCGTGCGCTGGCGTCCGCCCGTCATTGCCTGCCCCTTGTTACCAGTACCAACGACAGCATACAGGCGACCGACGTCCGCGAATAGCACGCACGAGTACACGCCATACGGGCGCGAATCTCCTATCCGCGCCTTGAATGTTCGGCTATTTCTCGCAATACCGGAATGCTGGGCATCCCGGGGAGGCGTATAAAGAGCGGTTTAAACCTTGTTGCACGGTGAGCGCAACACTACGACCGCCCGCTATGAAGTTCAAGAGCCTGTTGTTGTCTCTGCTGCCATTGGTCGGCTCCGGTACGATGCATTTTTTCGTGTAACCAGCTAGAGTGCTGAACGATGCGTATTGAACAGTGTACTCTCAAGTCGCCGCACCCTACGTAGACTCCGGCAATGGCTTCGTCTTCGACGGCGTCACCGACCCGGTGCACAGCGTCACCTATGGAATCGTCCTCCCTCAAGCATCCACCAGCACAGAGTTCATCGGCGAATTCGTTGCGCCCAACGAGGCACAATGGATTGGATTAGCTCTCGGAGGAGCCATGATCGGGAACCTTCTTCTCGTCGCATGGCCGGATGGGAACAAAATTGTGTCTTCGCCTCGCTACGCGACGTGAGTGACATTTCAGCATTGGCTACGATGTATAAAACTGAATGCGGGGATCACGAAGCGGATACACATTGCCGGCAGCGTACGCGGGACCGACCATTACCCAGCTGCCGTCGAGTTCAGTCAACTCGACTCACTGGAAGTTTGTGTTCCGCTGCCAGAACTGCACAGGTACGTGTCCTTCCACTTCGTTAGGGTCACGCCGTTGATTACTCCCTCCACAGCCTGGAACGGCGGAAGCATCGACCCCTCCGGCACCGGCGTCTTCGCCTGGGCCTTCTCGAACGTCGCGGTAGACGATCCCTCCGACCCCAACAGCAGCTTCGCTGAACACACTGACTGTAAGTGGCCACACGCACCTGCGGCCACCAGCATACTAATAAGATACTCTAGTCGGCTTCTTCGGCATCAACTTCCCCGACGCTCAGAGCTCCAACTACCAGAACTACCTCGCAGGCAACGCGGGGACTCCCCCTCCCACGTCCGTTCCTAGCGGCCCCTCCAGCACTACCACCACCACCGGTCCCACCGCTACTGTGAGGATCTTCTTTAAGCGCTGCCTGACCCGTAGCTGACGATTTTGTAGGCTACGCCGTTTGACTACATCGTCGTCGGCGCTGGCCCTGGTGGGCTCGTCACTGCCGATCGCTTGTCTGAGGCCGGCAAGAAAGTCCTACTTCTCGAGCGTGGCGGACCCTCGACTGCGGAGACCGGTGGCACGTATGACGCCACATGGGCCAAGTCTGCTAACGTGAGTACATAATCCGCGCATATATCCATCATTTTCGCGAGGGTTCTGACTGACATTTCATGTAGCTCACAAAATTCGACGTCCCGGGATTGTTCGAGACGTTGTTCACCGACACTAACCCTTTCTGGTGGTGCAAGGGTGAGTCTGTCGCGAGCCAACCACAGAACATCAGCTGAAGAAGCCTTCCAGATACCAACTTCTTTGCGGGGTGCCTGCTTGGTGGCGGTACCTCGGTCAACGGAGCGTAAGTCCGGTTCCTTTGTGCAGCCGCCGGTGGTTCTAACACTGTTTCTACAGTCTCTACTGGTACCCCAACAGCCGCGACTTCTCCACCGCGAGCGGGTGGCCGAGCAGTTGGGGCAACCACCAGCCGTTCACTGACAAGCTGAAGCAGCGCCTACCGAGCACGGACCACCCCTCCGCCGATGGACAACGTTACCTCGAGCAGTCCGCCACCGTCGTCCAGCAGCTGCTTTCGGGCCAGGGCTACTCGCAAATCACGATCAACGACAACCCCGACTCGAAGGACCACGTATTCGGATTCAGCGCATTTGACTTCCTCAACGGCCAGCGCGCGGGCCCCGTCGCGACGTACTTCGAGACCGCGCTCGCGCGCAAGAACTTCGTGTACAAGGACAACGTACTCGTCACGCAGGTCATCCGCAACGGGTCGACGATCCTCGGTGTCCGTACGAACGACAACACGCTCGGACCGGATGGTATCGTGCCCCTGAACCCGAACGGCCGTGTCATCCTCTCCGGTGGTTCCTTCGGCACTCCCCGTATCCTCTTCCAGAGCGGTATCGGGCCGACGGACATGCTCCAGACCGTGCAGAGCAACGCCCAGGCCGCGGCGAACCTTCCCCCGCAGAGCGAGTGGATTAACCTGCCCGTCGGACAGTCGGTGTCTGACAACCCGTCGATCAACGTAAGTGTCTATGTATGCGGTCGTATGTATCATGGAAGGCTGATGTAATATATAGCTGGTCTTCACCCACCCGAGCATCGACGCCTACGACAACTGGGCTGACGTGTGGTCCAACCCCAGGCCCGCGGATGCCCAGCAGTACTTGCAGAGCCGCTCCGGTGTGTTGGCCGGTGCATCCCCTAAGTACGTCCTATATCATTGACCATGAGGTCTTATAACGACTGACATGTGCTACTACAGGCTGAACTTCTGGAGAGCATACGGTGGCAGCGATGGCATCACCCGCTACGTGCGTCGAGCATTCTCATCACCTCAGAAGTGCGATGTCTGATACGAACTACAGGCGCAAGGAACTGTTCGCCCTGGTGCAGCGTCCGTCAACACATCCGTTGCGTACAACGCGAGCGAGATCTTCACAATCACTCTCTACCTGTCCAACGGTATTCAGTCCCGCGGCCGCATTGGCGTCGATGCTGCCTTGAACGCGAAGGCCCTCGTCAACCCATGGCTCACCAACTCCGTCGACAAGACGGTCCTGCTGCAAGCCCTACATGACGTGACGTCCACCATGAAGAACGGTAGGTTCCCGGTACGAGTGAGGTTGGACACGGCTCATGTGTCGTTTTCAGTGCCTGGCTTGACGATGATCACCCCCGACAACACGATGACGCTCGAGCAATACGTTGCCGCCTACGATCCGGTGCGTGGCTTCTACTGCGGTACCACCGCAGCCTGAAACAGATGCTGATACAAACGCTGGCCACAGGCGACAATGTGCTCCAATCACTGGGTGGGCGCCGCGAAGATGGGCACGAGCTCGTCCACCGCAGTTGTCGACGAAAACGCGAAGGTGTTCAACACGGACAACCTGGTGAGCGCTGTGGCGCCTCATTTCCGACGCGCGCGGGCACTGACGGAAGTGACGTTTGTGCAGTTCATCGTTGATGCGTCCATCATCCCGTCGCTGCCGATAGGGAACCCGCAGGGAGTGCTGATGTCGGCGGCGGAGCAGGCGGTTTCGCGCATTCTGGCGCTTGCTGGGGGTCCTTGAGGCGGCGCAAAAGCATTTTGGATGTCGGGCTGCGTGGGTGGCCCCGTCGTGTGCTGTACTTGTATTCGGTAAACGGAGGTACTAATATCGGAGTATATGCTTAGTCTCAGGTCTGTGAGAGTGTGAGTGACATTCAATGGTATTGCATCATTGATACGCTCGTGAACCCTGCCATTATTGTGGACATGTATCCGTACGCAATTGCTGATTGATGAAATCAACCCGCCGAGCAGGCTATCGTGCAAGTGTTGACATGCTCGAGACCCACGCACCTGTGCGCCCCCGACCACCGCCCGGCGACATGTGTGCACCCCGGCGCATTCATCCCAAAGAATCTCGGAATACGGACATGTACATCGAGCGACGGCGCGATTACCCAGAAATATTATATTCATACATATGTGTAGTGTACCGTCATGTTCGGTCGTAGGAGAGGAGGCATAAGGGCTGTAGAAACCACACGGAGAGACAGACTATATCATCAGAGCACAAAACAATTCTACGAGTTTCCGGATACAACGGGGTGGATATACACTTGCGCGTGCCAGACGGGAAAAGGGGGGAGGAGTACCGAGATCATGGGTGTATTCACGGCAGGACGGAGGAGGGAGGTATACGGGGTGCTAGCCAGAATGTTCGCGTTCGTAGCGGCGTACATGCAACGCCCGCGGTCGCCAAGCAGCAGCGCGAGAGGGTGGAGGGGGTATGCGTGAAGGGTGATGTTGTCACCGCTTGCGCTTGCCGGGCATAGAGCCAGCGTGCTCAATGGCATGTCCGCTGCCATCGCTTGAGCCGCCCTCGACCTCGAAGTCGCCCTCCGAGTATCCACCTGGGGTGCCCCGCCCGTTCGAACGAGCAGGGCCAGGGACCGGGGAGTCAGAGTTCTCCCTGATGTCGACCATGCGATCGCCGTCGATGTACTCTTGAGAAATCGCAAGCGCAGAATTGCTCTCCGGCAGGGGCGGCAAAATGACCATGTCCTCCATCTCGGCGTCCACGTCCTCCGCTACGGCGGCCGACGGATTGCGCGCGGAACCGGCGCCCCCGGGTGGAGGTGCACGACGTCCGCGGACACCGGAACGGCTGGCCCCCATGTCGATTTCTACCTCGGTCTCCGCACCGACGTCACGCTCCCTGTCACGCTCCCGACTACTCCCATCGCCGGTGTTTGGGCGGTCGCCTACAGCGGTCAGCGCTACCGCCACCGCTGCGATCGCAGCAGACGACTCCGCAATGGACTGCGCATCGAAGTCTTGGTCCGCCTCGACTTCAACATCCTCCTCCAGGTCGGCAAATGTTCTGCAGAGTGGACAGGAGAAGGCGGGGTGATGCGTCTCAAGGAGGGGGCGGATGCATTTGTAGTGGAACGCATGTGAACAGGGTGCGATGAAGAGGGCCTGGTGGATCGTCACGCCAAAGAGACCTTTAGGATTAGGTGAGATTAGTGGACCCCGAGCGCAGATCGGGGAGATACGTACAGATGCAGCAGTCGGGCAGCGTGGATTTCGATGCCACCTTCTTCCCGGAAGAAGTGGACTGTTGTGGGATGGCGATCGATTTGAGTTGCCTCAGGGCGTTCGCGCTGTAGAAACCGTCAGAACATATCGGAATTCAGCAGGAAAGACAGGACGTACTTGAAGGGGTTCGTGTGGTTTTGCCATTCTCTCCCAACCTCAACCTTGATCTTCACGCACTTGTAGATGTCCTCGGTGCCGCCCTGGTAATCAACACCCAGTTGGAGAAGATCGCCGTCCTTGAGCTCGTGCGGACGTGACTCGTTGTTCGCTGGCGACAATCGAACATGGTTCAGGAAGGTTCCACTGCTCGACTTCGTGTCCCTGATGAAGAACCTGCCCCCGGCTTCAACCCAAATCTCCGCGTGCGCGCGGGAGACGACCTTGCTCTTGAATGCTAGCTTGTTGGACCCCATTGCATTGGCTGCCGCTAGCCCCAGTCCTGAGCGGTCGGTGAATCGGCCTATACGCAGTGGGGTATCGCTCTCGCGCACGTCGCGCGAGATGGGGTCGAACCGAAGAGACCGGCGCGAGTCCAGATGAGGCACGAGGCGGATGCGGTGCGCTGGCCCGCTGCTGGCGGCAGGCGCGGACGACGATATCGCGGGGCCAGTGACAGTGCGCGCGACTGCTACGGCGGGGGCATGGGACGAGGCAGCGGCGACGGTACCTGCGGAGCGTCGTCTGCGAAGCATCTGGGAGAAGCCGGGGGTTGAGTTGGACTGCGAGATGGATGGTTGAAGGTTCGAGGAGGCTGCTGCTGGGCGACGACGGTGGCCTGAAGCGTGGTCGACGGGGGCAATGGCGGGGGGTGGAGAGTCTCTGGTGACGGCGTCGTGGGGTGGAGAGGGGTGAGACTGGGAGGTGCCGCGGGGTCTCCCGCGCAGAAAGGAACCCAGAATGGACTGCCGGGCAGAGGGCGAGGGATCACCTAGTGTGACTGGATCCATCGATGGGGAGGCGTGTTTGTTGTTCTCGTTGTTCTCGTCGCTGTTGTCGCAGTTGTTGTTGTCGTCGTGGAAAAGAGCGAGGTGGTTGAGCTGGACGGCGAATCGTCGATCGTCCAAGCTCCGCCAGTGCCTTGGCGGTTTGGCGCCGTCAGCCGCTTTCGGCTCACGCTCGTCTCTTGCCAATTTCCCCCATCTCCTCCGACTCTCTGTGCTGCAGCTCGCACCGCTCGCCCTTCCTCAGCCCAGCGTCGCCAGTCAAGATCTTTGTATCCGTGTTGCGGCAGGCAGTGTCTCCTATCACGGGTTCATCGCCTGCGCTCGGACGCTGCGTTTTCCGACACTCTCGATCTACATGCCTCCTCCTCGTGCTCACAAATGAACGGCGCAGATGCGAACTCCATTGTATGGAAGCTTGCTTTACAATCACTTTCGGCACCAAACGCCCTTGCATTCCCACACGCGACGTAATCTGCGCGCCCGTGCGCGTCCGGCGGTCCGAGCGCATTCAGGAACAGCCTTGTTTCTTCCGACCCGGGATTGAGCGCGCAACGGAGACAAGGCTGCAACATGGCGACGGGCACTACCGCAGTATTCATAAACCTCTCAATTGTTGTGCGGATTGAACATCACAAGCTTCGCGGGTCGACCTCAGACGTGTCGCCAGAGCGTTCGAGTGGTGGACATCCTCCGCCAATCCTCCGCCTTCGATCGAGCCTCAATGAATTTAGCGCCGAGCCACAGAGGCTAAAAATCGCCTTGCGCTCCGAACACCCGAATATATTCTCCTGGACAAACATAGGACTGATTCGGTACGTCCCCCTAGAAATGACCGGTGTACGTCGCTGCTAATCACCCAAGGTTCTTCTGTGACACTTTGTGCGGCGACCGATCATCAAGGACATTGGTGCCTAGACAAAGCACGGCCATGTGTAGTCCTACGTTGGACTATGTAACCTTGCCCAACTTTTAGCCACCCCACCCCGTACGTGCAAGTTGGTCCCGCAAGAACTTTACACAGGTCTCTACTATCGCGGCAGGGAATGCATATAGCGACAAGCGATGCAAGTCCGAATGCCCTGCGTCCTCTACGTCTCCGTTCGGCTCTCAGGATCTCAGTCGGCAGGGACATTCCTGGTCATTATGAACAGCTCCACGCTGCAATCTCGACCGAGAAGGTCATAAAACGACTCGGAGGTATGACGCCCAGTGTTTGTGTGAGGTGTGTCCCGTTACACTCCCTGTTGCGTAATAACATCTTGCTTCCTTTTCATCCTACTCTTTGCCTTATGCACGTATTGATTTCTGTTGCCAGCGGCGCACTACGATTGGAAGGTAGAATTTCAAGGAATCAGCATGCATGGCACACCACAACAAACCATTTCTCCCGGGGAAGGTGTCATTCAAATTCAAGCTGCCCGGCCGTTGTGTCCGTATGTCTCCTACGACCCAACATGTACGACGATGCATGGTACTACACAAATTATGATATAATATTTCTGAGTAATCCTGTCGCCGTTCGATGGCCGTCTTCATACGTTGTGTTTGGGCATCCTCCATGACGAGCTGCCAGCATATCGCGACACGCGAACACACCTACTGCGAGTCTCCAACCACCACAAACTCGACATGTGTTTTGCGAGGACCGTTCGAAATCCTCGTGTTAATAATATTGTTGCAGTAGACACAGTGTAGCCTAGACCCAGAAACGACCACCTCCATGTGCTCCTATTTATGCTCATTACCGTCGGCCGTACGCTTGTAGGTTGTCGGACGATGATATGGACAGGACGGACGAGTGCGGGGATGGCGAGGACGGTGACGACAAGGCTGCGTTCCAGAACTGGACGGCGGGGGAAATTGGGAGCGCGTGATTGGGTCGGGGGAATGCGGCCGAAGAGACCGGGGTAGCTGGCGCGCCCGGATGCAACCCTCCCCCTCCTCAATCTCGTGCGCCGTTCGTTCCGCCTACGCCCCCTCTCTCCTCGTCCACCACCTCCCCCTCGCCATGCAGTCTCTCGTCGCCGCACGCACCAACGTATTCCGGAAGTCTGCGCGGGGCTTCGCGTCGTCGGCGGCGCGCGCGCAGGCCGCGCCCGTCGAGAAGCCCACCTTGAACAAGGAGTTCAAGATTTACCGCTGGGTATGTCGCAACCGCCGCTCTCACCCGCCATATATTACACTGGGTACTTAACGTGCTTGTGTGCTGCTAGAACCCTGATGAGCCGTCGAAGAAGCCGACGCTTCAGACCTACTCCATCGACCTCAACCAGTGCGGTCCTATGGTGCGCCCGCTTTACCTCCTTTCCGTTCCTTCCCGATTGACCATCCCGCCTCCCGTGTACATAGATTCTCGATGCCCTCATCAAGATCAAGAACGAGATTGACCCCACACTCACCTTCCGGCGGTCCTGCCGTGAGGGTATTTGCGGCTCCTGCGCCATGAACATCAACGGCCAGAACACGCTGGCATGCCTTTGCAGGATTGACCGAACCCCGACCAAGGACACCAAGATCTATCCTCTCCCCCACAGTGAGTGAATATCTTCCGTTATGTTGGGTTGCGGGACTCACGTCGTTGCAGTGTACATTGTCAAGGACCTCGTGCCCGACCTCACGCAGTTCTACAAGCAGTACAAGTCCATCGAGCCTTACCTGCAGAACGACAACGTACCGGCGGACCACGAGCACTTGCAGTCGACAGAGGACCGTAGGAAGCTGGACGGGTGAGTGCTCACTCGTGAATGCTCAGACGTAGCATTCCGCGTGCATATATGCGCGAAATTCGCTACGTTATGACGAGTAGATCACGCGCTCGTATACACACACTGACCTTCTGCCTTCTTAGCATGTACGAGTGCATTCTGTGCGCATGTTGCTCGACATCGTGCCCCAGTTACTGGTGGAACCAGGACGAGTACCTCGGCCCCGCGACGCTCATGGCCGCCTACCGCTGGATGGCGGACTCCAGGGTGAGTAATTCAACCTCCGCAACAGCGAAGCGGTTTTGTGACACTATTTGTAGGACACCTACACGGAACACCGCAAGGAGAAGATGCAGAACGAGATGAGTCTCTACCGCTGCCACACCATCTTCAACTGCGCCCGCACCTGCCCGAAGGGCCTCAACCCTGCCGCCGCCATCGCCAAGATGAAGCTCGAGCTCGCCGCGGAGTAGAGCTGTGCACCATTTTTTGCAGAGTGAGTATAGCCTCTACGCTTTAGACGCTATGAAGGAAGCTCACCGGAAGATGAACAGCAGAGGTTCCATCCCGACATGGACGAGGTTGGGCCCAGTGAGCGCGAGGATCGGACCGTCCAGAGGGTACCTACAAGGTCGTACACTAGTCCCTCGTTGTGACATTTTTAGTATTATCAGCATTCACATTTTGAAGCACTTGCGGTGGCCCGAGCCTCGACATATAGTCTTGAGTTCGCTTCGTACGCCACGGTGGGGGAGCGACGGTCGTGGGGTACCAGCCAATGGCCATCATGCTATCTGACAACGTAGGAGGCGCCCGCCGGATATCGATCGTCGACGGTCGTAGCCATGCATACTCATCTTTGGCTGCGTTCATACCAGTTCGGTGAAGGCGGTTATATCTGTCGGTGAGCTTCTGTGAATAGCTGTATTCAAAGAGGCTTTACCGTCGTATCTGACAGGAGTCCGAGGACCGCAAGCATGCGAAACTGTCCCACATCTCGTGGAGGATTGCATGTGCGGGGGAAACGTGGAACAACGACGTTGCCTGTGGTCCTTCTACTCTCACCCGTGTTGCTGGAGGATTCATCTGCATCCCGCTATCTGCCCGGTATCGCTTCGTCCTTGCGAGTGCTTTGGGCCGTGTTCCCACCAACGCCCGGGCCGTCGCGTCAACATGCGTGGCGGGTGCCCACGACCTCTCCAAAGCTCTAGCTCGAACTCAATCGCAGAAGGGATCCCAATTCATTCGAGCCGGATGAACGCGACTTTGGGCCTGGTCTCGGGCCAGATAGGAAGGGCAGCGCGCAGGTTCTCCTGGTGCCGTCCCAACGGCCCCCGCGTGCTACGGCGTACGCAGGATGTCGCGACTTGGCGCGATTACTAGACGGGGACCCTGCACGAACGTGACCCCGCGAAGCCGTTTTGGCTTCGTTCGTGCGGCGTCGCAGTCGTCAGATGGACAGGACACGGGGTCTCTCGACCCGCGCCGACCTGTCTCGATTCCGACTTTTCCCTGTGACAATCAAGACCTGCGTTCTTCTGTGATCCTAGGTGTTCTACGTCGACGTCCGGAGGAGGGGATTCGTTGCGAACCGCACAGGTTGCTGGAGGAGCTGGGAATTTCCAGGTATACATGCTCCGTTCTATTGCCAAAAATAAGTTCGAAGTATCCGCTGACGCCCTATCCTGCAGGACCTGTAGCCCCTTTGAGTCGGTCCGCCGTGTCTTGGATGCTAGTCTGCAGCGACGTTCTCCTGAAGTACGCTGGTCAGGAGGCGGCCTCGTATGTCTGTCACGCCCCCGATTACACCCGGCAGCCCTCGGGCGGCGCGATGACATCTCTCCGCAGCCCATGTCACCCACCAGACATTAGCAACGTTGGCACTTGAGTAGCACGAGAAGCCCGAAGGCTCGGCACCCTGGTGCGCTTTACAAACCCCTGAGCGATGAGAGGACGCTTACATACATCACGTGCAGGTCCGCGGGCGATCGTAGCGTCCTGTGTCTATTACTCAATGCGCGTCGCCCGCTCCATTCACACAGAATATCCACTGGATCCGTGATCTGCTGACATGGGTAACGCACTCTGGAGTTAGGATTAGGCCGCCGGGCTAAGGGGGGAGCGAAGGGCCCGTTTCTGTACAAATACCCGGCATCCCATTCGCACACCCTCCTTCGAGCCCTCATCTGCTCTCTCTATCCCTCCTCTCCTCCACATCTCAGAAATGCCGTCCCCGAAGGTCTTCAAGTCGCAGGACAACGCCGTCTACACGACGTCGACTGGCGCCCCTGTCGCGCAGCCGTACGCTGCTGAGCGCATCGGCAACATTGGGCCCCTGCTGCTTCAGGGTACGCCGAGCTCTGTCCCTCGCTATGACGCAACCGATATTGAGTGATCCGTCTAGACTTCCACCACATCGATCTCCTCGCCCACTTCGATCGCGAGCGCATCCCGGGTGCGTATCATATCGCCCTGATTAGTGTGGGCCCCGCCACTGACGTCGGCGTCCAGAGCGCGTCGTCCACGCCAAGGGCGCTGGTGCGCACGGCTACTTCGAGATCACCCACGACATCACCGACTTGTCATGCGCGGCGCTGTTCAAGAAGGTCGGCACCAAGGCGCCGGTGACTATGCGGTTCTCGACCGTCGGTGGCGAGTCTGGTTCCGCGGACACGGCCCGCGACCCTCGTGGTGAGTAGATTGTCGTGTCGATCGTGCTCCCCGGGTGTAGGCTCATGGGGATGCAGGCTTCGCGATCAAGATCAAGACGGAGGAGGGCAACCTCGACTGGGTGTTTAACAACACGCCGGTGTTCTTCATCCGTGACCCCGCGAAGTTCCCGCACTTCATCCACACCCAAAAGCGCGACCCGCAGACCCACCTCAAGGATGCCGACATGTTCTGGGTAAGTTGGCACTCAGTATGAAAATGATCGTCTGCTCACAACGTTGTGCAGGACTACCTGTCCCAAAACCCCGAGTCGATCCACCAGATCATGATCCTCTTCTCGGACCGCGGAACCCCCGACGGCTACCACAACATGCACGGCTACTCCGGTCACACGTTCAAGTTCGTCAACGCCGAGGGCAAGTTCGTGTACACCCAAATCCACGTCCGCAAGGAGGGTGGCTTCAAGACGCTCACCGACGCGCAAGCGACGAAGCTCGCGGGTGAGAACCCCGAGTACGGTCTCCAGACCCTCTTCGAGGACATCGACAACGGCAAGTTCCCGGAGTGGAAGGTCTACGTTGTAAGCAGACGTCTATTTCTTGTTGCTACGACATGCGATGTTGACTACGGCTCCAGCAAACGATGACTGCCGAGCAGGCGGAGAAGTTCCGCTACAACATCCTCGACCTGACGAAGGTGTGGCCACACGCCGAGTTCCCGCTCCGCCCCGTCGGCAAGATCGTGCTCGACAAGACTGTCGAGAACTACTTCGCCGAGATCGAGCAGGCCGCGTTCTCGCCCTCGCACACCGTTCCCGGTATCGAGCCCTCCGCGGACCCCGTCCTCCAGTCGCGTCTCTTCTCGTACCCCGACACCCACAGGCACCGTCTCGGCGTCAACTACGGCCAGCTGCCGGTCAACGCGCCCATCGCGCCCGTTGCGAACTTCCAGCGCGACGGTGCCATGACGTTCGTCAGCCAGGGCTCGCGGCCGAACTACCAGAGCAGCATCGTGCCGCTCCAGTACAAGCCGAAGGCGTACCAGAACATCGCGCACGAACACTGGCTCGGCCACGCGCAGGCGCACCTCAGCGAGATCACTGAGCGTAAGTGCCGAACATCTGCTTTCGGGTGATCGCTTTCTGACCTCCCGCGTCTTATCTAGTTGACTTCGAGCAGCCCCGTGCGCTCTGGCAGAAGGTGTTCAGCGACACCGACCGCGACCACTACGTCAGCAACGTCGCAGGTCACCTCGGCGGCGCGAAGAGCGCCGAGGTCAAGGCCAGGCAGCGTACGTCCATTTCCATATTTTGCGCCCCGTCCAGCTTGCTGAAATGCTCCCTTACAGTGTCCGTCTACGCCGCCGTCGACCAGACCTTGTCCGACCGCATCGCCGACGCCATCGGCGCGCCCCGAGTCAAGCCCCTCAAGGTCAAGCCGGCGGCGGAGGCCATCCGCTTCAAGGTGTCTGGCGTGTAAGTAGCGCTGCATCTTGGGTGGACTTGCGTGAACGCGGACAGTTGTGTGTCATGACATATATCGAGCAGTGCATATCCTGTGTTGTACTAGTAGAAAGGAAATTGATGTCCAAAGTTGTATCACTATCATGACACGTCCCGGGCTGAGGGCCTGAGGCTTCGATGGGTGCATATGCCGCACATTCTTACCAATCTGCGCTCTCGCTGAAAACACCTGATGTGTGTGCGACATGGAAAGGAATATGGCGAGACAACGGTACGTGGTTGAGCTGGCGGACGGATTCGAGGATGGACTCGCAGTGCCGATTTGATTCGGCAACACCCACTCTTAATTGTGTGGTCATTCTGTTGATAAAAATGATAGAGCAGATGCGCCTGCAGAACACACGTCTCTCTCTGTACACCGAATGTAATTATTGGCTTTCCTGTGTCAGTTGTGCGCGAGCCTGCGCCTTATGTACGGGGGCGGCAGGCACTGGAGGGGCACAAGCGCCTGTTTCGGATTCCTGGTGCGAGATTGGGCGCCTAATAGATGGCGGATGCGGGCGCTCGAGAGAGATAAACTGTACAGGACCACTCGGTAACTGCCGGGGCGAAACCTTGCAGTAGTGTAGTCTACCGATTTCAGCGGCTCTAGCAACTCCAGCAAGTCCTCAAGCAAAATGTCGAAACGCGGTACGTACCCATCCTCCAGAGTGTGGGGAACCCATGTCTTGACGATGTACTGACGCTGTCGTGCGATTTCTGCAGGTTCGTACTCGTCGTTCTGGCTCACTGGCTTTCCGTCTGGTCCTGACTTTGCGGCTCCTCTCTTTCCTGCGGTGCTTTGAACAGGTGCGGGTGCCTCTGGCAACAAGTTCCGGATGACCATGGGTCTCCCCACGGGTGCCGTCCTCAACTGCGCGGACAACAGCGGCGCCAAGTCGCTTTTCGTTATCGAGGCGTACGGTACCGGCTCCCACCTTAACCGTCTCCCCGACGCCGGTGTCGGTGACATGGTTGTTGCGTCCGTCAAGAAGGGAAAGCCCGAGCTGAGGAAGAAGAGTGAGTCTCATATCATCTGCCCGGGCGGACGAAGAAGTATGCGCAGTAGGGCGCACACTGAAGGAAGCTCGGGTGAATATCCCTGAATCGCTGCTGATACTCTATGTCTTGTAACTAGCCATGCCCGCTGTCGTTGTTCGTCAGCGCAAGGCGTGGCGCAGGCGAGATGGTGTCTTCCTCTACTTTGAGGTGCGTAATATCGGACGTTAAATTCACAACCGGAGAACTCAGCCTTGTTCCAGGACAACGCCGGCGTTATCGTCAACCCTAAGGGTGAGATGAAGGGCTCTGCCATCACTGGCCCCGTCGCAAAAGAATGCGTAAGTGTCGTTCCGGCTTTTTATGACGACGCCATGTTTACGATGTTTGCGTATTCAGGCGGATCTCTGGCCGCGTATCGCATCGAACGCAGGTACCGTCGTATAAGCCCTTCTCACTGTTGTCCTATGCTTGTATTTCGTATGGTTATGACTGCCACCACGCTCTCGGCTCTACATGATCATGACCAAGCTCTTCGCGCGATCGACTGTACGAATGTCCTCGTCTCAGGAGTCACAAGAGCACGCCAACTTCACTCCGTGTGCGGCTGTCAGGCGGTAGCGTACTGCTAAGTATACCGCGCAGGCTGTTATATCGTCCAATTGGGTGCTTCGGGGAGTTTGCCCAAGGTGATTGTTCTTTCATCTTCGTGGAGGTGCATTTGTTTGAACAACAGAGGTCAGTGAAGACGTCCGTCAGGGAGCTCGGACTCCGTCCCTTTCAACTAGCGTTCTTGCAACGATTGCCTCCCTCCTAGCTACCCCTTACGCAATGATTAATGAGCCTGCTAGGCATGGTTGCAATATATCACCCGGTCTAGTCTTGTACATCATTCCAGTAGCCACTGGCCTCTGCCACAGCAAACTGAGCAAAGTCTGGACTCCGAGAACGTACGTATATACGTCGTTTGTCGCGGTCGCGGCCTTTGGCAAAACATAGTCGGGGTAGCAGTTATCGATATGGCACCGTGCGGTGTGAGCTATGCATATATGCATATATCAGGATTAGAGTGAAGAAAGTAGCTCGAGGAGGACGTACACGAAATAGGCACCTGGAATTTCGAAGAGAGCGAACCAGGCCCATGGGCGCCTCACGTCTTCGCTCTCTTCCACGACTCTCCGCTCGCACCTCCAAGGCTACCGCCTCGACAGCCTCGATACTTTCATGGAATCTCCCACTCAAGTCTCGCCATTAACACCGCATGAAGCGGAGGCCTCACAGGGCATCCCGCCCGACGCGCTGAATGAGCTGAACGAACATCTTTCTTACCCCGCGCCGTCCGAAGTTACGGTGCCACTAGCCTCGTCCTCGGCATCCTCTGCGCAGCCACGAACAATTCTCAGGGACAGATTATACGTTGGGAATCTCCACCCGACCGTGGACGAGTGCGTTCGATATCGTGCGTGACGCTGCCGCCCTGCTGACGTCGCCCCCCGCAAGATATGCCCTATTGCAATTGTTCTCGAAATTCGGCAAGGTCTCGAAGCTCGACTACCTCTTCCACAAGGCCGGCCCGCTCAAGGGCAAACCGAGGGGCTACGCGTTCGTGGAATACTCCAACAGAGACGTACGTCCCTTTCTCCGCTCCGCAGCGGCGCGCGCTCACCCCGGGTTTCTTTCTGCATGGCAATCGTACCCGTACACGACCACATGCACACATGGTTTCCGCTTGAAGCGAAACCCGGGGTTCGCGGCCGTCCCGTCAGCAGCAGCTGACGTTTGAATCACCGCTACTTGCTAGGACGCGGAGAAGGCGCTAGCGCACGCGCACGACAAGCTCGTCCGAGGCCGCAAGCTCGTCGTCACGTACGCGAACCAAGCGCCACTTGACGCTTCGGGCGCGCAGGGCCCTGCGTCCAAGTATCGCCGGCCGGTCAGCGACGTCGGCAAGCCCACGACGCTCAGCATGCTGAAGAGCGCGGGTGCAGGGCGATCGAACGCGTACGTGCCCTGCGCTAGTGTACTTGCCATCATGAACCCCGTCTGAGTCCATCTGTCCGCTGCAGAACCGATGCCAAAATCGCGCGCATGGAAGCGAAGCTACGACAGCTCGAGACTACCTCCGCCGCCGCCGAGGACTCCAGTGGTGCAAGCGCGGGTGCGGGCGCGTCCTTGTCCGGACACCCTTCGCTACCGCCCAAACCTGTCTCGGGGCCCATCATTCCCACATCACGGCGTGCGCCCACAAATGCTGCGTCGGCACCGGCACCCTCCCGCGACAGGGGGCGAGGGCGGCCTCTGCCCATTCTCCCCATCAAGCCGGCCATCCAAACGACCAGCAGACCGGCGAATACACCGCTTGCGACGTCCTCGATGTCTACCCCATCACCCCCGCGCGCTCCGCCCTCTCGGAAGCCGGCGCTGACAGGTGTACGTATGGTGAAGAGCAAACCCAACAAGAGCAGCGGGTGATCCGAGGACCGAAAGGATGGGGTCTTTCTTGTGTTCATTTCTTCGGCTATCGTGGGGTCCATTTCGGTTGTACTTGTTCGGGGTGTAGCGCAGACGATGGCAGGAATCCCGCTGTATGTTCGTAACCCATCTCACCCAATCCTTGGCAGTATATCGGATCAGTACGCGCGCTTGTCATTTCCTGCGGTCGCGCGAGAGCGAGGTTCGACTCCCCGCCAGGGAGTACCTTTTGGCTCTCTTCCGCAGTACCAGCAAGCTCATTGTTACCCCAAGGACCTACTTAGGACTTCCAAGGAGACACGATGTGAGGCTCAGCACGCTTGCCGAGGTGCGAGCGTTCTTGCGAAGCGGCCTTTGACGCTGGGCTCCATGCGCGCCCAATGGGGCATTCCATGGATGCAGCGAGGCCGTCGAGGCGGTAGTTGTGGCAGCCGCGAAGACCTGCAGAATATCGGCGGAAGGGACCCCGGGCGGCAGAGAGCCTGAACTGAGATCGCCGTCACCGCACACAGCGCCCAAGCGTGTGAGAGAGCGCCTGTCGACGCTGGAGCGTTCCCGCGAGACGCGTCACTTGACGCTTGCGCCCATCCACGACCGTCCCATTTCTCTCATCCCGCGAGCCTTGTGAGGGCGTCCGCCGGCTACACGGAGATACTGTCTTCATTGAATGCTTGCACGTCCGCGATAGCGCGCGGTACATCCGGTTTCATCGCGGTAAAGTTGTTGCGATTCACTTCCGGGGTCGAAGGGTCGCTGACGATTCGCATGTTCCGCAGGTTATGGGAACGCTGGACATTTGCCAGAAAGCTTCGCGATTCGCCCGCGTCAAACCTCGGCTCTTTCATATGCCATGTTCGAGGCGGAGTACGTGTCGTATCTGGCCTCGACCCGAGGGTCAATGGAAAGGTCCATGCAACTTTTGGGGCGCGCCGGGCGTTATACACGCACGACCTTGGACAGGGCACTCTTCGAGACCAGCACTCAACACTTCGGGGAGTGCGCGTGTGCGAAACCTCGTTCGATCCATCAGTTACGGAAGGCATGCTAGAATACGCTGATAATTAAACCGCATTTGCGCAGACTATCAAAGGCACCGGAAGGATCTTGTGCATTGATGGTTCCACGAAATTGGCACGTCCGCCTCGAGGATTCCAGGCGGAACTGTGCATCAAGCACCGCTCCAGAGGGATCCCTGTCATTCAGGATATGACGATGGCGCGCTAACCGTACATGGCATGTACCGCGCAGCTCCCCTTCTGCCTATGTGACTCGTTGGACTCACAGCGCGACCGTCTTGGGCGAAACCACAGGCCCGGAACCACATGGGATCAGCGCGCAGGCCCTATTGAACGCCTGGCGTTCTCCACTTGCCCACAGCGGAAGGAGACCCACAGCCACGCTGCCCTTCGCTAGATGCTCTTTCGCTCTCCGCTTGCCGCCCGCTGCTTCGCCGCCTTTGTTCTGGCCACTCGGCGCGCAGGGCAACGCGAAGAAGCTGGCGGGCCTTGGAATTGTGGTCTTTCTTTCGACGATCTGACGGGGGACCTGCTTCTCTGCGCAAACCTACCGCTCCTCACGCCCGCGTCTGACATATCGGGTCCCATCGTCGTTCGTGGGTCGGCCTACGCGGCGGATGTGCCGGAGTCCCCATCCAATGCCCTCGCGCGCGCACGCCAGGGCCCCCGCGCGCCGCGCGCGCGCACCGTGCTCGCCACGCTTCTCAGTGCATCGGTCCAGATGATCATCGGTTGGCCGGAATTGGGCGTCACGTACACTGCGCAGCGCGCCGGAGCAATGCATGTGCATGACCGCACGCGGCATGCCCACGGTCGCGGCGGACGCGCTCCCAGCTCTTCCGGACAGGCACGCGCGGTGTGTCAATTTCCGATGGCCTCGCAGCGAAGCTCAACCATCGTGCGGCGGTATAGGGTGCGCGCCGTGTCCGTGCGTCGCCGCGCGTGAAGGCTCGTGTTCGCGATCCCAGAAGCAAGGCAGCTAACGTTAGTGCTGGTCATCGGATGAGACCGAGGGGAGTGGGCGGAAGGCGTAGAGGTGGTGCAACTGACGACACGCGCGCCATCTGAGGCGTTGAGAGAATAGACGAGAAGCGGAGAGCATCAAATCAACAGAAGTAACAAAACAGCAGAGGATAACGAGACTTGAAAACGGAGAGCGGGAACGGGACGATGAGAGCATAGTTGAGAACCGAAACGGACGTTAGCTAAGAGGAGGAGAGCAGGATACACTTGACGCAGCCAGTGAGCAAAGTCCAACGACGCGAAATTGAAAACAGCGAGACCAAAACACTTGCCAGTGTACAAACCGAGAATCAGACGATGGCCATCCAGATGGCCACACGAGCATCATTCCTCCTCAGACGTCTCCCTTCTTTGACACGATCCTCCTGGTGAATTCCACAGGTTTAGCTTTGGCGTTGCCAGGGTGTTTCGACTTGATATGCCTCAGCGTGGCGTCCGCGCGCGAGTACTCTCTATCGCAGAGAGAGCACATCGATATCACGGCGTCCTCTTTCCCCGCCTGCGCTGCGCATATCTTTTTGTGTCGGGAGCAGTCGGCGACGCGGGTGAAGACTTTGCCCGGTCGTGGGCACGTCGCGATAGGGCACTTGAACGCCTCGGGGTGCGTAAGTCGTTCCTGCGCCTCCTGCCACTTCTTGACGGCCTTTGAAGTCTTAGTCGCTTTGCGACCTCGCTTCAAAGGCAGGCGCGGACTAGCGGGTCTCGAGCCGCGGAACGCGCCCTCCCCGGTGTACTCGCCAGAGCCGTCATCGTACTGGTCCTCGTCCTCGTCCTCGTCTTCGCAGTCACTCTCGTCTTCCGCATCGCTATCAGACATGTCATCGTCGACCGACATGTCGCAGGTAGCATGCGAGTGGAGAGTGACACGCGGAACAATCGCGCGCGCAGCAACGGCAGAGGAAGGGCGAGTCGCGGCGGCGCGCACAGCACGAGAGGGGAGAGGGCTGATGAGCCGCGAAGTCGAGGCCGGGCGCGCACCCGATGTGCGTCGCACGGCCGACTTCGCACTCGATGTGCGTCGCGCGGCCGACTTTGTACGCTTGCGCGTGCTCGCGCGCGACACTGGCGGGGGAGGTGGAGACGGCGGGGGAGGCCGGGCAGCTTCGAGTTGCGCGCAACGGGCGGAGCGGCGCTGGGGTGCAGATGCAGGACCAGACCGCTTCTTCCGCGTTTTGGTGTCCTGCGATGCGGCAGGGGCGGGCACTGGGCTGCTCTCCGGGTTGACATTGTCGCCGTCGGGGCTGGTCCATGTCGGCGAGCTCTCGCAATGTGGTGCCGCGAGGTCGACGAATCCCATATGGGGAGGCGAAGGCGTGCCAGTTCCGGCGACCGAGACGGGTGGGTAGGGAGAGCCGGAGGTATGCGCTTCGAGGTCTTTGAGCTTAGCGAGATTCTGTAGCGCACCAAGCCTGACATAAATGTCCTCGGAGCAGCTGCCATGAAGGCCGGGAAGCGGAAAGGCGCCGCCTTGGTAAAGAGGATATCCGAGGGCGCTAGGGGGGTCGTAAAAATCGAAGTCGTCGAAGACGCTGGTGTAGGGCTCAGGGGTGAAGAGTATGTCGCTGTCGGCCGAGGAAATTGAAGGGCTATATCCAGAGGTACTCGAAGAGGGCGACGAGTGCGGGTCGGGTTCCGGAGATCCCTGAGGTGCCGGGTGTTGAAGCCATTCCGTGAGCGCAGCTTGCACTCTGTCAAACCGTTCGCATGCGTTGTTGAGGTCGGTGCCCCAGACAACAAGAGCCTCCTCTCGGGTCTGCAGTCAAAATACATCATCGTCAGGGCCGTGATGACAATCGAACAGTGTAAGCACCCACCAAAAGCGCAAGATGAGTGTCGGCAGGGGAGACGTCGTTGTGCTCCCAATCTAGCACGCCGATGCTGACATCTTCAGATACGTTGAGGTACCCTGTCGGGGTCGCACTATCGGTAACAGGTTCAGAGGAGTTCGCAACCGGTATATGTGTGGCTTACGAGGCGGGGAGTGCCGAACAGAGTGCCCGAGACGCTGCCGTATGCGACGTGATCACAACGTCGGGAATCAGTGCCGTTCCGGTGATCATGGGCGCCGCAGACTCGTGAGACAAAAAACGCCCTCCTTCGAGAGAGTACTCTCTCTGGTCTTGGTGTACGTATACGGCGTGCGTTCCAGGATACGAGGTGTACAATGCCGCGAGTAAGGGGAAGGCGTCGTTGGGCGAACCCATTGCGGTGGAAGGCGGGGGGGAGGGAGCGTTTCTTTACTGAGGGTGGTGCCGAGCCGTTTAAATCATCTTCTTTGTGGGTCCACCGCCGCCCATGAAGCGCCAGGGGCCAAGCAATACGTCCATCCAGCACTCCTGGGGAGGTTCCCGGACCCGGGAATACCACACGTCGGACCGGGAAGCAGTACAAGAAGATGGGATCGGCGTATCAAGCGCTAGGTGCAGCGAGAACAAAAAAATACTTATCCTGGGTTTACAATAACTTGCGCGGTTCCTGGGGTTGCAGGGGCTTCGTGCACTTGTCGGCCCTTCGAATCCTCGCGCACGATCTACGCCATGAGAAGCGTATCGACGCCTCTCGACCGATTAGGGATCGCTCTCCAAGGACATCTTCCGGGGCCGGTGGCACATCGCGTGTAGGACACGAGGCTGGAGGCGCGAGGGAGGCGAGTGCAGAGCTTGGTCGGGCTCTTAGTGCCCCAATGAGTGGTGATGGCGATTGCACCCGCGGCCTTGCACGAGTGGCGAAATGTGGAGAATTTGCCCTGAAGCGATGGTGCATATCAGAACAAGCAACAGGCTGCTCTTTCCAAAGCAGGACGGGAAGCGAATCCAGAGCAACCCTCTTTCCGATAGACGGGAGAAGAGTACAAGGGCAAGGAAGGGGGAGTACGTGAGATGAACGCGGGAACCATCTCAGATCAAGGTCCGACAGCGTCTCCGACGCGCAACGGGCGCTGAGTCGGCGATCTGGGCAGTGGGCAGCATGCAGCGATGGCACGGATTATTATCGCGCAGCATCACGAGGTCAGAGGACAGCCGACGCACCTAACCGACGGCGCTATGCATGAGAGACGGACAGCAACGTTTTTGGAGGTTGATTGCCAACGCAGTGGGTACGCCGCCGCCGTGGGCTCCGTTCGACGGGAGCTGTCGCATCGAGGCCCATCAGCGCTCTGAGTCAATGCGGCGCAGAATGGCAGGAAAAGTCTCCGCCAGACCGTGAGCGTTGATACGGGGAGACTGTCAGCTGGCCTCGTTCCCTAGGGAGAGGCTCGACGACTCACCTGGCCTAGAAGTGCGATGGGAAGTTGCCTGGTCGTTTTCTACCCGCTGCTTATGGACCGGTGCCGTACAGGTCGATAACGGCGTGGCGGATAGCATCAATGCATGCGGCGCACTGATGAGGGACGTCGCACTCGTGACGGGCGGCCCTCGGCGCGCATCCCACGGTGGGCGCTTGGACCCACACACACCTACAGATTGGGTTTACTGCCGATTTCGGCAGAGCTCGGAGGAGGAGTCGGGGATCTGGGCAATTGGTTTAGGCAACGACCGGCCCAGCGTCAGCCGGCCGTCGGGATTGGGCGCCCAGTATTGCACCTGTGATCCCGCAGTCTCGCCGCCCACCCACGGCCATCTGGTCTCGTTCCTTGAACATCCAGCTGGTCCGATGCGTTTCGTATCCTTCATCTTCTTGTCTTCTTGAGACCCTGTATAATCATTGCAATCATCGCGGCGGCGTCGAAATCATGGGATCGTACAGATGGACTGTTGAGCGGCGGTCTTTGCGGCGGAATCCATCCTATCCTGGACGGTCTAGCTGCATCGCAAGATCTGGGGCAGTTCGCAATTTAACCACCGACATAAGGCCTGGTTGGCGTGCACTCTTCCGTCATTGTGCAGTGTGGTAAATGAACGGTGAACCCGTGCTCTTACGGCAGCGGGGGCAGGGACCAGGGCGTGCAGAACCTTACCCCCATTTGGAAGCTTCAGACCAGGACACTCCTTGGAGGTCTGCATCGTTACGATGTCGACATATCGGATCCCCTGACAGGCAAATCCTCTTATTGTACGCTCACAAGGCCCCGTAACGATAGGAACGACGACCCTGCGTGGTGCTCGGCCCTTCGAAGGGCATGGAAATCGGAGGCAACGCGATACAATAGTGAGCATCTCATGCGGCATTGGCTTGCATATCACTTCTCACACTCCCAATCGCGCCCACGAACCAGCCCTCGGCCTTCGTGCTCTCAGGCTTCCAAAGTATGCTTCAAGGTTAGCGGTGCCACTTCCAGGTTTTCACTTGTCTTCGCATGTAACGCAATCCGCGTGCTTCCATCTCGGCAACTCTCGTAACCCAGTTCCTATTCCCGGGGCCACTATCACTCCAGGATCACCCCGCTTATCGCCAACTACAGAGAGAGATGTACACGGGATTCCGCTGATCCTGCACAGGTCTTCGCTGTAGTTTTGGGCAAGTGGTGCCGGGCGTTGTACGTCCTGAACCCCAGACGCGCTGCATTGGATGCCGGAGGACGCGCCTCCGCCCTCCGTCTGACTCGTCGATTGCACCCTGCGCGCTGCACTCCGCCGGGCGCCGGAGGAAGCGTATGTGGTCCACCTGCCCAGATTCCCGCAGAATAAATCTGGCACAAAGGACTGTATGGGATCTTGCTGGATCTTCGAAATTGTGGTTTGATTAAAGAGTGCGAGTGGTCGAGAAGCACCCCGTGAAGTTACGCTGATCACCCGAAAACAGCTCCCGTATGGCCCGGCGCTCCGCTCACACACCTCACCGCGCCCAAATCCCCATCGTCCCAATTGTCGAATGCACTCACGCCCGACCGGAGTCGGGCTCCCTACGGCTGACATTGCGTGCGCGGAGGTAGGCTCGGTACAGACGAGTGCGTGCGAACGTGTTTTTTGCGGGAGACCGCACCGCGTTCCGGAGGTACCGCGGCATCTGACGCGTGTAAACCTCATGACGATCTCTCACATCCGCACTGCGTGGCTTCTCCTCTGCTTGATTTGGCTTACCCGTTCTACAGGTTCCTCCGAGGGCAGGGTGTACGGAAACAGGTACCTCGGGTACAGTCTCTACGCGGGCAAATTATCGTTTTCATCCGATAGATCAAGCCTGAGAATCCGCGGACCAGATGCAAAGATCAGGCACTGCATGTGCACCGAATGCGGCGCATACCTCGTACAAGAAGAGGAACCTCGACACTGCCCACCTCGGGCTCGATAGACGGGAGAACGACGACATGCACCATGAAACGTGGACACGCGCTGACGTTGCTGAGAAAAAACAAAACGTGCAAAAATTCGGGGGGACATCATGCACTTATGGAATGTCACGCAGCGCTGGCGTTGCGGTCCTTGTGTTGTCGGAGTATGGGCTCGACTTCTCAAGGCTGGCCAGCATCACTCGGCGGCGCAAGGAACCATTCCGCAACAAGCAAGTCGCCCACTGTCCGCGCTCTTGCGAAGAACAGGGGGCGTCCTCCACATTCTCGCGCGCACAGCCCTCTCATCGCCATCTCGTCCTCGAGGTAGGGCCTCCTGTCCTAGCAAACCGAGTCTCGCGTGTATCGTCACCAGGCTGCCACGCCGCTCGCCGGGATGTCCCAGCTTGACTCAATGTGACTTTGCACGACAGCACGCCCGCGCGAGCGATCTCGCCCTCGACGTCAGCAGCTAGCGTGTCCGCCCGCAACCTCGCTGTCCGCATCTGCGCACCTAGATCCGCAATGACCATATCACGAACTCTACGTTGCCACCGATTCAACGCCAGCGTTCTTCGGGTTCAACCTTCGCCGAGCGCCGCCCATCCCCAAACCCCGCCGATGGGTAAGGTTTTATTGGGGGGTGCATCATTTCACGAGGCATGCAGCACGGAAGGTCGCCCGAACATGGTGCCGCGGGCGACTGCGGCTCGTCCGCAGGTCAGCGGCCTCTATGCATTCCCAACATTCAAGTGCTCTACGGGCGCCTTGCATGCTTAGCGTCGGGATCTGGGGGAGTCGGCGATGTCGAGGAGGTCAAGGGTACTCGAAAGCGCCAGCGCCGAGTCTAGACTAGGCGCGAAGTTGTGACCGGCGGACACGAGGGAACTCACCTCGATATACCTCGGGACCTTCTCTCCGAGCGCATGCGATGGACCATTGCAACGGCGCTTCCGTCGACGGGGGCTTCGGGCTCGTGCCGTCCTCGATGTCGTCGCTCAAATGTGAGCATAGCAGGGCCTCAGGAGCGACCAGGTTGCCGCCTAGGGCGGTAGAGGTAAATCTAGCAGTAAGCTCAGAGAAAGTACATCCAGTGCGCCGTGCAGCGTCGCGTATTCTGGACATTGAGACAGACATCAGAGGCAGGATACAGGGCCGGGCACAGCTGATGTGCGCGGGGACCTATTGCCACTGTGTCTGCGGTTCAAAGTGTCTAGTTTGCAGACTCCAGGTCGAGGCAAGTATGCCCTTCCAGCCGAAATTGAAGAGGGCCCCAGGAGAGCGTGCTGTCGAGTCGAGCCATGGGCGGGGTGAAGCGACCGGCGACGTCGGCCGCAACATCAACGTTGTCGGCAACATCCGCCCCGGCGGTTCGTAGCAGCATGGCGGACAAGCGCCCGTCGTGCGCCTTGTTCTCCTCCCGCCCTCCTCCGACGCGCTCTTGTTCAGAATATCCTAGGTTACGGCTAGTATCACAATATACACATTGTCTCCACATGGCTTGGTCCCTCGTCGTGATATTGCTATTACTTCGCCGCAAAAGTCGCCACCCAGATGTCCATCGTGCGGACGCTTTCTCCCCTGCTCTTCAGCAGTCCGTATGCTCCCTGGACGGAATCTCTGGCGGCGAGGGCCACGGATTTCTCCTTCTCGTCCTTCACGACGCTCTCTATCTCGCCTAGGAACTTGTCCGACAGCACCCAGCCGACCTCCCACTTCCCGTCCAACATCCCGTCCGGAGGGCTCAGGATCATCTCCTTCTGGACCGTGAAGCCCGCAGCGTTGGCGACGTTCCGCAGGCGTTCCGGCGATAACACGGTGCGCACGTTGCTTGTGGAAATTGGCTTCCTGCATTCGAGCGACGCCTGCGCCAGCGTCGCGAGAACGTGCGGCACGCCGCGATAGTCTGCGGCGGTGAGTGAGTACTCCGAGATGCACACGCGGTCGGCGCGGGAGAGAAGTGCGGCGAGGATGTCGGAGACGACCTGAGGTGTGGCGAAATACCAGGTGCACTGCGCCAACACCGCGGTGGTGTAGCGCTCCGTGGTACTCTGGAGGAAGTCAAGCGGGTCTGCCTGGACGAAGTTGATGCGCGGGCCCAGCGAGGAGGCCTTCAGATGCGCCTGCGCTTGTCCCAGCGTAAACGGCGATCCTGCGCAAACCCGCTCAGTAACGACGCTATAGGGCGCAATTTCACATGCATACCATAGTCAAGGCTCGCGGGGTCTATGGCAGTCACAGATCCGGCGTCCCCTGCTGCCGCGGCGAGGACGATTGTGCAGTCGCCCTGGCCGCAGCCGATCTCGAGGATTTTCTCTCCTGGCCAAATGTCCCATGTCTTCACAAGCTGCGCTCGCTGCTCGATCTGAGATCGAACGATGTGCAACTGCCCTGCGCCGTGAGGGTATAAGTCGGCGAGGGCGTCGAGGTCGTCGGCGGACGGTGGGGGAGACATGATCGACACTTTCGTATCAAGGTCGACTCAGGGGCGCGCTGTTATATCCCCGATCCTGACTCCTCACTCTGCTCGATCGGGTCCGGCGACAGGAGTCAAGGTGCGTTCACACTTACCGTCCCGGTTCAGGCGGCATCACCGGTACCATGCGTCGTCGTCGTCGTCGACCCTTCCTGAAGGGGCACGGTCTCGTGATCGCGCCTCGTGGGGTGCATTCGGGCGGAGGCGTGCTTAGATGGGAGTTGCATGAAACTCAGATTCTTTCAGAAATCTACGCTGTCAGACTACGTGCTCTACACTTAGTCCTTCTTTGACATAGTAAACGAAATACTGCGCTTCGGGCGGGACAGTACCATCCCAGAGCACGTCGAACGTAGTGCGCGTCAGGAAGCTGTGGTCTTCCCAAGCTTCGCCTGGGAAGACGACCTCGGTAATGAGGCACGCGCACCGCTCCTGCGAAGCGTTCGACGAAGCCGCGTCGAGGTCTTCCTGGAGAAGATGGGATATCCTCCACACGCCCGTAGGAACGAGCAGCCGGAGCAGCTCGTCGGGGTGTACATTCGGGCCCATGACCCATGTATAGGGCTGAAGGTTCGACGACTCCATGTGCAGATGGAGAAGGCAAAGGGGAATGGGGGTGGCTACGATGGGGCCATCAGCATGCTTGCAGAATATTCAGGTACTTGTGTATACATACCGATAAGCTGGATGTTGCGAGGTACATAGAGTCCTACGGCGGAACGTCTGCAGACGGAGCAGAATGTGCATCTTGCGAGTCGTCCCGTAGATCAGGAGCAGCACGGGAAGCCTTGTCCACGACCGGCTCCGTGGGCCGAGCGACGACGCTTGCGGGAGCGGCAGCCGCCGTTGCCGATGGTTTTGCAAGGTGCGCTACGTGAGAGGTGCTAAGGGACCATGAGTTGGTATTAGTAGTTGTGAGAAGAGGCAGCAGACGAGGACTAACGTCGTTCCTGGCTTGTGCTTGACGCGAACGAGATTTCTTTTCAACGTAGCTGCATGTCGGTGTATCTGTCGTACGTAGTAGCTGTCGACGTAGTCCGAGTGAACTTTGAGCATATCCGCCAGATGCGAGATGTCCGGGACGAGATCGTCTGGGATGCATCTCTCCATGCGCATATCGTCGAAAACGGCAAGCTTCCATATGACGGAGTCGAGATGCTTCGATTCAAGGGTGATCCGCACCTTGTCTGCCGCGAACAGCCCCAGCAGAGTACGAGTCAGCTCGGCCACGACGTCCCGCGTGCAGGCGCACACTGTCTCCTGGTCGTAGGGAGGGAGGGATGGTATCAAGTGTCGATTGGCGGCGCACTTCAGAAAGTGGGTGACATTGTGCAGATACCTCGTATGAGCGGCCTTCGCATCGTCCAAAGACGCCTTTGTGAGGCGCGACTGCTCGAGACGGACCTGGCGATATGCCCCGACAACGGCTGGTCAGGAGCTGGAATAAGTACACGCGAAGCCGCGAGAGGGAGAACAACTTCACCTAGCAGCGAGACGTTTCTTGGTGGTTTCTGACGTTCCATAATCAAGCTTCTGCCTTCTATTATAAGGCGATCTCGGTTGACGAACTTCACCGCAGCGGAAGTCTTCATGGACTCAAGGTGATCGGCGATAGCATTGCAAGTGGACACTACCCATTCTGCGTCGGACGCCTGTATACCGGACGACCACGATCCGCAAGCGAAGTAGACGCCCAGGGCGGCTACTTCGTCGTCCGGCAGAGGTTCATGATACCGCCGAAGTACGCACAAGATGATCTGGAGCCAGAGCAGTTGCTGTTGATTACCCCACCCCAGGGGACCATGCGGTGAGTCCGCTGCAGCACCGAAGTGCTCTCTAGCGGACTTGTGAAGCTGCCGGAAGTAGTAGACGACGTCGCCAGAGTCGAAGCCCATGAGACACACGGAGGCGGCCGAGAGGGCGTCAGGGTGCAGGGTGGCGCTGTATGCCTCGATGAGGATTTGTGTGTCTAAACGACGTGCGATGCCGTCGATATCCGACCGTTCCCGTCCCTGCCATGTCTGCTTGGGGCCTTTCCAGGCCTCTGGTGGCGAAGCTATGATGCGCCTCAGTCGTCGAGTCGTACTCCGTGCTTGACAACTGAGAGATTTCCAGTGCGCCAGTGAGACATACAAGCGGAGACGTTGACGGAAGGTGTATAGCAAGTGTTGCGCGGAAGTGAGAATCCTCGTCACGGTATGATGCCCGGTCGATATCGAAGTACAGACCCAATAGGCGTATCGCTTTGGCTGCCAGATGGAGTTGATTGCGCGGATTTGGGGGGTGAGATACGAGCACTGGTGGTTGACGAGAGGGAGCAGCGTGGTGACGGCAGTGAAGACGCCAAGGAGGCAGACGAGTGTCGATGCGACGGCTGCAACGGTGCCATGGAGTGACCAGAGAAGGATTAGAAGTCCAGTGAGGAAGAGCGCAAGGGCGAGCTGAAGGAGGACGGGGATGGTGTTGACGACGTCCTCTACGTGCCATGTCCTGAGGTGGTTCAGGCGGTACTGGCGCATCTGCGCAACGGAACGAGCGTTTCCGGAGACACCGGCGCTATACTCGTTCAACCATTGCTTGACCATGATGCCTACGGAGGCGGAGGCCAGGCTGAGGATGAGACCGGCGAACCATAGCGCGTTCAGCCAGACAGCCCAACGCGGGACAGGGGGTGGTGAGTCCGCATTCGCGCGATCAGTGCTCGCCGGCTGGGTGGAGTTAACGAAGGGAGGATTGATAGAGAAGCTCGCGAGCTGAGAGGATATTTGTTGCAACACGGCGAAGGAAGGATCGGGGGCGGCTGGCTGGAGCAGGAGGTATGACTGCACATTGAACGTGGTGAGGACGGCCGAGAAGAGACCTGCCTTGAGATGCGTCGCTTGGTCAACGATACGATCGTCAGCGCAGCCAATCGAGTACGTACGAAGACCAGGTAGGTGTCGATCTCCTCCTTCCAACGCTTGATCATCTCGTCGCTGTACTTCTGAACCGTCTCGGTCGTATCCTTCCAGGCCTTTGACCTTTGCTCTTCCGTGTACACCTTGTCTCGTTTGCGATACATGTCCTGGGTCACGATTGAAGATCAAAGAGTCAAGACGGGCCACTACGCAGTACAGACATACATACATATATATTTCCTTGGACGGGAATTTCTGGGTAGTTCCGTGCCGCACTTGGCTCTTTTGACCCTCCCTTGAGACGTTGTGTACGCCTCAGCTATCGGCAGAGAGCACGATACACAAAGTACTCACAGTTTCGCCGGGCTCTGCTTCAGTGGGAGACTCCCGTCCAGACGGGTTGGGGTCGTTAATATGGGGCGGCTCAGTGGGTTCTCCCACTAAGAGCGGGTCCGGTTGATGGTACTCAGACATTGAGAGACAGCCGTGTAGCGTGTAGATGAGGGATGTGCAAGGCAAGTTGCAAGCCACAGTACGACTGCGCCGAATGGAGACTCAGATCTCAGAGCGCTCTCGAGCGTCTACATAAGTTCCCAATCGGGAGCATCCTCCCTCAACACCTCCTGCAGAAATCCTCTGAATATTAATGCCATGTCCATAACTCAGATGTTTCCCCAGACTAAGCCCGGGCGGGATGGACGGGGGCGTACCATCGGGACTCGTCGACGTTCGTCCCTGAAGAGATACGGTCTTCGTAGGGCTGATTCGAGCAGGGGCGTGCGTTATTATGAGATACGGCGTTCATTCAGGGATTTGTGCCGTCAAACAGCCTACTCTACCCTAGTCCTTCTTTACATACTCAATGAGATACTGCGCCTCGGGGGGGACAGCGCCGTCCCAGAGTGCTTTGAACGTAGCGCATGTCAGGAAGCCATGGTCTTCCCAGGCGAAGCCCGGGAAGACGACCTCGGTAATGAGGCACCCGCACCGCTCCTGTGAAGCACTCGAGGAAGCCGCGTCGAGGTCTTCCTGGAGAAGACGGGACATCTTCCAGACGCCCGTAGGAACGAGCAGCTGCAGTAACTCGCCAGCGTGCACGTTCGGGCCCATGACCTATATCCAATGTGACATCGTAAATGAGCAGCTCTATACACGGATACTCGGGTCGCACCTTCTTCTCAATGGTGGGAGGGCTTCCGGGCGTGATTAGAGTGTACTCTGCACGGCCTTGATGGAGAACGTGCATCGTCTGTAAAAGATTCTCAGGAACGTTACGTCAAGGGACACAATTACACGTAACTTACCGCAGACTTATTCATGTGGAACACGCCGTTGGCCTCATCTGGGGTGAGCAGATAGTGGATAGTCGTCGACAGGGGGCGCGGTGCTCCGTCTACCAGTGAAACCTTCAGTCAGTCAGGCGCATTTTGCGGCGGACGAGTACGAAGATAGACATACTCGCGAACGGAGATGGGACTTGTTCTTCTTGACGGTCTGTCTCAACAAAATAACCTGTTAAGAGATAGAATGAGTCCGGTTAGCTCGTCGCGGAGAGGGCGCGCGCGTGTCCGTAGCACGGACCTCCTTCCGGATGCTTGATTAGCTTGAGGTCTTTGATAAGCACCGAGTTCGGGATGGCATACGAGTTGTACTGCGAAGACGCGTTTGTCGACATGTTGATGGTTTACTTCTGGAGCCTCCGTCGATAGGTACGTGGCAGTAGGTGAACAAGGCAAGTCGAGTGTGCCTATCTTCGAAGCGCGCGGAGGGGATCGATAGCACCATGATCGAGGCAATAGGATTGATTTTTTTACAAAGCAAGGCGACTATACCGGGTACAAGCCATGCACGCAACGCCGCTATGCGCGCCGAATCACAAACATGGTACGACTATCACGAGGAATGGGGAGACTGCGGCCGCGGTCTTTGATGGGCTATCGCGAGCCCGAGTGGGTTGGGACACTTCAAGAGACCCCGGCAGAGGACTCACCTCCGGACCAACATAGTATCCTAGGTGAGGATGTTTACCGCCGTGCGCACCAGATCGCGATCGCCTTCGTATGTCAGCATTTGGAGGGCCTCCTCGATAGGATAGAGCCCGGCTTCTCCAAAGCCCTCCAAGGCCATGTGGGTTCCGCGTTCCGGAGCCGATGGTGCGCTTTCCTGCCCGCTCGCAGCGATGTCGACGCTGCCGATGTACCAGAATATAAGCTTCGCCTCGCTGAGGCTGGTAGGTCGAATCGTGATCATGAACGGCTCCGTGCCACCTTCCACGATTCTGACAATATCCGACTGGAACGCAATCGCGGAGGGATCGACAGGAGGGGGAGCCCGCGTCGGAAGTCGAGGCACGGGGTGTATATGGCATCGGTACCCAGTCTCTTCGAAGACTTCCCGAATGGCTGTGGCGGCGAGGTCTTCACCTTGATCTTTCCGGCCTTTCGCGAGTAGCCACTCGTTTTTGCGCGTGTAGTGCACTAGGAGAACCTTCTCTGGCCTGTCCTCTACGAATTCGAAAGAGATGGCCCCCGCGGATAGGACGAACTGGGACGAGGTGAATTGTGACTGCGTGCGGCGTCCTGAGCACTGTCAGTGTGATACGTAAAAAGAACAGGCGCCGACTACGCACTTCGCGTGAAGACGTTCTTGACCACATAGTATAGGGTCGGCATTGTAATGACTGCTGCCGCCGTTCCTAATATGATCGCATACGTACGACCACCACGAAATGCTAAACCGATATAAATTGTGAATATAGATATGACACTGGCACAAGCAAAAGCGAGAGCGTACTGTGCAAATAATCCATCTTTCTGTCCAGGGATCTGCTATGTTCAAGATATCGAGCTGAGATGTGTTGTTCCTACGCCGGATGTGCGTGTGCGTGAGCACTCAGCCGGACGTTGTCGAGGAGGAGGTCGCGGCTAAAGTCAGAGAGCACACTGAGCGTCTATTTCCCAGTGCCCAATCGGCGCTCTGTAAGGCCACGTGATATGACACGACACGCGACGCGCCGTCGCGACCACGTCGCGTCCTGCCACAACAGCCGCGGCGAGGAGGTTCAGCTGCGGCTGCCTGCATCGCTCTCCCACGCATTCCTTCTACCACCAACCACTTGCGAGACATTGTGCGGAGAGCGACCTACAAGAACACACAGTGTCTTGCGTCTGTGGCTAGTAGTGCTTACGAGTCTGTTGAGAGCGATGCCAAGCAACACCACGAAACCCGGCTTCTACGCCGTCGCAAAAGGCCGAAAGCCTGGGATTTATACGGAATGGTAGGCAGTACGACTTACTTGGAATTCCCGTACTGATAGCTGTCGCATAGGACCGACTGCAAAGCGCAGATCTTAAACTATAACGGCGCGAAGTATAAGAAGTTCCCGAACCCCTCCAAAGCTGAGGCTTGGATCCAGGGCAACGTAGGGTCTGACGTCGCCCGCGCGGCTATGGAGACCTTTCTGGCATCGAATGCGACGTTTCGAACCGACGTGCTACCTCAGACTGCACCCGAAACTCACTCCGCCCCACCAGCTGTATCTACCGCAGCAGGAGGTCCGTCATCGGCGGCCTCAATAGACGGCGAGCTTGTGGTTCAATCGGCTACAGCAGCAGCGACATCGCCTTCGAAACCGTTTGGGCTGCCCGCAGAGGGTCAACCTTGGATTGTTTACACAGACGGCTCGTGTCAAGGAAACGGCAAGCCGGGCGCGGTGGCCGGGATCGGCATATGGTGGGGCAAAGACGATCCGCGGTAAGTTTTCCGCGTCTGGACTTACATACAAGCACCCACAACGTTTCTCACGTTTATGTTTCACCGCCACCACGACAGGAACACATGTGAACGCTGCCCCGGTGATCAGACCAACAACCGCGCGGAGCTCATCGTAAGTACTAGCCGCGCACACACACAAAGTGGCGCCTCTGCTCACACCGCGCTTCGCGGACTCGGAATGCAGGCGATCATCCGCGTTCTAGAGACGGCACCTATAGACACACACGCGCTCGTTATCAAGACGGATTCGTCGTATAGCATCAATTGTGGGCACTTTGCTACGTAATTGACGGAAGGCTAACTCACGGGTTCTCAGGTCTAAGTGATTGGCTCCCTATGTGGAAGAGGAACGGCTGGAGACGTAGCACCGGGAAGCCGATCTTGAACGTTCCGCTCATAAAGTACGCCGACGCTCTGCTACAAGAGCGCCGCGAGTCCGCGAAGCAGCCGGTGAGTGCGCAAGCACCTTCGATATCTTTACCAGGGGGGAGCGTCTCATTGTTCATCTTTATGTACCTAGGTGGATCTCGTGAAGGTCCTAGGACACTCCGGTGAAGAAGGGAATGAGGGTGCCGATCGACTGGCGAATCTCGGTGCCACGATGCCTACTGTGCCAGATCGCGACTGGGCGGATCTCATAGAACAAACTCGAGCTCGTGTCAACATGGTTCGCCCGGCTCAAGGGGTAGCGATAATGCAAGACACCGCTCGCAGTGACGTACCCGTCGCTCGGGCACCGCTCACCAATGGGAACATTGGACGACAAGCTCAGGTCGACGTTCCCAATGTACCAGCAGTGGAGAATGTGATCAACCCGCCCGAACCAGCGGCAGCAGATCGGAGAGTCGTCGTACCACGACGTACGAAGCCGGTCAGTGCCGCGAAGTCATCGGTATCCGCAGCAGCCGCGAAGGCACCTGCATTGGTTTCAGACCCGCAAGACATCGTGTACGGTGATCCCAATACTAAGATCTCACCCGAGGAATGGGATGTGCGTACCACCGTCACTCTTGATACAGCTGCATTCGCTGACCTTGCGCTGCGCCGACCAGCTTTACGCGGCTTGCATCCTCTCGGACGAAGAGTTCTTGGAGGAGGCCGAACAGCAAGGCGTGTACGACTAACGCTTCGTAGTATATATATGGGCTACTTATCCCCGTGGCCATGGATCTCAACTGGTCTTGTGCGTCTTCCGTCTTGTATTGAGCGTCGGTGTATTACCAGTATGCCCCACAATGCAGCCTATGGTTCGAAACAGAGTCGGCCCCTCCGAGTCGAATATTGATCACACAGTGCGGGGCGCTTGCATGCTATCGAGCACTATCATTCACCGGTACGTATCAACACGTAATAGCCTACCTCGTTGTTGACCTCACGGCTGCTTGCCAGGTCGCATCCCTCGCTTCGAGTGAGTGCGCATTTTAGTGTTCTGATACACGTGCGGCATGGTATACATTCGCCTGCTACTCCGTGCACGCCATAATTCGGCACCGTATGCCCCCACGTGGGTTGCATAAACAACCTTAATATCTGCATTCTCCATACCCCTGAGGCTGTCTTGGCCCCTCGCAGCTTCTCTTCCGACCACCATGACGACAAACACCACCAGCACGTTGATCCGAGGACAGTACACCGTTCAAGTGACGATCGAGCCGCATGACGAGCAACCCCGTTTCCTCAAGAACATCTATATAAACGCCCAACATCCGACTGATGGGCGCGTCGGATCGCTCGTAGCACTCGAAATCGACCGCGACAAGTGCAGGGGAGACCTCATTTGGATCTTGGACGAAGAGTCGCAAGAGCTGTCTGAGTTCGCCACGACTCTTTTCGACAAATTTGGTAGGCTGAAGCCGGAACTCGTCGAGCACGAGCACCTGAAAGGGACCGGCGTATGGGGCCGCGAACTCGATAGCGGAAAGATCATCTACGTTGTGTCGGTGGACGTAGAGGAAAAGGTCAGGGGCTTTGAGCGCGTCTTATTTTTCCAACGGTCAGCGCTAATGTTTTTGAGCAGTTCAGAAGGAACGGTATAGCATCTCTCTTGCTACGCGAGGTCGCCCAGCCCCCGCTAGCCTCGAAGGGTACATTCTTGTTTGCATGGCCATCACCCATCGGCAGTGCCAACAAAGACGAGTGGAAGCGGGAACGCGACGCTGCTGTCAACTTGTTCCACAAGGTGTGTCCAGCTTTGTGTCCCTGTTACCGCAATGGAACTAATCAGGAACCCTTTTAGAATGAGTACCGTCGCATCGGCAGGACTAGTTTCCTAGCGTATGCGCCAGACACGTCTCATCCCTCCCGCTCCCTCCCTGCTGGGGACGATGTTGAAAGCCACGCCGCTACCTTCCAGCCGGCCGCTCAGCCCGCCCCTCCTCAAGGCGCGGGACTCAGGGTCCTCCCAGATGGGACCATGGCCTGGGGAGAACATCAGGCCGAAGATGCGAACACTGAGAATGACGCTGCCTATCCATTGCACTTCATGATCGAGTCCGCCGCCCTCGGTATCCCCGTCCGCGATATAGAAGGCGCCATTCGCGACGCATACAGCCGAAACCCCACTCTTATACACCAGAAGGACGATCGCGGGTTCACTCCCCTCCACGCCGGCGCGTACGCCGCCAACCTCTCCGCCGTCAAAGCCTTGCTCGCATTGCCGGCGGAAGCCAACATTGCGGACGATCTCTGTGAGCGGGACAACGTCGCGGCACGCACGCCGGTGGAGCTCTGCGAGCAGAAGATGCGCGACCTGAAGGAAATGATGCAGAGCCTTGTCGGGAAGTGGCCGGGACACAGCGAAGATGCTCTCCGCGTCGTCTTCTTGCTCAAGCGCGCTGCAGGAGAAAACATTGTGGTCAGCGAGGACGCCTTCGTAGCTACGCGCAAGTGGGGCTGCACATGCGGCCAGTGCACTGACGGCTGGCTCTCTCCGCGTATGCGTTACCGCCTGCTAAGTACGTGCGCACTCTTCCCGTGCAACTTATTACTGAGATGCGCTATAGCCGAGGCGGAGATCTCGTCGGACGGTATGCAGATGAACACGTGGGGCGCGACATCCGCCGGATCGTTCGAGTTCGACTTAGCTGTCGGCTATCTCCCCCCTGAGGTCCGAAAGCGGGTCACGAAGGCAGTCTACCGGGACTACACCTCCGTCGTCCGGACGATCGCGGACGTCCTCAAGAAGCCAGCATCAGCAAAAAGGGCGATTCGATGCAGCGGGCGAGAGAGCGAGATGGAGGCGCCAAAGCGATGGAAGCGCCCGCCGCCTGCGCCGAGGGATGGCAAGACCTTCCAAGACGCTCTCGCCACTAGGCGCATACGACGGGGCATTGCATTTTCAAATCGGTCGATACTGTATTTTGTAGGACTTTATAGCACAGGGTCGTAGACCACAATACACTTGTACTCAGAGCTTCAAGTCGAGTCTCTTAGCCCGACCTGTCACGTGACTGAAATTGGCATGACGCGGTCGCGTCCAAGTCGCGTCTCCCTTGGACTCTCCCTCGATCGGGCCCCCTGCAAACTTGTTGCCCTACGCCCTGCGCTCTGCGCTATATAAAGACCACTGGAGCCCTCGACCCTGCTCGTCGCTTCTTTCCCTCGTACCACCATCTGCGCCCCGGGCCCCCCATCTTTCCTCACCCTTGCGTCTCCTTCGAAATCAACACCCGGCCCCCCTTCGCCCTTCCTCGGCCGCCATTTATTTGCTATGGTACATCATATATGGGAGAATAGAACCATAAGGTGAGCACCGGTAGGCCTCAATGCACCTTACAGTGTGGTGAGGTGATATATTCGCATATATGCGCATATATGGACATATTTTCCTTGTATGCTCTCGCTGTCCCTCTCGCGCGTGCTCGCAAAGTCAAGCTACGGTCCTGCACTTACCGGCAACCCTCTCTTTCGTATACATCTATCCACACCGTACGTGTTTTCACTGCTGTTCTTTGACAGGCTCTGGCTGAAGTCCCATGGGCGTTATTGAGGTGCGTCACCCCTTCTTTCCTTCCGTTCGGTCTTATCCTCATCTGTGCTCACACGGTTACGCTCCCTGCCGCTCGCTTACTCGTCTGTGGGTCGTCTCCGGTTGCGTACTCTCCCGCTCCCCCTTGCACACTAGTACTGACGTCCGGCTGCGTGCGGTGCACTTCATCTATCGTGTAGTTCATTCGTTTCAAATATATATGATCTTCTTTATACTTTCGCGAGCGCCCGCACATTTTTCGATTGCGCGATGAGAGCAAATAATATCTGTATGATTGCGCGCGAGGCTTTATAATGTACTGTAAGCATGGTCAGCCACTGCAAGACCCTGTGCGGGCTATTGTATTGCACTGGAGCTGTCCGCGCGGCATCTGACAATACGCTGCCGCCTGCGATGGATGCCACTAGACTTCGTGGATTCACTGTAATGATTAGACGTACACTACTTGTGCGACAGGGAGATACTTATGATCCAGCGCTATCCAGAGGGCTGCAGACTGTATACCCTGTTTCGTGATGAGGGCCCGCGGGTTTACCAACCGCCGCAAACGTCCAGGCAGAGCTTCTCGGGCGCGCTGGGTACTTCTTCGGGAAGGGCGGCAAGGTGGAACACGCGATGGACTATGTCCTGCACTCGGCCATGGGACAGTCCCCGCTCGGCGATGGCACGTGGGACGACCTCCAGGAAGAGTGCGCGACGGATGGTAGCCGCGGCCCCGCAGCGTATGCTGCGATGCCGACGTGCGACAACGACCTCGAGTTTCTCTGTGTGGCGGACAGGCTGGCTCTTGGGACCATGGACAGATACCGCAGTGGTGGCGGTGTATTTGACGACTCTGATTCTGATGATGAGATGGACGAGGACGAGGACGAAGAGGACGACATGTAATCCGAACTGAGCCCATAGGTATCCTCGCGCGGTTGCTGCAAAATGCGACGAGTGGGCGGATATAATGACACTCCTGGGTCTCTGAATGAATGTCAGGACACTTGAGCCATGTTCTATTTGGGCGATTCAATGACTACTGCAGTACATACGCCCCTACACATCAAGAACGTCCTGCATAACCGAAACCCATGGGTCCAGGTGGGTCCCCGGTTTATACGTACACAGCCCCACGGGCCCTTTACCGTACAATTCGTAGTCCTCGAGAGTAGTGAAGAACGCTGGGAGGTTTAAGTTGTGGCAACCAGGCGGTTGTTTGTGCTTGTTAAGATCCCAAGCCTCCGCCTTCCCTATTAGGGATTCTTTGCAACGCCGATATGGGCGCTAATATTCCTGTCATTTGTCGGGTGGGTCTTAGTAGGCCACCGCGGCAATTGATATTTCGGCTCTCCTATGTTATATACTCTCTGTTACTATCGTTATATTGAGACCCTTATCTGAACGGCCTGCTGGGAGCCTCTCATAGGGCAACTTCTCCCGTTTCTATGTCGCTACGAGTGAAAACTGGAAACGTTCGGCAATCGTACCATCTATAACTGGTCATTTGAAATCTCGGTAATGTAGTGGCATACACGGCAAGGCACGCAACACGGGCGGAGAACACTAGGTCATAGCAATACGCGGAGGTCGATCGTCGCTAATCTCATAGCTTTCTAGATGACCCAACTCACCCTCCAGTCACGTCGACTCAAAGGACAGACATCTTATCATCCTTATGAGCGGCATGATATCAGTTACATGCGGTCTTTTTGTTTTCCTGCACGCCACAATTCTAGTGCAGGCTAGCACTCTCCATTCCTCCTGCCAGTGCCCCTAAAGCCCGGTCGGTACACCCCTATCGATCACCTTTGCAATATCCCTGTCAACTACCACCATGACTACGTCTACCAACATGCTGGCCCTAGGGACATGCACTTGCGGTCAATGCACAGCCGGGTGGCTCTCTCCGCGCATGCAACACCGCCTACGCAGTACGTGCCCATCACTATCTTGGTTGCGGGGCGATCTTAAGACGTGTTACAGACGAGGCTGCAATCGCAGCGGATATGATGGATTTAAACACTTGGGGCGCCACCTCGACCGAAGTGTGCGAGTCCGAGCAATCCGTCCTCCATCTCCCCCGCGAGGTTCGAGGGAGCCGGATCACCAAGGTGTTCTACAATGACTACATAACCGTCGTTCGCGCCATCGCCGACGTTCTCGGCCAACACGGCCTCGCAGGAGTGCCCTCCGCTGCCAACGTCGAGGGAGAGCTGCGTGGGCAGGCGCGCCGCTTCTTCGGGAAAGGCGGAAAGGTCGAGCACGCGATGGACTACGTCTTCCATTCTGCCAAGGAACAATCCCCGCTCGGAGACGGGACGTGGGACGAAATGCAGACAGAGGCGGCGGCGGAGAACGAGCCCAGCGCCGTGGCGTACGCTGCGCTGCCGACCTGCGACAATGACCTGGCGTTCGCCGACGTAGCAGAGAGGTTGGGCCTCAGCAACGCGGACGGTTTTGGAGCTTCGGCGCAACTATCCCGCGACTTCAGCGACTTCGTCGATCCCGACGATGACGTGATGGAGGGGATCGAGGACGATGATGGTGCTATGGCCCTCGAGGACAGGAGGATTGTCGACTACATTGTACAGGCTTTCAGAGAGGCGAGGGGAGGGCGTGTCTAACGCGAATGGCCGCAGTGCAGATCAAACTGGGAAGTACGGATTCTCATACTGTTGTTTTGTGGTAGTATCAAGTTGCTTGCGCCCAGACCCTTGGAATTTCTAGGATCAAGCGTCATTGCATCATCCCGTTCCCCGCACTTCGGTGTATGGCTGGTAGTAGAGGCATGGCCCCGCCGGGTACCGGCGTAGGTGCCACCTGTGTCTGTCTAAGGTGTCATGCTTGGTTCGCGCCAGGCCAATGCGTCCTATAGGCCGTACAACGTGTATATAAGAGCAGCTGGGTAACCCATTTCGTGAAACTCACCGATACCAATTCCCCCTCCTCTTCCGCCATGACGCTCTCAGATGCGCCGCTCTCTTTCGAACAGCCCATCACCGTGAATACTCACTCCAAGGCATATTCAGAAGGTGACAATCATTCAAGGGAATGTGCCATGCTGCGGTATGTGTACGTCAATGTTGTGGATGACAAGGAGGGCGAACTTGGCACGCTGCGCGCACTACAAATTCACCGAGACACGCACCACGAATATCTCGAAGCCTTGGATGTCGATTCACGGGAGATGTACGAGTTTGCCACGACGTTGTTCGACGAGTCCGGCGATTTTAGGAGTGAGCTTATGGAGGACGACTACCTGAGGGGCACAGGCGTATGGGGCCGCGAGCTGGACAACGACGCGCCTCTCTTGTACATCAATTCGATTCATGTGGAGAAAAAGGTAAGGGTCCAATGGAATTCCGAGCGTATTCCAAAGCTGATTACTCGCCCCACCGTAGCACAGGAGGCGAGGAATAGCATCCTTGCTCCTGCAAACGTTGGCGCAGTCCGAGTACACCACACCTCAAACGTTCATCTTTGTTTGTCCCGTGCCATCGTTTGAACAAGACACATATGTGGCGTGGAGGAAACAGACACCCACCGACGCCGCCTTGTATCGTAAGGTACGCACTGCTTTGGCCGCTCATGAGCTTTGCTTGTTAGCTCATTCACAGCGCACCACAGAATCACTACCGCCGTGTGGGACGGACCAAATACTTGGCCTACGCACCTAACCCTGGGCATCGCTCTCGGTTGCTTGCCGTCGAGGACGACGTCGAGTGCCTCAACAAGGCTTTCCATCATTGGCCCTCTCAAACCGACAGCGTAAGCACCCTCGGGCTCAATCGAAATGTTCGCTTGGAACTCACTGGTCGATTCCAGGCGTCATGTGCTGCGAACGCCTGGTTGCATCGGATGATTGAAAGTACGGCACAGCCATCTGGCCTCTCAACGGAGGATGTTGCAGACGCTATCCGAGAGGCATATCGCCGGGACCCAGCTCTGATCCGCCAGAAGGACAATCGTGGCTTCGCACTTATCCACACAGCCGCCAATGCCGCCAATTTGCGCGCGATACAAGCCCTTCTTGCCCTCCCTTCCCAAAGCGGAGTTGTGGAAGACGCGCTTTGTTCGATGGAAAACCAAGCAGAACGCACCGCGGTTGAGCTCTGTGAACATTATATGCTGAACTTGAAGCACCACGCGCAGACGCTACCGGACCAACAATGGAACGGCCACAGCCCTGACGCGCTGCGGTGCGAGATCCTCCTGAAGAATGCGGAAGGGTTTGGTATGATCACTCTATCGGAAGAAGCGTACATTGCCAGTCGCAAGTGGGGCTGCACGTGCGAGAGGTGCACGGATGGCTGGCTCTCCGAACGGATGCGCTACAGGATGTTGCGTAAGTCTCCTTGCTTCGTCATACGTAGATGCTCTTCGACTGACATACCATAGACGGCGCTGAAGTGGACGCGGACATCATGGATACCATTGCCGAGACCGCACACAGGGGCGCCCACTTTGACAAAGAGTTTGCGGCCCAGCATCTCCCGCCAGCAGTCCGTAGTGGTGGCGTCACCAAGCTCATGTTCCAGGACTATGCCGATGTCGTCCGCGTGATCGGCCTCGTCCTTCGCCAGCCAGGGACCGCGGGCATCCCCTCTGTCGACAATGTTCGCCATGCGCTCGGAGGGCTGGGAAAACGCTTCTTCGCCAAGGGCGGCCGCATCGAACACGCTTTGAACTACGTTCTCCACGGAGCAAAGGCACAGTCGCCATGGGGAGACAACCTGTGGGATGCACTTCAAGAAGGCTTGGCCATGGAGGGTGACACGAATGCGATAGCTTACAAGGCGATGCGGGAATGTGACAACGACCTGGAGTTCGCCTTGGTCAGGCAGAGGCTGGGACTCCCGCAAACCGGCCACTTTACGGGCAAGTACGTGACCCGCGCGGACACGGATGGATGGGAAGGTGACGACGAATGTATGACGGACGACGGTGGGGACACTGAGAATGAGGACGATGCAATGCTGGACGAGGACAGAGAGTGTATGTTGAGCATGATACGGGTTCTAGAATAGATGGGGAATGAGCGTACCTGTATAAACAGACTTACTGCTGCCTTCGAGCAGTCGGCAATTTGCTAGATAGTTACGAGCCCCAATGAAACATCGATGATCTGTTCGGCCCATGCATAGGACTCAAGTTCAATCTCAGGGGGCACCCGTCGCCACTTCTACCGGACCTGCGTCACCTGGCTAACGTTGCAGTGTCCCCCGTCATTGTGGCATTGACAATACTGTATGTCAATGAACATGGAATATACGTATCCGGCCTCACCACGATCTTGTACAGCTAACAGCAAAAGTACTTTCGACATATAATTCGTCCCGAAGGAGTCGCGACACCCTTATGACGTAGTCACATGGTCGAGAACCCGGACCGCGAGCAGTCAGCTGTAGGTGACAATCAGCCCTGCTCGTTGTTTGACCAGGAAGAACCAACGAAGCGTTGACGGCATGCAGAAGCTTCCGCGCCGCGTATAGCGTCCAAAAGGTCGTGCATGAGCCTCCGCTTGACCCTCCCGAGCATCCCCCGCACCACTTCGCCCACGCGCTTTGTGATGACTTTGACGTACCTCTCACTGTGTACTACCCTAGCACTGTGTAGCCTCGCCCATGCCCGGATTGACCGCCATGGCCTCGTCGCGCGGTTCAACCCCGTCCGAACGGCGTCGAGTGCGAGTACCCCAATGCAGGTCGGGAACGGCCACTTCGCTTTCGGCGCCGACGTCACTGGCCTGCAGACCTTTCTTCCGTGGCCAACCATATCTGACTTGGGGTGGAAGAACGACTCGCTTCCCGCAGGCACCACCACAGCGGACATTGCGGCCTACCGCGGTGTCGTCTGGGACGGGGTGGAGTACGAGTTTGGGGGTCCCGAGCCGGAGCAGCAGTGGCTCATCTCTAACCCGAACCGTGTTAACCTGGGCCGTGTCGGACTGTTGTTGCTTAATGGGAGCGGGGAAGCGGCGAACGTGACAGAGGAGGAGCTGGAGGGGAAAAGGCAGGTGCTGGATTTGTGGACGGGTACAGTGACAAGCACGTTCCTGGCAGTGGGAGGGCGCGGACGTGCGCGTACAGACAGTCGTGGCGCAGGAGAGCAACACAGTCGGTGTCACGATCACGTCCCCGCTCCTGCAACGCGGTCGCCTTGGGGTATTCCTCGACTTCCCGTGGAACGATGGCGTCCAGAAATTCGAGGCGCCTTTCGTCGGCGTGTGGAACGCGACGAGCAACCATACCACGGCGCTGCGCACGGGCGGTGGGCTGGGCCGTAATACCCAGGCGCAGATCGCGCACACATTGGATGCCACGACGTTCTTCACTTCCGTCGGAGGAGACGCCTTTTCCGTCAACCGAGTCTCGCCGGATGCGCACCGCTACGAGTTCGTCCCGCACCAGAGCCAGCAAACGTTCGCCGTCGCCATCTCGTATTCGCCGGGGCAGTCCAGGCGGCATCGAGCGTGGAGGAGGTCCAGCCGGAGTCCGAACAGGCTTGGGGTGACTTCTGGTCCAATCACGGCTTCGTGGACGTCTTGACGGGATTCACCGATATCCGCGCGGAGGAGCTGTGGGAGAAAGGGAGAATCCAATTGTCTAGAGTGAAAAACGAGGGGTTATGGTTGTCCTGTATAGTAGCATCGTGGTACAGAGGCAAATAGATATCGTACGAAACGAGTCCCGGGCCCCGTGCTACTGAACGCTTCGGCAAGCGCCGGCGAGCAGGCGCTCGCTCGCTCGAATCCAAAAACTAACAGGAGCTGCAACGGCGCATCATCTTGTCGCAGTATCTGTTGCGAGTGAATGAAGCGGGTGAATATCCTCCGCAAGAGGTACTAAGTCACGTCGCTGCATGCCATCGCAACTGTTCACTGACAGTTCGTAGTCCGGCCTAGTTAACAACGGATGGATGAGCAACTTGACGATCGACAGTTAGGTGGGGAGACTGACCGGCATCTATAGTATGGCAAGTTCCACATGGAGATGTTCTTCTGGCACAGCGCACACTGGGCGCTCTGGAACAACTGGGACCTCCTCAACCGCGCTAGCAGCGTTTACTCCCGGTTCCTCCCCACAGCGATCCAGCGCGCACAAGTCCAGCAAGGTCGATACCCTACCGGAGCGCGTTGGTGCAAGGTGTGAACACTGATCGTGCGGCCGACGGGTTTTCAAGGCTGACGTTGATACGACTCTGATACTACTGCATCCTGCAGGGGTTCAGAGTCTGTCACGAAACCTACTGAGAAAATACCGTCTCGTTCTGCCTCAGAAGGCGGCTGCGCATCTTTCATCGGGCCCGGTTGGAGACGAGGAGCGGAATGCAGGACTATTTCTCGCGAAGTCTGTCGATCGCAGTATTGATTAATCGTACGGATGCTATCGAAAAGGAGGGCTCAAAATTAGAGAACCCCGAAGCTTTTTGAACACCGAGGTGAGATAGGACGTCCGCTTTTTGAAAATCACAACCTAGGGGCCATGTTGGAAAGCTTGCTACCGCGATACCAAGGTAACAGCGAGACTACGTAACTCGCGCAAGTCGACACACAAGTTTGGGCTTATCGGTGATGTTTTCAAAAGGTGCAGTCCCCGTCGCCATTACGAGACCCACAGGCGCAATCCGTCGGGATTCCTGCGCCCGGTTCGGACGCTGTAGTAATGGTACATCCGCCGTATGATACACTACAGCGTCCTCGAACAAACTACCGTACAAGCGCAACTTCAATCTGCCGTAGCACGCATTGCTGTCCCTGCTGCTGCCTTCAAGTCAAACGCCGCCTACCGCGCGCCCATGGTGTTCGGCGCCGCAGCGAACGGGTACGGGGTGTTGACGATGGTGACGTTCGGCGCCGCACCGCCGCGCTTCTCGCTGTCGCCGCCGTTCTCCTTCTCCTCGCGCAACTGGCCGACGTACTCGAACGCGATGTGGCAGCCGTCTACACGCACCGTGTCAGCTTCAAGTACCGAACCCCAACATAAAAGATCAGAGAGACGTACAGATGGAGAAGAGCCAGAAGAGGGCGTAGATGACGACGACGACCACACGTGCAGTCTTGAAGCTCGCATTGCACGCGAAGCTCGTGAAGTCCTTGTTCACGCCCGTGCCCGCATTCGCCTCGCACTTGCTGATGTCTGACGCGCCCTCGCCGTGGAAGAGCTGGTAGATGACGTATATTCCGGCCGCGATGTCGAGCACGGTTGCGAACGTGATCGCACCCGCGTACAGACCAACGAGCGAAAGGATCTTCCAGAGCGAGCCGACAAGACTAAGGCGCAAGCGGGAGGTCAGTTCGCCCAGAGTCGTGCTACGCTGAAGGGTCACTCACCCTCCGAGGGAAATCAGGAAAATGAGAGTAGAGACAACGGAGAGGATCCAGGCCGCGGTCCTCTCGTTTCCGGAGAGCGGCGGGTTGAGGGTTCCCTTCACTGCGAGCGAGCGATTACATTAGCCCACGATAACGCCATGAACGAGTCAATGGTACTCACTCATGTCGTGCACAACAATCCAGCCGCCTACCGAGAAGAGGCCCCCAATAGCGAGCCCGATCAGAGCCTCGCAGAACACGCCGAATCTGACCGGCAGACAGCAGCAGAACTTGCGCGAGCGGATGTAGACCATGTTGGTGATGTGAGTTTTTGTCGTTCAAGAAAAGAGAGAGAAATGCGGGATAAGCGAGAACGGCAAAGAATAGAGCGTCAGGAAAGAACACGAAGGCAAGAAACCGCAAGCGCGGGTGGGAGGCGGATGTACACGAAGGTCGAAGTGGGGAAGAGGCGCAGCCCTGGGGCCCCCACCTCTCGTGCGCGCCCGTTATATAGCCATGTCGCCAGGGCAGGCGCGATGGTACGCGGGGGCGAGACACCGTGTTGATGTAGGGGAGATGCGATGCGCGATTTCATGGTGCCGCCCTTGCAACGGCCGCTGTGCAGTGAAAAGCCATCATCAGGATGCGGTCCGGGCGCGCGTTGACGATACGCCAATCTAGCGCGCTTCCGCAATCTGTCAAAGGGGCACGGGTGGGTCGTAAGAAGGCGTTCAGATGGGCACTGACCACCTCGTGTGTGGCTAGACTGAGAGGGAGAGATCGCAGCGCGGAGGCGTCGCCACCAGAGGGGGAGGAAAGCGATGCACCATCACCCAAAATGGCTGTTGCAGTATTGAGCGCCTTGATCAACCGTCAGTGATCGTCGTACCGTGTGTGATGCGATGTCATGAAGGGTGCGGTGGCTCCCAGGAAGAAGTACGGCGTGCACATTCACCGGTGTTATCAGCGTGAACTACGAGGATTTACGCAGCCGCCGTGGGCAAACATACGGCCCCGTGCCCAGAGAATTTCAACGGATGCCATAGTGAGGAACTTTGAAAGTGGCATTTCATCGCTGGGGTGATGTTTACTTGTCAGTGTATGTACCATCTTTCGGACGTGATAATGAGGGCCCTGCATGTACGTGCACGAAGATCATTTGAGTATCGAGGTCCCGAGGAGTTTTGTGATCAGAGGCAAGTCTGAGGACGGACATGATGCGGAGAACTCACCACTGCCCCCGGTGCCTCGCCGGCCACCTTTCCAATACCCTGGGTCCACTCCCAGACTATTTTGTCGATCCTGCATCACAATATCGGGCCGCTGAGGAGGTACTCTGTGCCAGATCAGCGAGGGCGGAATCTGTGGCAGGGAGCTAGCAAATACTCACCTTATAACTTGAAGCAGCCCTTTGAGCCGAGAAACCCGGGGAGCCTTCCTGTAAAGATGTCTCCGAATGAAGATGTCTCCGAATGATGAAGTGAGCGGGTTGCCGCTATGCACATGAGTGACTTCCGTAGACCGCACGAAGGCGCGAACCACATGCGTGCAAACCTTGCTACCTCCACTCCCTCGTCGCCCTGGAGACCTCATATCCCAGCTTGCCAAAAGCATGTCCACGCACCAAGACGCAGACTCAAACGCCTCCCGCACATCGATGATCTTTCTACCTGCACCGAGGACGCTCGGCACGGTGACCTACGGCTCTGCGAAAACGCCGGCGTGGACCAACAAAGCCCAACTGTCCGGCGCACTGGCACGCCGGGCACTTGTTTAGCGTTTCGAGAAGGCCTGAGACCGGGCCACAGGCGAGCGGGCTGCGGATGCCAAACGTCGATCCATCCAAGGCAAATTGGTGGCCGGCGAATCCGAACCTAGATCTCCTGGCAGAGAGGAGCATGGCGGGTGGATGGCGGGGACAGCGCGAGCCTCGAGGGGTTTCAGGCTTTCGACAGCATTTGCAAGGGGACGCTAGATCTAAGATAGGCTAAGTAGAATACACAGCGGTAAGAAGAACGTGAAAACAACAAAGAACAACGTGGACGAAAAGAAGAGAGCAGGGCCCGGGACTGCCTCCCGGGCCCGCACCGTATGTGTCCATCAGCGAACGCTAAGTTAAACTAGGATGGAGGGTGGGCGAAGAAGAAGTGCAAGTAGATGGGCGGGGGACCAAAGACCGAAGCAACGGACCAATCGTTCCAAGCGCGACCCGGGACGGCGCGAGCGAGGACGTGCGGCGGGAGCTAGGCTGGGGCGCCGCCATTAAAGAGCTGCCTGCGGGCGGAAGGGGGAAGTGCGCGAGGCGGGGTGTAATGTACTAGTACCGTGGGCCGACGTGAATGCGGGGGGCGGCTGTGGGGCGGACAAAAAAAAGAACGTGAAAAATGTCCCTGGGGCGCCGCTGCAGGCGGGCCCAACATGTGATATATGTGCATGTGCATGTATGAGTGGGTGGGTGGGCGGGGCGGATGAGAAGAGAAGGGTGCGTGAACATGCAAGATGGATGAGGGTACGGATGAAGGTGGTGGTATGGTAAGTAGGTGTGAATGTACAGAGGCACGCGGGGGCGGCGGGGTCGTGGCACATACGATATAGCGTTACTGTTACTTTAGGTGAGTGTCCGGACGGCGGCACAAGACGGCGTGCGTTCTCCTGGTCAGTCCAACAGAGCTCCTGCGCTAGCATCCGCCCGCGAGCTATGCGCCAACGTTAGTCTTTATCCTAGGCGAGGATGGGAGACGAGACGAGACGTACCGCAGAGTTTTTGGGCCATGGGTATCCCGCGCCGCTGGGGCTGGGTTGCGACCAGTAAGTCAGGTTAACGTCTACAGACGCGGTCCGATAGTTAGTTGCATTGCTCAGCGACACAGGGAGGAGCGCACGTACTGCTGTAAGCCTCGAGATGGTTGTTAATGTAGTCCGCAGTGGGGTAGCCTGCCGGGTCGCAGCCAACGTTGATCGAATCCGACCGCTGGTACACGCGCACGTAGTCGATTTGCATGATCGCGGGGAAGACCATCGTTTCCAGAAGAATATCCTGCCAGTTCTCTGCGGGTGAAAGTTAGAGATCCTACACTCACGAAGGAAATACAGAGGGCGAGTAACTTACTGGAGAGACCCAAGTTGAGGATGATAGACTGCACAAATTCGACTTCAGTCCGGTGGCACATGGTGTACTGACCGAGCTACTCACCATAGGCTCTTCCGGGACGATCCTCTGAGAGACCTGCGAGCCGTCAGTGCCCATATCGGGGCCCATGGCGGACGCGCCCATGCGCACGGACGGCGTGCCGTCTGTCTGCCAGGTGATGAAGCCCTCGTCGCGGTTCTTCGGGTTCGCCCAGTACTCGAACCCGAGCGTCTTGAAGTTTGCCCCTGATCCTTGGAACATATCGTCCGGGAGATCCGTCAATGCAGACACGGCTTGCTGACTGTCCAAGCAAAGGTCATTAATGCGAGTAAGACAAAAATGTCACGTAAGCTTACATCGCAGAGCCCCTGTGATACAGACGTCAGTGATAAGCTGATGGATACATAAGAGCCACGCACTTGTAAGTGTTCGCTCTCGAACGACTGCTGTCGTATATCCACCATGCGTCTTGAGTGTCGTTGGTGTAGAGGTAGTCGTGTGTGAACGGCGCGAACTGCGCAGACTGGGACACGACCTGCCCCACTCCACCGTCAGTCTTGTTCTTCTCAGCCTCCAATATGTCGATCTCAGGCACGCCGCGACCGACGTTATTTGAGGGGCCAGGATGTTCCTCCCCAGGACATGTACACGCACTGACGCGCTGGCCAGGGAGCCAGGAGAGCTCGTTGTTATACTTCGACCTGGACTGGTCGGAGTGCAGGGCAGCGGCGGGACCAGACCCATCAGCCAGGGTCTGGTTAGGGAAGGTGCCAACGTCGCAGGAGTCGTAACTGCCCACAGATGTCAGAAATGCCGCGGATATAGCCGGTGATTGTACTCACGAGTACGGCCAGGTACCATCCGTCGTCGCGCGGTAACCCGGTCTCCCCAGGTTGCCCATCGTCCACGCACCAGGCCACTGCAGAAGGTTAATACTGCAACCGAGCGTATTGTGAGAACTAAACACTCACATAACCCTGCGTGTTCGAATCTGGGCCTGGTAGCGTCATGGAGACCTCGATGTACCCACTTGTGAAGCAGAACTTGTTCCAGCTCTGTAGCATACCGCTGATGTACGACTGGTTGTGGTTAATCGACGGGTCCGCAACCTGCTCCATGACGATTTGCAGTGCGCCGTTCTTCGTGTATACCTGCTTGGGATCATACCATTCCAGATCGGCAGTGGAACCGTACCATAGATCTGCGGCCTCCCAGAAGGGGTCGTCTCCGGGGTAGAACGTCCGGTTGTCCTTGTTAAACTCGTCGGAGAAGACGAGCTCATAGGCCTCTCCGTCAAAACCTGTACGTGTCTTCGCAGAGTCGGGCGTGTCAGGATCGATCAGCTCGGGCATGTCGAACCTGTAGACTGTGTGAGCCTATTGAACCGAGCGCCGCCAAGCAAGAAGCTTACAATACTGGGGCCTGTCCTGTGGCGTTTATTCTGACGTTTGCTGTGATGGCGACGTTGCGGGACTCGTTGCGGAAGAAGTCGAGCAGCGGGTAGCAGAGGAAGAGGGTAAGGATGGCGGCGACGAGGATGACGAGCACGCCGACGTTCATAATCCCTCGACTTGACCAGTAGGAATGTCGGTTGTGGCCATACTCGGGTGTGTGCAGGAAGTCATCATCGTCGTCCGGCGCATCCTTGTCCACTTCGGGGTCGTACGCGTAAGGCACGAATCCTCGTGTGCCAATGACCATACCCGAAGGGTATTTGGAGTCGGATGATAGGGAGAATACCGAGTCGCCCGAAGAAGAGATCACCGAGTCGCGGTTCTGAAGAGCCGTCGGCGGGGCGAGGCTCTCGCTGTTGTCGTCCGACGCCAAGCGGTAGAGGACCATCGAGCCGCGCTGACCGCCGAGGGTGCCATACGGACCTGCAAGTGCTTGCGACTCCTCTGATGCGATGCGATTGAAGTACGTGCTCCCGCGCGAAGCAGGCCTTGATCGCGCGTTGAGGGTCGAGTTCGGGTTGAGGGGCGACGACACAAAGTTGGCACCTGCCGAGGAGGCACGGTTTGGCGTCCTGGGCTCTCGTGAATCCGGCGACAAGAGCGGGGACTCGAAAGTGGAGGTGAGGGGGGTGCGAGGTTGGGCGAGATCCTCTGGGGTTGATGCGCCGGAGCGGCCCTGCTCGGCGGGCGCATCAGAGGACGGCCAGGGGGTGGACATGGGGGGCCGGTCGGGGTGGACGTGCAAGACGTCGGGGGGTAGATGAGGGAAGGAATGAAAGGAGGGACTTGACCTGACGATGGAGGCAAAAAGGCAAGGGGCGGGTCTGGTGCAGAACGAGCGAGAGTTCCTCGCGTGGGACGAACGCCATGGCAGGCGCCCGTCGGCTGCCGCTCGCCGCGCTCGCCCCGCCCAGCCATCCTCCGTCCGACCTCCTCCTCCCATTCCAGCCCTGTTCTCAGCCAGCGCACGAGTTGCCCCGTACCACCTGGTCCAATCATCCCACAGACCGCCCAGCCCGCTTCCCCGTAACTAGGTCGGTACGGGATATCCTGTCGTCTTTTTCGCACCCTCGAGCTTGTCCGTCCGCCTCCGCGCGACACACCTGCCTTCTCCCATATGACTGCGCCGGATTCTATTGCATGCGTCCAGTCCACGAGAACCTTTTTCTTCCCACTTCCCGGCCTATCCGAGTAACATCCTATCGTGTGCACGCACACGATAAGCATCGTCGGGCTACAGCTGCAGCGCCTCTGCTTATGCACATCTCGCACGCTCTCAAGCTCACACGCATCATCCGCGTTTACAGCATGATTCGCAAGGTACGTGCTACTGCCGTATCATCCTTCGACACCCCCGGTCCTGTTGTGCATCAACAGCCTGGCGTGCAGCGGCAGGGTGGCTCTGTCCAACTCGCAGCTATCACTGATATCACAGGATGGGCGTCGCGCTCGTTACCTTCGCGGGCCGCATATATCCTCCACGAAGATACCTAGCAGCGGAGGGCACACTTGCAAACCTACTAAGGTGCTTACCGTTTCTGCTCGCACCACTCGGAGATGAACTTCGCTGTCTTCTATCAATGCGCGCGCCGCTAGAGCCGCGTTACCCCGCCGCCCGAGGCAATGGGCCTTCCGTCCTGGCTCCCGGCAGCGCTACACAAGACAACACAACTTCCAAGCCTCAGCAAGCAAGCACGATACACCGTTCGCGTCTCCGGATCCCGCCGCACTGCGCCCTCTACGCTTCCGCACCAGGCTTGCAGCGGTACTCTCCTCATCGAGGTGAAGCGGCGCGCAGTGGCCTTAGAACAGCACGGCGGCACGACCAGCCACTCCATTCCAAGCTCGCACTTCGCGAGCCCTCCGGGCGGGGTCGGCGCGCCAACCCGCGATGTCAGCGGGGCCGGAACGCCCGCATGTGGCTCGGTGCAAACTGTTTGCGTGCTCGGTGCCAAGCCCGAACATTCCGGGCCTATGCAGGGGAAGCGTCTGCGAGGAGTTTCGCCGTGAGTGCGGGTGCTGTATTCGTACAGTACTTACCCTTGGCTGGGACATCACTAGCACACGTCGGACCACCCTGACCGGCATGCCTACGTCGCCCCCGATCCCCTATACATGTCGGAGACGGCGAGCTTGTCGCCATAGCCCCCATAGTGGCTGACGTCCGCCCCTCGTCCGCCCTCTCATGATGCATGGCGCGTGACGCCTCCATTCCAACCACCAGCCCTTCCGCAACACTCCGCGACGCCGCTGCTGCCTACCCGACCCGCCAAAAGGTCAGTCGCCGTACGCCGAGCCCTCCCAAGCATCCCATCTCCGTCGCACCGAAGGCCCGTGAGGACCTGAAATGGCTCCGCGCGCAATTTAAGGATGACGACATGGCCTACAATTGCGGTCCTGGGGTTTCGATCGACGCTCCTCGAGGCGCGAGCTGGCGCAAGGTACGTCCCGGGCGGGTGAAGCGTTGACCAGGCGACGTCCTCGTTGGAAAGCGGATCTTCCGCTCTTTTCGTGCATTTTCGGAATGACGTCATCGTCTCCGGAAGAGCGTATGTGCACTCGTGTACCACGTAGCTATGTTACTTGCAGGGCTGCCAATACAACCATAAATGATAACATAACGCTTGCACTCAGACCACATCTGACATTGAATGTTCGCAAACGCAGCTTTTTGTGGGAGCGCGCGCGACATCGCAGTATCCGGATTCCACACACCTGCACGTTGTTCCAAGTTCCAACAGAATATTTGTATTTCGTTCCACCGTTACCGTCCGTACACGTCGTAACGTAGCGCCCCCGTCGACGGGGGCCGGGGCATATCGCGCAGTATTGTAGATTGTACCGACAGGAACAAGACGGGAAACCACGAGAACGACACAAAATGGACAGCCGTCGGACGTGCGTCCGGAGCAAGGGGTAACATTAGTAGTACATGGGGTCGTATTGTCGCAGCAGCAGTGATGGCAGCATCGTCGACCTTGGGTTTGTCCGGGTCGGATAAATAGACCGAGGGCCGCGGGGCGTGTGCTTTGTGGTTGTTGGATTGGGGGAAGGCTCCGCGCGTCCTGTGAGGCGGGTCGCCAATGAGCGCGGGCGAAAGGGGGAGCATATAGGGTCGATGCGTGGGGAAGGGATTACTGGAAGAGAAGGGCCGCAAAGACGGGGATGGGGGACGGGGATGGGGTGGGCCACAATAGGAGGCAAGATGGACGATGAGAGTAATCATAGAACAAAGCCATTAGGCGATAGTGTAGGGTAGGTTGTTGAACGGTCCAACTCGGAAGAGGCATACGAAAAGCATAATGAAAAGGGGATACCAGAACGAAGGAGGGGTGACCGGAAAGAAGAAGGGGGATGGGGAAAGTTTGTGGCAGACCGTGAGGGAAAGAACCGCATACACGCATTAGACCTTGTGGAGGAGTATTCTTCATCGTCATTTCGTTTGGAGGGCGGGGCCCGCGTAGGCCGCATCGTCTTCATCCGTCGTAACTTACAGCACAAGCGTACCCGTTGAGGACTAGGCCTTGGTCGGCATCGCAGTCTTCAGGGTCAGGCCCTCGAGTCGCTCCTCCAATCCTTTGCCTAGACCTTCTCGCTCCCACTCTCCTCCGACATCATCGGCGACCCCTGCGGCACCGTCACGCTCCAGGAGGTACATGGGCGAGTTGTGTATGCTGCCGCCGCTGGAGCTCGCCGCATAGTGTGCCTGCGGCAGCCCGATCACGCTAGGTATGTGCGGGGGAGGCTCCGTGACGATGGCGGAAGAGGTAAGGCTTGACAAAGGGAGCGTGGATGCAGGGGTAGAGGATAGGAGGTCGGCGTAGGAGATGAAAGACAGCCTTTTTGAGGCAGCTTTGGGAGATGGAGGGTGCGAAGGGAAAGGGGCAGGGACATTGATCGACGTGAGCTGTTGCGGCTGCGAGTGCGACGGTAGACTGTGCAAAGGGTGCTCGGTGTGCGTCGCGGTCGTAGGCGAGGATGCATTCGAGCTCGTATCGGCGTCCGATGCAGCACTAGACGAGACAGAGAAGTACGCCGATGTGGGCGTGGGCGTCACTGTTGTCTGATGTGCAGATGAACTTGGCGGTATAGGACTTGTCTGCACTGTCGGCCGCGCTGAGGGTGACCCCTGGACATTCCTCGGAGGGGATCCGGGGAGCGTATTGCTGAAGAGAAGACTTCTCCTGTTACCGACACCCGTGGGACTTGGGCTGCGACTACTCAAACGCGATGTGGGACTTGTGAACCCACTTTGGTACGCGGGCTCTAGTGGAGCGGGAGTGACGATGGAAATGGCGTCAAAGTCGTCATCTTCGGGATCGTTCGAAGTGAGGACGGCAGCGGCACTATCGAGCACGGAAGGCACGGAGCGTTCTATCTCTTCCGTGAACTTCGCCCGTGCGGTGTGGTGCGGGTCAGCGCAGAGCGGCAGAGGCGAGTTGATGGGCTCGATGTCCCGTTCGAAGATCGCGGAAGAGGAGGAATGGCTAAAGGAGGATAAGCGAGGGTCGCGATGTAACACAGATGTCTACTTACACAGATGTCGGCGACGAGGGGATAGAGGCTGGCGACCGGGAGCCCAAGCGATGCGTCCTCAGGTGCTGGGAATTGCGGTTGGAAAGGCGGCGCTCGCGGGACGGACTGGCGAGGTTGGTGTTGGACGTGATGTGTCGCAACTCGACCGGCGAGGTGGTGGATGAGTTCATGGCAGCGGATTCAGCGGCAGTGGCGGCAGGAGGGGATGCGAGAGAGATGCGAGGCGAAGACGGGGCGTTGAGGTTGAGATTTGAGGAATCCTGGGAGAGAGTAGCCATGGTGGATGATAGCAGACGGGAAGTTGACGGTGGAGAGAAGGTGGAGGTTATTACAGCACAGTACACGCTTAGACGCCTTGGATCTTGCTCCTCTTCAATTATCTACGTCAACATCGATCGCCATCCTTATCTGATTACCTACAATTTTCCCTCTCCGCCTTTATGCGTTTGTTACCCCTTTCTTAACTGCCAATAGAACTTCCCTAAAAGCTGTCAGCAGAAATTAATTGCTCCTTGAGCCTCGCACGTCGCACGGCCTCTTCCTCATCGCCCGACGACGGCGACGCTCATCTCCTTGACCTCCGAACATGTTGCAGATGTCGATGAACTCTACCGCACTGCATCCTCTAGCTATCGGGAACAGCACCTCGGCCCCACGCCTCCCCGGGAATCTGCTTGCTCAATCACGAATACGTCAGTCGTGCAAAGCTTCGCCCGTTTTCGCCGAGGTGGCTACATCGCGATATCCAGATACCTCTGCCGTGAGTCGCATCCATCACGCCTTCATCTCCGCCCGCACAGTTGTGGGGCTCCGATTTACAGCGTCCGGGGATGGATAGTTTTGGAAACCATTCGGAGCCCCCAGGCTATCCAAAGTTGACATGAAGTAACCAGAGGTTCGGATGATCCTCGTAGGTCAGAGGTCCAACGAGAATTGGCAACGAGGGCATTCAATGAGGTCCGTTTATACTTGATGGACGTCCGCGGATTGCACTGTTTCAGTACAATCCAGACGGCCATCCACCCTAGACGGGTTACCTATAAATACCGCTAGGCGGGCGCGGAGGACGAGTCCGACTGCAGGACACATTATTCCGGGAGCATTGTTCTAAGTGGGAGTCATTTGTCTTAGTGAAAGTCACTCTCACTGTTTTGGTTGTCACTCGCACGGACAGAGGCTCATGAAACTCAAGCCATAGCTGTATGCTGTCCAACGGACCTTTGATCCAGCGCGGGACTAATATTTTCTCAACGCATGGCTGGATATCAAACCCAGTACTTGTAGCATGTTGGTATCCATGCTCTTGCTACCAGCCCCGCCCGAACGTTTTCTGACAGCTGAAAACAAATCACAAGCGTTTCACAACACTGCGTATCCGTCGCCACTCGTAAGCCTGCGGTGCATAGGGGCCCAACGTCCGGGCCCGGGATCGCCGCGGCACCTCGCCCACGCCGATTATTCACATCGCTTTGCTCATCCCCTCCGTGCGTACCTCCCACCCCGCTTTCGGAAATCCCGGTGCAGTGCCCTTACTTCCGTCCCATCCCTCGGCCATCATCGCCATAGCATACAGCAGCGACCCGGAACCCGGGAAATACGGAGTCGGAACGCGCACGCCGCCTACAGGCATCCCGACGTCGTCGAATTCGAACAGCGGGTGGAGCAGCCATTCTATCGCCTTTTCAGTCTCTCCGTTTCGCGCTGCGGACATCGCCAGCATGGGGAAGTCCCATCTGTGACGTGCGAACGGAACGAGCTTTTCAGTGCGAATCTACGCTTCGGAAGCAACAGCCACCTACCCCCAGCAGTTGCTGATGTTCCAGCTCGTCCAAATCTTCTCCGCCGTCGCCTTGGCCATGGTCAAACTGACATTCGCAGTCTGCGGCAACCAGCCGTACAAGCCCACCATGGCGGGGTGGTCGTTTGTGAACGTCGGCGTATCCCAGAAGTCACTTGGGATCCCCTCGTAAACTGCGTACAGCCCGTCCTCGATAGGGAGCGGGGCTAAGTTGTCCTTCACCTCCGTCCAAGCGGCCGGCACCGCTTCCCCCATCCTCTCCAACCAGGTGCTCGCGTAGTCTAGACCGAAACGCCAGTACGCCAACTCGAACGCCGGGTTGCGCGTCACGTTCGGGCTCGTGTCCTCACTCACGACGTACATCGGTGGGCCTAGATCGAAGAAGCCGGTGCTCGCGTTCCGGTGGGCATAGACCGCCATCCAATCCGCCGTCGCATGCACCACGTCGTGCCACTTCTCCAGCGTCGCCCTCGAGTGGGTTGCGCGATATTCGTACTCGGCGAATACGAGCGGGTGCGGCTGTTCCCAGACCAGGAGCTCGTTGATCTCCCCCGGGGCTGACCGCCCAGCTGGATCGGTCATTTTGGACCAGCGCGCTCCAGTGGAATAGCCTGGCTGGACTTGAGCGCGTTGGATCGCGGTGGGGAGGAACCGGGAGTAGACGCTGCTAGCATGAGGGGAGAGATGGAGTGGGTGTGCATGTACATAGACAGATTGGAATATATTTCGTTTGCGAGGGAGACATGGACTGTACGAGTGTGTTCGCGTGCGTGGTGGCTGTGTCGGACTGTCGCGAGCCGGCGGTGGGTGTTGGCTGCGGGGGACGACGGACTTGGGCTCTGCGCGGCTGCCCGCGGGTGGATCTCGCTTGCGCTGGATCTCGGCGAGGCGCCATGTACTGCTAGGGAAATAACTACGGACTCTGCATGGGGAGTGGGTGCTTAGTTGGCGCTGGGGAGGTCCAGAGGGTGCACTAGGGGAGAGGGGACTCTGTTCACGCATTTTGGACGGCAGGAAAGTCACGGAAATCGCATTACGGGCTACTGATAATACTAAGACCCCGAACGCACACAAACGCGCCGTAAAGACCCACCCGCCCCCGCTCAGGACTCTTCGCGCACTCGGACGGACACGGGCGCCTAATCCTACGCTGCTCGAATGTGCAGAGTCCTCCCCACTGCTTTTCCCTCAGCCTGTTTGCTCGCCCGCACTCCGGCCGTTTTCCAGGGTCCTCCGCTCTAAAATGTGTCGTATGGGAGTCAATCCAGAGTCGCACAAGACGAGCACGAAGTTCCCTGCGTGTGCGCGACTGGAGCGCGCGCGGGGTTCGTTCCGCATGCCCAGTACATGGGGGTGATCGCGGCGCCAAGGACATCGTGCCGCCGTCGCGACTCCGACGCGCTCGGGACGTCGAGCAGATCTTTTGCACGCTACGAAGCCGTTCTGGACGTCGGAGTGTATCTGGCGAGGCGCGGCGCGTTCCTGCTCTCGCATGCGGCCTACAAATACTGGAAAATTAGTTGGACGCCGGTATTAGCGGGCAAGGAAGCGGTACATACCACATTTACTTCGAACGCGACCTCTCGAGTGATGCGCGCGGAACATACGGCATACAGCCGCGGGCGCAGATTGTGCTCCGGAGGCAGCACCGACACGCCGCGTGCGGTCATACGAGCTGCCGGCCGGAACAATCGCGTGGGAGGGTGTCGAGCTCCGAGTCGGTGGAGGCGTCTGAATCGGTTGGAACATAGTTGACGGCGGCGAGCTGCGCAGACATCGACATTAGCGTAAGAGTACCGCGCGGGCGAATCCGACTTGCCTATGCCACGGCGCTCCGAGTCCCGTAGCCGTGCACGGGACACTCGTGCTCGCCCGAGAGTCTGCGAGCAGCGGAAGGACGAAGACGTCCGCACAAAGGGCCCAGAGAGACCTAGAATGTCCTTTTTGCTCGTCCCAGACGAGACGAGTGTGCACAAGGAACCCGTTCGCGCAAAGGAACTCTGCTCGCCCGCGGCTAGAGGACTTCGCGGCTATGGGCGCTTATTCCGACGCAATGCGAAATACGCAAGTCGTGCGCCGACGTGGCATGGCT